ACCGTTTCACAGCATGATTGCCGCTCTCGTTGTCTGCACAGCCATGACTATCACCCTATGGCTCCCTGCCTCGCTGCTGACCACCACGCCTTCATCGGCACCAACCATCAAAGCACTGTCGATTGTGTTTGCATTGATATTCGGCTTTGCTTCTGGGTCCAATGTCTCCCTGGCGCCAGTATGCGTGGGCCAGCTGTGTGACACGAATGAGTATGGAAGATACTATGCAACCTGTTATACGATTGTCTCATTCGGGACTCTCACGGGCATTCCGATTGCAGGCAGTCTCCTCCAACATACCGGCGGGCGATATTGGCCAGTTGTATTATGGACTACTCTCTGCTATATTATCTCTCTAGGTTGCTTTATTTGGAGTCGAGCCTGCTGTGTCGGATGGAAGCTAGGTGTCAAGTTTTAGATCGCTTCTCCTGACTAGAACTGCCAGCCATACGCCGGTAGGTAACGTGTTTTCTCGGAGTTTGAGATGAAAATTATTTCGTATTATTGCTAGGGATATTATAATTGTGGGATAAAAGGTCGTTCACACCATATAACTAAAAGGAATATTGTCACTTGTGTTTGTTCATCTTAGGACGTTGCTCTCTTCCTCCCAGTGTAGCACAGCACAAGCCCCCTGTAGTTAGCTGGCGAGTTACATCTGTAAATACAGCCGCACCACTGTGCTACACAATGAGTCACTTGATATAAAACGCATACACTCTCTATACGTACCGCTGTAAAATGTAGGATTACTCGTCATCGTCCGCTTAACACTTCCTCTGCTCTTCAGCCGCCCCGCTGGTCAAAAAATTAAGAGCGTGGAGAAACCTCGGCCCGGGCTTACGGCCCGCCGAGGCTCCATAACCATAACTGTAAATCCTCAGCTGGCTCCATTAGAGATCAACGGCCAGACAAAAAAGCACATCTATAGCTCGGCTATAGTTTACGGTATGTCCTTACTGGGGTCGGGTATGAATAGTGCGGTTATAAAATTAATGATTACTGCATATGTACAGTCGTATCTCATCTGGGTATCTTTTACATGGTCACAATCCTCTCCTGGCTCTCTGTCCTCCCGCCTGTCATTGTTTTGTTATAGTCTGTATCCGTCCGGACAGCCCCCATGGAAAGATGCTCATTACGGGTAGTTGAGCGTGAGTGTCTTCCACCTAAAGCGGTCGAAGTGGGGCCCGATTTGCTGGATCTATAGTCCTTTATTCGGTGCGGAAAGTGCTCAACGCTGTAAGACGTGGTTTCAAAGCTAGATGGTGATCTTGGAAATATTATAAAGAACGACTGCCGGAGCATGGGCAAACAGGCAACTATGATGCCTGTATTGAGCTCAATCGCACTCCATACCGAGATAAGGGCGACACTCCCTGTGTAACCGTTAGCCATGCAACATGAAATGAGGTTTTGGGAGGGGGCTCACATAATGGGTCATGGTTGTCAGAGGTTCCGAAGATAGTTGTGGTTCGAATAATGCTAACTACACAGCAACTGAAGGGTATAAGTCAGTATACAGTAACTGGGTAGGGAGTAGGTTTAAGTTTAACTCACAATAAGCCAAGGGAAAAGATAAAGATAACTAGTATTTTGTCCCTTCTGCCGGACAAAAGTAAAATGGATTCTCGGATTGGAAGAAATAGGATAAAGAAATCGGTGATAACATTGAGTAGTGCATATGACACTCTCCATTGTGCATTCTCGATGCATTTGTGTGGCACGGAACGGTCCCAATATGCGCGTATGGGCTTGCATTGGAACACAGTGGGAAATGTAAAGGCGATCCCAGAAGCCGTTGTTATTGCCATGAGCACATAGCATGTCCATACAAACAGTTTCTGGACGTAAAATATCCGTACGAAGAGGAGGAGGAATGATATCTTGATGAGAGAAAGAGATATCTTGTATGAAACTTGTAGAATGTACAAGTACTATATTTGCCAGCCAGGAATAATGAGCATGAATCAAATCTAAGTTGAATACACCTGGGCAGAGAAGCAAAAAAAAAAATGAAAATAAAATGTATGTGAAAAAAAAAACTAAAAGCAGGGAGAGAGCTTACCCTTAATGTTATCACTTTATCCTCTGGAGAAACGTCCCAGGTGTGCTTCCCTAGGCCATGTTGTACACCTATAAAAATGGATTTGGGTAATTAGCAGGTTTGCTTCGGAATGCTTCTGGTATAGTCACCACTCACAGGTTATCTGTATGGCAGTGTAAAGAACTGCAAGGACCTGATGTCTTTGTTAGCAATTGTAGAAATCAACGCAGGCTAGGTGTCTTCATACAAAAGCTGCCAGTATTGTCCAGTCGTCTGCGCCGATGGAGCGCTTTAGGTATCTGCCAACAAAACGGATAACAACGAGGATACCTGCAAAAACAGCCATGGCTAGGCATAATATCGACAGCTTCACTGCTCGTTGTGAACCGTCTGCCCCCGAGCCATCGGCCGCCGTCACGTCTCTGTAGAGAAGAGCCGCCATCGCACTTGGCTTAGTGGAGAGCGCAAGTTGCCGATGGCGAGATCAGCTCCACGATAAAGCCACCAGTAACTATCCACACCTGTCAACACCCGCTCATAGGGATCGTTGCTTTCCACGCAAAGATAATATTTGTCCGGATCTGCCTGTGCAGCGAACAGTTTCGTGTCACGGCATGGGTCCCAGAAAAATTGGAAATGGCGGTTTGTCGGGCTAGCTGTATCTTCTGGCTTAGAACTGGGAGGGAAGACGATAACTAGCTAACCAGGAGATGAAGGAAAAATGATGCTAGCTTCAGTGTGATGGAAGCTCGTTCAAGGTGTTTAGAAGCTGCAGCACGGCTTTGAACTCTCGCAAGATGCTGATGGCAGTCAAACAACTGTGCGAGCGAGGATCATAACCAGACTTCATCAACAGTAGCACTCAAAATAGCTGGCAGACAGGGAGCGGGTCCCCCTACTTAGGTATTTTAGCACCTCTGGGGTCGGTTGTCTGACCGCAGAATCAAGCTGGTTGAGAAAGCGATCGTTCGTATAATAGCCATCCCTCACTTTGGCTCATTTTGGATAATGATGCGTTTCGAGTTTAGGCGAGGGAGTCGAGCCCTTGCAGGGGGTCGAGAGAATTTTACCTAACAGCAACTAACCATCCAACCGTTCAGGACTGGGCGGTCGTTCGTATAAACACGCTACCTCCGTATCGTATCAAGAGGCGGCAGCACTCAAGACAGCATAACATCTGGCTAGTCGATGCCCTTGGTGCAGCGACTCACAACCTTAACCGGCCTCTAGGCAGCGTTTAAATGTGAGCGATCCTTCAGATCCGAAGCGAGCGGAGCTGGGTCCGCTGTCTTCCCGTGTGAAGGCTGGAATCATGGATAGCTAGCACCAACATTCGTTTTTGCCTGCCAGCTGTGGGCGGAATGGTGCGAGCCTTCGTCTTAGTTAGGGGGGATGGAGAACGGCACTAGGCCCAGCCAGCCTCAACAGCGCCTGCAAGCCACAAAAGACTGGAGAGTAACTCGTAGTGTACTCCGTAAATTTGGTTCGTCCCATCCCTCCCTCCCTCCATCATGCCTCCCTTTTGCCAGATGCAGAGACCTCTAGCGCTCGGGGGTGCGAATAAACGCATGGATGCGAGTGGAGGAAAGGTGTATAGATGTGGACAAAACTCCATAACAAAACCCCGAATCCCGGTTGGCCTCTTGGGTGCTCTGGATAATGAATCGCCTTACAGCAGGGAGCGGAGTGTCCGATGCAAGAAGGCCGAGACAAAATCCCCTGCCATTGCAGGGCGTTGAAACACGTCTTCGTGTATATATCAGCCCTGGAGGATTTTCATCCTCGAGCTGCTTGTACGCCTGTACTCTGTACATAAGACGCTGCTCTTTGCCCTTTCTCGTCCCCCCTGTTCTCTGTCAGATCCATGTTGACGTTGACAGCCAGAAGAAGCAGAACAATAAGAAGATGCCTTCACGACCGAATTTCCTTGTGATTGTCGCCGACGACCTGGGCTTCTCAGACGCCGGCTGCTTTGGCGGCGAGATCAAAACGCCGCACATCGACAGCATCGCTAGCGATGGAGGCGTGCGGTTCACGGATTTCCATGCGGCCGCTGCCTGCTCTCCCACGCGTTCGATGCTACTTTCAGGCACTGATAACCGTAAATGCTGAACCCCTGAACCATTCGCTCCGTATTTATATGCAGAAGCTGGGCCCCTAGCGGGAGACTGACGAGCAATCCGCGCAAAATCAAACATGTAGACATTGCTGGCCTGGGGAATATGAACGAGAACCAGACAGAGTTCCAACGCGGCAAGCCTGGGTACGAAGGGTACTTGAACAACCGAGTGGTTGCCCTGTCGGAACTCTTGCAGGATGCAGGATATCAAACCCTGATGGCTGGTAAATGGCACTTGGGGCTTGATCCAGATCACACGCCTCATGCACGCGGCTTCGATCGATCATATTCTCTGCTTCCAGTATGACCTTTTTGCTTCTTTTTCGTTTCTCTTCTTTGCTTTTCTTTGCTCTAATTCTGGTTGTTTTGTTGACTTTTGCCTGTGCCGCTGTCACTCCTCGTCCCGTCTCGTTGACTAATAGATGGAGTGTTTTTGATATTCGGTTTTAGGGAGCAGCAAATCACTATGGCTGGGAACCGCAGCTCCAGAATCCAGACGAGAAGGCTCCCGGCTTGATGTCACATATCCCGAGCATCTACGTAGAAGATGACAGGCGCATCGAGCCAAGGGACCTGGGGGAGAACTTCTACTCCAGCATTGCCTTTACGGACAAGCTGATCGAGTATCTCAGGGGGAAAGATGCAGAGAGGCCCTTCTTTGCTTATCTTCCCTTCTCAGCGCCACACTGGCCGCTGCAGGCGCCCCAAAAGGATATAGATAGCTACCGGGGCATTTATGACGGAGGCCCAGAAATTCTTCGCCAAAAACGCCTTCGCAAGCTTGAAGAGCTTGGGTTGATACCAGAGGGCACCGCGCCTCATGACGTGGTCGTCATGGGGAACCGTACCATGTCCAAGTTCTGGCAGGATCTTACCCCTGAGGAGCGCCGGTTCTCGTCTCGATGCATGGAAGTGTACGCTGCGATGGTCCAGTGCATGGACACGCAGATTGGCCGCGTCCTGGACCAGCTCCGTCAGTCCGGAGACATGGACAATACCTTTATCATCTTTATGTCTGACAATGGCGCGGAGGGAGCGCTTCTGGAAGCCCTGCCAGTTGTGCAGAACAATATATTTGAGCATATAGACCAGTACTACGACAACTCCATCGACAACCTGGGCGCATACAATTCCTTTATATGGTACGGACCTCACTGGGCGTCTGCAGCCACTGCTCCGTCCCGGCTGTATAAGATGTTTACCAGCGAAGGCGGCATCCGGGTGCCATTAATTCTCAACTATCCTCCTCTTACGGCTGGGAAAGATGGGATAGATCATACATTTGGCACCGTTATGGATATTGCTCCCACAATCCTCGATCTGGCGGGCATTAAGCACCCAGCCCCAACTTACAGATCCAAGCCGATTTACCCTATGCGAGGCTCATCTTGGCTACCATATCTCAGGGGAGACCGGAAGCACATCCACGATGAGAACCATGTTACCGGCTGGGAGCTCTTTGGCCGCCAGGCAGTGCGCCAGGGAGACTGGAAGGCGCTGTATATCCCAAAACCAGCCGGCCCCGGGAAATGGCAGCTATACAAGCTAAGTGAAGATCCAGGCGAGACGAAGGACCTGGGAGATCTATTCCCAGACAAACTGGCTGCCCTCGTCGCCGAGTGGGATAAATATGAAAAGGATGTAGGCGTCATTGGAGCAATGCAGTACGGAGTGCTGGGTGTAGAAGACCCGATCCAGCAGTGGTGAAGGCATATACGATGACGTTCACCCAATATATAGTTATGCCCGTGATGATATAGATGTATAGCCGTTATTTGGGTTTGTAAACGTTGCATAGGCCACTTATCGGATTAATATCGGTTGGCTCCATCAGTTAACTACTTGGGTTAAATTAGTCTATAGAAATTAAAACACAACTGGATGTTCATCCAACCTCTGACCCCAATTCGAAAGCTTCATTTTTATATCCAGCATTTACTTACCTAGAGACCGTGTAGGGAAAATATACTCAGGCTGTCATCGCCAACGTCGCAGATTCCGAACACCGAACACCAAGCTCAGCAGATCAGACATGAAACTGTCAAATTTCCCCTTCCTTACGCCCGATGAGTTCTCGCAGAGCTGTCAGGGATTTATACGCTTGGTTGATAGCTGCGACGACCAGCTCGAGCCCCTTGGATGGGCAAATGCCGGATTTGATCGGAGTGTATGAATATTTATTCCACTATCTGGCTCTTTGGGCCATGGGCCTGTCTCGTATATGGACGGAAACGTCTGCATCTAGAACTGAACTGGCTGACAAGATATACAGGGCCCCGAAGCTGTCCTGGTGGTGAGGAGATATATTGATAAACAGGCTATACATTCTACGACGAAGGAGATTGCATCGGATGTTGGGGAGAAGAGTACAAATACTGAGGATGAAGAAGAGACGGAAGAATACATAGAGGACGACCCTGTTTGGCAGCTCTTCCCTATTCATAAACCTAGCCTGGTGAAGTCCATTCTAACTTTTGACATACAGGAAGCCCTGGTTCGGCTGCCAGTTTCGAATAGCAAATGTGAAGTGGAGTATAATGTTATGTTATCTCCAACATATCAAGTCCCTGTGCTGTACTTCTTCCTGCCGGGGGGGCTACCATGTGGACCGAAAGAGCTTCCCAACATATATAACTCGTTAGTTCCAGAACAGTCCAGGCCCGGGTTGAGAGATGTGGGAGTCATGGGAGGTGTAAGCATCACTGTGAGTCCACGTCCTATCCTTGAGTTTGGCTTCCTTACTTCAAAGTCAAAAGCTCATCAAAAACTAATGATAAGAACCACCCTGTTACCGGAATCCCGGTATATTTCGTCCACCCGTGTGCTACTAGCGAGGCGCTAAAGAGTGTAGCGGGAGACAAGGAGCAGACGACTGAGACATATCTGCTGTTATGGATAGGGTTGATAGGGAATTGTGTCGGGCTAAATGTCCCGCTGAAGGTTGCTGCACAAGCAGAGAATTCATGATGGACGCTCGGAAGTGGTTTCTGCTTTTGACCACTCCCTCCTTTTTTTCTTTACCGAGCTGCGGATCTGTTTCTTGATGGATCATGCGACGTTTAATCCTCATCGGACGATGCTTCCATAGACACGTCACTCTCCTCATCCATAGGCGCTTCGCCATCGCTCTCTTCCTCTCGGGTCCGTTTTACACCCTGCGGTGCTGCTGGCTCGGCAGCCTCGCCGTTGGCTGGCTTAGGTGGCACGGACGGAGTGGCAGTTGCTGCAGACGGCGGAGCGTTAAAGATGGATTTCTGAAGTTCTGTTGATATTCCTTGGTCTTCGTTCATGCCTGATGGGTTGAAAGTGCCGCGAAGCTTTGCAATTATATCCGAGTTCCCTTTGGCGTAAACAATTTTCTACGGGAGCTCTAGATTAGCAAGTCGTTCTTTTGAACTTCCCCCAACTGTCAAATGCGTACCATTTCTTTTCCAAAGAAATCAAAACCTTGCAGCGCTCTCATCGCCTGTGTGCTCGTTTGGACGTCCCTGAACACAATGTGTGCTTGCCCGCGCATACCCTTCGATCTCATGGCCACAACATCGAGGACCGCGCCATAAGTAGAGAAAAGTGTATATAGAGCCGTCCTCAAGTCAGGTTTCTTGATCTTATCGGGGAGGTTTGTACAGTATAGTCTGTGTAGAGTCAGTTCCTTACACCATCATTATAGATAGGTATCTCAGGCTTGCTTTGCTCCCAACTCACGTCTGATTTGGCGCGCCAACGTTGGTAGGGGCAGTTTTGGAGGCCATTGTCAAAAATCAGTAACTGAAATGGAGGTTTCTCTTCCAATCTGAGTGTATATGTAGATTCAACTCGAGGAATTCTATTTGTCTGGCGTGAGAGATCTCAAAATCAACAGTTGAACGTCGCTTTTTTGCTTTGAAGCTTTCGAGCTTTGTGGACGGAGAAAACTTTCACGTGACATAGTAGCTAGTATTACATAAGCTACTTACGACGTCGCGGGGGCTTTTGTGATAAGAAACAACAGAAGGCAAAGAAGAAGAAGACGACGAAGACAACGGATTGTTGTTGCTGCTATTGTATGGATTGATTGAAGAAAGCAAGGCGATAGTAGAGAGCTCCTCCTATCGCATTGTCTGGACGTCATGGCACCCCCCGAAGCCCACCACCTTTTTCACCGGCCGATTGCCGACCACTCGTTCTCATCGGATAGAGGCACTCTCGCAGTGGCCAAAGATAACGTTGTCGAGCTCTATGAGGCCTCAGGTAGCAATTACACCTTGAAAGAGGAGCTTAAAGGACATGATAAGACCGTTACCAGTGTAGACGTTGCTCCCAAGAGTGGACAGATCGTGACCTGTTCCCAAGGTATGGCCCAGTTGCCTAACTCAACCCCTGCTTTGAGGTAACAGCTCCTAAACTACGGATGCCACGCTACAGACAGAAATGCCTACGTATGGGAACAGACTGGGTCTGGATGGAAGCCCACTCTCGTACTTCTCCGAATCAACCGTGCCGCCACATTCGTTCGCTGGTCTCCTTCCGAGCAGAAGTTTGCGGTTGGATCAGGCGCCCGCGTTGTTGCAGTGTGCTACTTTGAAGAGGAGAATGACTGGTGGATCTCGAAACACTTGAAGAAGCCGATTCGAAGTACCATAACCACTCTTGGATGGCATCCCAACTCCGTCTTCCTCGCAACTGGCTCGACGGATTCACACTGCAGAGTGCTTTCCAGTTACATCAAGGGAATCGACCAGCGCCCAGAACCTAGTGTTTGGGGTGAGAGAGTTCCGTTCAACACCAACTGTGGAGAGTACTTGAATGACTCCGCTGGATGGGTCCATGGCTGTGCATTTTCCCCAAGTGGTGATGCACTGGCATTTACTTGTCATGACAGCAGCGTTACTGTCGTATACCCTTCCGGCCCAGATCAGCCTCCTCGTGCTATGTTGAACATTAGCACGAGGCTGCTACCATTCATGAGTTTGGTTTGGATTAATGAGAATGAGATAGTCGCCGCCGGACACGTAAGAATACCCTCCTCCTTTATGTTTCGTTAACGTTGGACCTTGAGCTAATATATAATATAACAATAGGATTGCCAAATTTATCGTCTGAATGGAGACGAAGCTGGTTGGAAGCTAGCTGGATCACTCGAGGTTAAAGGAGCCGCCAGAGGTGCTGTTGCTGAGGAGTCCGCCCTCAACAAATTCAGGCAGATGGACTTGAAGGGTAGCACCAAGGACGACTCTAAGCTCCAAAGTGTTCACCAAAACACCATATCTACCCTTAGGGTCTACTCTGAGAATGGTGGCTCTGTTAAGAAGATCAGCTGTAAGTTCCCACTATTATGTTCACTCTATGTTTCACGTACTAACTACGACTACAGCTAGCGGTGTTGATGGCAGAGTTGTTATTTGGGATGTGTAACAGCTCAACAGTCATCGTGGCAGTCTCTGAATACCTCTTCCTAGCTAGATCAATGACGATGGCTACAACGCTCGCTAGTTAGAAGATCCCTGGGTTAGATTTCAATAGTTGACTTGATAAGAATTAAAGTAAAATTAAGTTAAGGTTAGATGCGGCTCCCTGATTAAGTCAGCTGATGACATCAGCGTGACTTTCTCTCGACTTCGTCTCAGTCGATTTTCGCTGGTTCGTGATAGAAAGATCCGGGACGCATCACGTTGGTGGGCGTTGCGCTTATAAAGTAGCAGTGCGCTTCGTGTGATGGATTCCATCTTTATCTCACCCACTCTCTATGTTTGGTCTTATACTATAGCTAACCATGGCTCGTGTCGGCATTCTCTGCTTAGCTGTTGCGATATTGCACTCCCTTCTACCTGTAGCAACCACGGCTGGTCGGGTTGCGCAAGATGATGAGCGCTATAGCGTGCCACACCTTGAAAATAATGGACGCCAAGTGTCAAAAGCTCTCTTTGAGGAACTTGAGGAGCTCGCTAAAGTCGTCGATATAGCGTACTGTGTTGGGAACTGGGGCATAACTAAACCGTTTAGCTGCCCCGGGCTCTGTGAGCAGTTCCCGCACTTTGAACTAGTAAAGGTAGGCTGTTTTTCAGTATCTGGGAGAAATAGTAGTGGTGCAGATTATGCTTACCTTACTCTCTAGACTTGGAACACCGGCCCTCTGCTTTCCGATTCCTGCGGTTACGTCGCCCTTTCCCACCCTCCGTCGCCTAAGAGGATAATAGTTTCATTTCGGGGAACATATTCTATTGTAAATGCGATAGCAGACCTCTCCGTTGCACCACAGGTTTACATGCCTTATCCGAATGGAACAGACCCCACTCACGCAAAATGTCATGACTGCACGGCACACGGTGGTTTCATGCGTTCGTGGGAGAATACGCGGCCGGAGATAATACCTGAGCTTATAGAAACGATGAAGAAATATCCAGATTACCAGTTGGTTGTGACAGGCCACTCGCTTGGTGGTGCAGTAGCAGCCTTCGGAAGTCTTGAGTTTAAGCTGCGAGGCTGGAACCCTCATGTAACCACATTTGGTGAGCCCCGAATAGGGAACCAGGCATTGGCGGATTATTTTGATAGGGTGTTTGGCCTTAACTCGACGGCTCCCTCGAGTGAAGGCCCCGCATCTGACCTTCATCTCCCGTATCGCCGCATAACCCATATTAATGATCCTGTTCCTCTCCTTCCGCCGCCTAACTTGGATTATCGGATGCATTCAGGTGAAATTTTCATCACCAAGATCGATGTTCCTCCATCTATTACCGATCTACGTGTCTGCCACGGGCCTACTGACCCAACTTGCATTAGTGAGCAGGAGAAAGAATATACCCGTAGGCTACGGGATGCACTGCCGTGGTCATCTTTTGACAGCGACCAGAGTCCACTTGATTCCAAAAACCTAGACTCTGAGGTTGATTCTGAGATGATTAAGCCTTGGGAGCTTTTCTTTGCCCACCGTGATTATTTCCATAGGGTTGGCATATGTTTTCCAAACCTCTTTGGTTCCCCCGATAAAAGCGAGAAGAAAACATCCTGGTGGAAATTCAAATGGCTTATTCCTGGCCATGACAATGCGTGAATAAATTATTTCAGGACATTTCGGATATTTAGGAATTTTCAAGATACCCCATGTCTTTTTTTTTTTTTTTGGAAGTAGTATGATATACCCATGTACCGTTTAGCTCTTTGGTTATATGTGAAATTCCAAGCGCAAATTAACTCTTTGTCAATAATTTCCATTTTATATAGTTTAAGCAGCTTAGATGAGGCATAATTCTAGAATATACATCGAAAATTCATATCAAAATACCAAATAGAAACCCAAATGCAAAAAGGTACTTGAAAAATAAAAAAGACATGGTGTAATATCGCTAGAAGGCAAAAATAGCAGACGCTTCGTAAGAAAGATGGATATATCAAAGAAATTCGCCAGCAAAATCAACTTGGCATATGGATATATAAATGGTCCCCCTATCTACCATATTAACATACCGTTCCTTTGCATACATTTACCTGCCTAGTTCTAAGCTAGGAACGATAACAGGTCCAAACTTGACCACATTGCCGAATGATCCTTCGCCCTGCACCAAAAAGTCCACAGCAAGGCTCAATTTCGGGAACGAGCCAGCGGCAGAGCTGTTGGGTGGGTACATAGGGGACTGCAAACCGCTGTATGCGGCTTGAACAGCGTCTGGATCGTATCCAACAATTGCAACGTAATTTCTTCTGCCCATAAGCTTGCGATGTTCTCTTGGTTGGCCAGAGACATCGGTCTGGAAAAGCTCCATCATGTCCTCCTTTGTATCCGAAACTTGAGCGACGACGGATCGCTGACCGTTTGTGGGTATATAGAGGGGTTTGTTATTTCCGTGGAGAAGTTTGAGGATGTATGACGGGGGAGGAGCATTCACTACTGCGGAAGAAATGATTTGATACATTGTTTTGTGATCCGTGGGGTGTGACGGGTCATGAACGAGTCCGGCTCCGCAGCAGTTTACTGCACCAGAGAGGAATGTCATTCTGATGTTTCGCTGGTGTGCAATTCCCTGAAGAGTGCGGATGAGATATGTTCTCTCAAGATCCTATATATCATTTGTGTGAGCCATAATCTTTGAAAAGGTACAGAAATGCGGATATTTCAACACCTACCTTCGATTCATGGGTCCATTGGTCTTTCAGTTCATCGAAGATATCAATTTCACCAAATGGACTCAATACGCTGCCCATCAGACCGGATTTTCCCACTGCCCGTTTGACAGAATCAAATCCTGACCCTACAGCGTTTTTAGCACCGACAACACCGGCAACAGAGCTCGTGACCCTTCCAAGCATGTTGTAAGCCCCAGTGACGGCCTTTTTGCCGGTAGCGACGGTCTGGACGAAATGCTCTGCCGACTCCAGGCGTGGGTAAATCAGGGGTACGGAAACCATCCAGATGCAATGCTGGACACTGGGAGGGAGTGTAGCAACTTTGGGGAAGATGCCTTGGTATGTTGGGCCAGCGAGTACTTGGTGAGGGTTCCGTTCTGACCGGCAATCGGGACCTACAACTGCAATAGCGGGACCAAGATACTTAATAAAATGCCAGCCCGTTCCAGTGATAGTAAACAGATCGGAGTCATCGACGACGTGTCGCAAAACCTCTAGGGTTGTATGGTGCTGGAAAAGGAGGTACATTTCAATACCAAGTCGACCGATATTTTTAAACATGTTAGAAAACTGCATATGGTCGGGGTATGAGCCAAAACCATCAAAACTACACAGTATATTAGTACACTCTCGGCTAATATAACGGGGTTAGACGCTTACATGTCGTGGTCATCGACTTGGGAAACATGAGGTAACTGAGCAAAAGCCTCCCTCAAATGCGGTTGGTCAAAATGGCTGGTATAATAGTGGAAGTAGGCGTGTGTTACATCCTCTTCTAGTGCAGCTGTCCATGGCGCTGTTTTCCTCGCCTCCTTGCCGCTGATGGCTAGCCATTGTTTGAGAGATGGGACCTCTCTCCATAGCCGATCAGCGTTGATTTGCCCTCCAAGGCATAGCTGGGCGTGGAATCCGCCGCATTCAACGTGTTTTTGCATGATATCTTTCCACATGTAACCCACTCCACCCAAACGAGATCTTTCATTCGCATTTATATTCAAAGCAAAGTCATTACCTGAAGTCGCCACAACCCTCCATGCTGTCTCGTGTCGCCCAGCGACTAAGAATTCGTAACGCGTGCAGCCAAGGTGGGAGGTAATAGCGTACGTCCACTTATGAGAGGTGTGATCATCCATTTGTAGGTCAATGCTATATTTATAGAATATCCATCGCTGATGGCTGGCAATGCGTGCTGGCTGAAGCTGTCTTGGATTTGGTGACAAATCAGTGCTCTTGTGTATATGGATCGTTGGGGGCTGGGATGCGTCGGTCACAAGCAAAATTGAGCCTAGCCAAAGGCCCCGTTCCATGTCCATGTTGGTATACCGCAAATACGGACCGAAATATACACCGTTCGTAGGAGCAACTTTATACATTTCCACACCACTTGCCGGAGGCGGTCCCACGAAGCCACTGTTCATTCCCATAGCACTGCCATCATATCCGGGAGTCATTGGTAAACCTGGAGAAGGCATAGGCTGGCCAAAGGCAGACAGCGCGGGGGAAGCTAAGGGTTGTCCAAATGCAGACAAAGCCGGAGATGCTAAGGGTTTTGCAAAGGAGAGTCCAGGAGATGTTAGCCCATGTCCACCAAATGTACTGTGGCCAGGAGACATAGGAGTCTCATTAAGATTAAGCGGCGTGGGACCCTTGGGGAATTCCCACTGGGTAGATTGTGTGGGCAAATGAATGTAGTAGTATTGACCAGAGTTAGGGTCCAAGTGGGCTATCCAGCCTTCTGGAAGAGGGGGCGGAGAAGCTGGCCCAGGCCCGGGATGTGCCGAAGAAGGCTCGCTTTGCTTCGATGATGATGGAAATGCGGATGGTCCGCTTGGGAAACTATGCTGGCTTGGAGTTCCGGTATGGCCTTGACGGGAGTCGTTTGCAAACGCGGGATGGCTCTGTATTGATGGCTGAGAACCAGCTACTGACGGAGGGCCGGTGACAGCCACTGACCCAGCTATAGGTGGGTATTGAGTGGTAGGCCCACCATACTTTTCTTGAGGGTATCCTATATTCTGTCCGCCCATTACGCTTGAATATGCTGGAGGTGGGGAGGCAGTCATATTCAGTCTTTGGAAATCATCTTCTAGTTGGCCTTGTGGATTATTATTATTAAGGTTGTGATTATTATTAGCGGTGGCAGTAGTAGTGGGAGCCGTGGGAGCGGTAGTGATGGGTTGTGGTGGCCTGGGGAGTTGGCTGGTGGGCGCTTCAGTAACTGGGGCAGGAGTGACGTCCGAGTCACCTTGATAGATTCTTGGAGGACCGTGGGGTTCAGTCCCCGGCTGTTCAGTCGGAGTCCATGGACGCGGTGGTGCAACTGCAGCGTGCTGTATAGCTGGCGGGTTGCTTCTTCCTGGAAGGCCGCTGTATTGTTGCGCTCTTTGCTGCGCCGCATGATTGTGTGCATGAATGCTGCTGAGTGTTGCCGCACCAGCGATTCCAGAAGCGGCATAACGTGCCTCAATATCCGAACTCGGCTGTTGTCCAGGTCCAACTATCGGGGTTTCTGGTGGCGGAGGAGAGCCACGCTGGGCTTTGGTTGTAGATGTAGAAGCGGTGGAATCGATTCGGTTTATGGAGCTAGTTGGCGCCTGAAGATTGCTAGACGATTGGCCCGGCTGTGTAGGAGGCGGCCAATACTGCTGGTGGTATTCAGGGTATGGATTCACAACAACCGAGGGGTTATTATTTTGAGTAGAAGCACTGGGCTGTTGAGGAGCGGCCCTTTGTGGAAGACGCTGAAAGAGGCCTTCCTTATCGGGGCTCTCAGCTGTAGGTGACTCCAGTTGTTTTGGCCCAGCCGCACCTCTTCTCTCCGCAAGGCTGGACTGGGCCTGCTTGGGATCGCGCCTGTCCTGCGGTTTTAAAGCTGCAGGAATATCTGCATTGCTGGACGCTGGTGAAGAGAGCGAGACAGGCGAGTAACAGGTTTGACCGGGCTGTCTTGATTCACTCGGCTGAGGGCCATTATTCTGATTCCATTGCTGATCTTGCGTCCTTCGGTCATCAGGATAAGGCAACGAGGACACCGATGGCTGGGATGAGACCTGACGGTCTGCTTGGGGATTTGATGAGCTGCTGGGGGCAGGTGACGGAGTGCCTCGTTTTGCAACTCGAAGAGGCGAGACAACCGGGTGTTCATGGCCAGAGGGAGAGTTGAGGAACATCTCGTCCCCTCCCTTACCGGTATTTTGACTAGAGCTCATTGCGCTTGTCTTAGAGTCATCGAGATCTATAAACAAATGCTTTATCTGGCCTTATCACGCCGGCGCAAATCAGCCCTTTTTCGTAGATTGTGATAAATCGGCGAGCAGCCACCGTTAGGCGGGGGAAAACGGTCGTCAGTTAAGGTGGGGAGGAGCCTTGATGCCGGAGTCTTCCAGAGCAACAGAAGACGTGTAAAGTCACTTTGGATATGATTATCTTGAGGAAAGGTGAAGAGAGGGCAGAAAGGGGCGGTTGTATGCCAGAATATCAGTGGCAACCCTCAGCTCGACGAAGAGCGACTCTCCCTTGCCTGCGGCCGTCCCTCCCTGGAGCTTCGTGTGATAGACGGCCAAGTTAACGCCAAGGGTAAAAGCTGGCGGCTACACAGGCCGCAGACGAGATGATTGGATGCTCGTCGGGAGATTGATCATGGCCCAACATGAAACCTGACAACTTGCGTCTGCAGCCAGCGATTGGTCTAAGGATGAAGCCTTCAGCCACTGGCGGGCCACGCATCGAAGTCGCATGCCTCTTCATTCGTCCGGCCTATTCAGGAGCAGGCCGCCTTAGCGCCGGGAACCCTGCAAGCATATTCATCATGCAAAAAGCGACAATGCAATGTTGGAAGATCGAAGCTGCACAGATGAGAGTCAGCGGTTTTTCACAAAGTCATAGTGGACGTTGGAAATTTCCCAATCGGGACAAACGCCGCAAACTCTCATAGTAGCTATCATTTGTTCTTACATCAAGGTCTAGGTAGTTATTTATTTCTCCTTTTCATCCTTGGATAAATCGTTTTGAGCATTTCCATTTGTGCGAGATGGCATATTTCGCTGACTCGTTCGTAGTGGTTGGTAGATGGAGTTCTTTGAGTGTTATGATGCCTTGGAAGTAGTACCTAGGCACCTAGGTAGTCAACCAAACGGCTTAAGGGGCGATAACTGGTTAACTAGTTATGTCTGCTCATTACGGAGTACAACCAACCGTGCTGCAGCCGCTGACAGTGGGAGATGCTTAACCGGCCGTTTTTCCGCCTTTGTCGATCTCTTTTTTGAAAGGACAGGCCGATCGGTTATCCCCTTTCCATATAGAATATTTGACCCAAGAAACGTTGCTTCCTAATGGTTTAGCAGCGATTCTGATTATTCATATCGAGCCATCTATAGTGGCACTCAGTTTAGTCTAAATACTGACACAGGCTAGTCTTTCCGCCTGCTGGCCGGAACGTACTATCTAGTTCCTCGGGTGTCTTGCAGCCTCTGGAATGGATATAAGAGACAGTGGCGCCCTCGTTAGGGCTCATTTCCCTCACCTGCTCGGGCAAGCAAAAGACTTAACCGCCGCACGACTTATGAATTCACGGGGTGCTTGGCTAAATTGAATGTACCCTGAGTAATGTCTTCTGGAGTGGTATTATTGTCTCGGAATTAGGTTAAATAATGCTTAGGCTGCATTGAGGTTTGAGACACGAGAAGTAGCCCACTCTGTTAAAAAACCTCGAGTTCTGGAAAACATATACAATGAAGATAAGTTGTGAAATGCCGTACAAAAATAAAGCCCAAATGCTTCGCTTCCATGCCCGAATGTTCAGTAATTCCAAGCCGACACCGTTAACACCAATCATGCCAAAATGCTTTCAAAAAGTTTAGAGGGGAATAAGCCAATAAAATAAAAAAAAGAAGCCGAAGAAAATAAAAAAGATAGGGATGACTCATTTATAGGCCAAAATTGACCATTTGTAGCCCTTGCTTCGTCATGATATCAAGCCAGTCAACATCAAATGCATGGCCACGTCTCATATACCCATTCGTTTGATGTTGATATACTGTCTGCAATAACTGACGAGCGGTGGCCACATTACGGCCAACTCCCTCATTTGTTTCGAAGCTAGACAATATATCAAGTGCTATCATCTTATGCGTAGGTGATGTAGCTGCGACTCCAGCAATGAAGGTAGGGAATATGATGAATCGAAGATCGTACCTCCCCATGCTATTGATCTCGTTGGCAATGGAGAGGATAGCAGAAATACGTTGATCGATGTCTAGGGCCGATAAACTACCGGTCTCTGCGGTTTGGTTAGGCCACATGTTGGTGTAGGAGTATTCATGCAGCTATGGAAGAGTGTTGAACACTAATTTCATTTCATGAAGGTTAGCATAACTTCAAGGGTTGCGCTGAGACCGAAAAACGGAAATGGAGCGAAATGTAGATGTGATTGATCGGATAAGAAGTAGGAGCGGTATAGCAGGCGGAACTTACATGCTGAAATACTTCCTTTGAACGGGGTGGCAGCTGATGTACCTGTTGTTGGAATAAAGACACTCGGGGAGTTGTCCACATTTGGATGAAAGACTGCTGGATATCAAAAAGACGCTTCTCTTTAGCAGCACGCCCAAGTAAAGAATAGCCCATTGACCCGTCTGGAAAGGTCTGGGAGACAGTGTCTCGCCGACAGTCAGCTGCAAGGATACCAAGCCTGATAGCGAGTATAAATGTATCTCGGTTTAGGCGGAGCATCACCGGGAGAGTATGCTCTTCTCCAGGGTATATTATGCTTTTGCCATCGTCGCCAATAGGGTATAGTTGTGACAGGGCGGCTGGTATCATATCGTGAGCTAGCAAGTTACGCACAAAGTCTCCGGTGCCAGCTCCGCTGAACAATGCGTAAAGGTCAATCCAACAGATCCACCAAACGACAAATGGGAATGGTTCTCTTTGTAATATTGCGCCCCTCATATAGCAAATCCGTATTAATCGCTGGATATGATGAGACCAGAGATTCGAACCACCAGGTTCAGCGGCAGCAATCTAAGAAGAAATAAATAGATGTAAGCGCACCTTACAGGGAGTTAAAAGAAGTAAGGGTCAATGGGATGCACATACCTCATATATCAGGAGGAGAAAATGCGTCAAAAATACTCCATCTGATGATAGATCTTGATGACTTCTCATACTTGTCTGGAGAAATGGAAGCGTTTGTTGATAGTGCTGCAGTGAATCAATACTTTTTGATGGATCCTGGCGTGACAAACTTAAAGCCGAAACGGCCATCATGGCATGAAAAAGCTATGAAGTAAAAAACATGTTTAGCTACGTTCATTGGTATATAAGGGGAAAGCATTAGAAACTCACAGGTAGAAAGTTAGCAGCTTCCTTCTCGAAGATATCAGCTCCAGGCATATGGACATGGCTGGGGTGTACATGACTATGCTCGAGCCCTCCTTGAACGAGGTGTTTCCACACCACGCTTCTGAAATGACTCAGTAGCTTTGCATCTTCTAAGTTGCCAATTGACCCAATAAATATCGGGTGCTTTGGTTTGTTGGGCCCTTCTAGCTTGCTATCCTCGTAATCCTCGGGTGACTTGGACCTGGATGTGACAGTCAATGGGGATGATCGTATTGATTTCCAATAGCTTGTGTTTAAAGCCATAGAGTCCTCGAATTTAGCTAGGATCACCACATTCGGGTCTGTCGATTCTGTTGATGATCGAGGTCGAGACCTGGAAATATTTCTCTTATGGCAAGGCTTGGTAGCATTTTTGGTACAAGGAAGTTCGTCGTACGAATCTTCGCTATCGTCTGTGAGATTTGCAAAGCTCTCCGGGTTTACCACAACATGGTATGTCCCAGGGCGATAGCATTCTGCTTTCATTTCCCGCTCTATGTCTGTGGTCAATGAAGCAAACGGGGGGAGGGTGTCATCGGTCATCGAGCTGGTGGTTGAGCCGGAGCTTCCTTCTGACGGTGAGGATGAGGATGCTTGTTTGGCGTGTCAGCTGCGCAACATGATGCGGATTATAGGAGGATGAGCATACAGTCCCACACCGCATTTCCAGAGATGGAAACGTCTTGCATCCGCTCCATGACTTTTAGTGTATCATCTCGGAATGATAGCCTTGGGCTATAGTCGCATTCATGGCCTAGTCGGGTGCATTGCTATAGATTTGTTTAGGACAAGCATAACAGGGAGAGAAATCTTGCGTAAGTACATACACCACATCTTGGATGACCTTCGTCGCATTTTACTGGAAAAAACGTTAGCAGCTGTGAGTAACAATATAGGTTGATAGAGCTCCTTACCTTTTCGTGCCTATACGTATAATCAAAACCAGAAAAGTGAGCTCTTCTGAATTTTTGTATGTAGAAAAAGGAAGCAACAGGGTGATAATTACCCTACAAGTCCTATATTCACGGGAAATTGTTAGGTAAAGTGGTTCAGTTGACATATGTAGAACGCAGCTGGGCTCAGATCCTGCTTACCAGCAGCCTGTCTTTGACCTTGGAGGTAAACGTACCCTTGTCGGCATTTTAAGCTTAGAGGGTTCCAGGTCCCATCCCCTGGCTAAACTTGACAGCTTTGGCATGCCATATTTTGGGGCAATTGGTGGTAGTGACTGCGTATGTTTTGTTGAAGCCATGTTAGAGCAAATAATCTTGCTTTTTATTGACCTTGATTAAGTTGAGTAGACCGTAACTGTCACCAGACGTAAACAGTTATGCCAACTGATGCAAAAAGATGTTATATTTCGAGCACTGTGGGTGAAAATGTATATGAGTTTGTGCATATAATGGTGATTTCTTTGTTATATACGTTGTTTGCCTGCGTGTAAGGCGGGCCACTTAACGGCTGAGCGGCACTGATCGATCGTTCAAGAACGGTTGTATTGTGAACAGTTAGTTGCTGACCTGGTAAGTGCCATCGAGGGAATAGATTGCGTAAGAGGGCAAAAAGGGCAAAGAATGAGAATAGGGATGTGGCGTTGAGACTCCTTCAAATATTCCAACGGTCAGGAGACTGAGCAGCATAAGCTTGGAACACCTCCGTGATAGTCATGATAATAGTGAAAAGTTCCACTAGCTGATGTTGTAGCATAATTTACATACCCCCGGGGGCATCCGTTGGTGTACGGAGGGTATGGCTGGATGTTCTAAGGTCGTAGTTTAAGGATAAACCTGTAAACCACGCGGACCATGATGGCCTTAACCCCTAAGCTAATCGCCAGCGAAACGCGCTTGCGAGCTAAGCATCCGAATAAATATGCAAGGTGGTTTTGAACCTGGGGTAGTTATTTAGGGTATCCGTACTTCGTAGTCGCAAGAGCCTTGCATATGGTGCGCCAAGCGACAATCTCAGGATATAGTTACAGCAGTAACTGTGCAGAAGCAAACAGAGCCCACGACTTAGCTTTTCCCAAGGGAAATGCTTTTCCTTTCAGACTCTTACTTGAGACTCGATCAGGAAGATGGTAAAGAATTGTCCGCTGGCCTGGATGAAAAGAATACGAGGAGCCAAGCGTGCTGTGCTTCGAAGACTAAGACTCGTCCCTAAAACTTCGTACCAGGGCATCCAGGCTCACTGGCTATCGTCTTCGGAGGGAAGAAGGGAGTCTTCGTTCATGCTGGGCTGCTTGCTGGGAAGCCCTTGCGCCCGTAAGCTCATGGAAGAGGACCACGCTAGCTTCTCTCCGTCTTGGAGAGGTGACACTTCACCTCAGCCCTGCTTCGCTGGTGCTCTGTATGGCTCCATCCACACGCGGGTACTCAGGGCTCTTGGACTGTAGAGCCAGGGTAATTTTCAGCGAGCAAGGAGCAAATCTAATCTCTTTGCTTTTGAGCTCTCGCACATACGATCGCCACAGCTAGACCGTGAGCCAGCTCCTTCAGTGCGCCAGACAGCCGGTAGAAGGTTCTACAAAACCCAGAGATGCGTCGGACTCCGGCTGGATATCCCGATGGATTATCCCAGTCTTCTGATCTGCCGTTTCACTTGGCAGGTGGTAAATGGTGACATCTCCGACTGCAGAGCAAAGGATGAGGCGTCGTCCTCGTCCTCCTCGTCGTTGTTGATGTTGCTTGCCGTTGTGGCTGTCGTTGTCGTTCGAACAAGCAACAAAAGCGGACATTTTTACTCAGCGGCGTCCCGTGATCTACAGGAAGTTGACAAGAACGTCGACCAGCATTTCAAGATATAATTTCTATGAAACTCTCAAGAGAATTCTCCGTGTAGGATATCTGTGCCCAGAAAAGTGCCGGCTGTGTATTATCTGGGTACGTACCTAGGCATGATGTCAGAGCTGTCCACACGCAAGGGAGGGAAGAGCAGCCCGTCTAGTAGAGTCAGTTGAGGATGAGGATAATAGATAGTTATGTGTTAGGATGTTCCATTTTAGCTACGACTCCCACTCATTACCCAGGTTATCCTGAGGGTATTAGGCCTTTTTGTCCCTTATGGTCCTACATATAACAAGCGACCGTGCTATGGGAAGTCTTGAGTCGATCAGTTAGACGACTATTAAAGTGTATCCGTAGATCTAATTCTATTATTTAAGACGAACTGCAACACAGCTGGTCAATAATGGTATCTGACCAGAGAAAAATAGCGAGAAGTTAAGAGGAACTGGACCGTTTACACTGTAAATTTTGAAAATATTCGAAAACGAGGTCGAACCCTTGTCTCCCATTCATTATAATAGGTAGTTAGAAGCCATGTCAACTCCGAGACACCTGGTCATCCCGCATACCTACGACGATGTTTACTCCGAAGCATTCCGCATGCAGCTCTGAGATAACCAGCATCACTCACTAAAAACGAAGATATTTGCATTAGACTCAGCAGAGTGATCGGCTGGTGTTTTGGCCGGATGACGAAGATACTCTATCTCTACCTGTCATACTATGAGTTAATGGTGTCCCCCAAGCTTCGTGGCATTTATAGAAGCTATATTTGCCCCAGAATCTCGTGCCAGACACCTTTGACTGATTCAGACCGCTCGTTGGCCTTCCACTGCTCGATCAGATGTTTCTGGGAACTGCTGAGTGACAAGGAACACTTCTTCAAGGTTTTGACGTACGACAAAACTGCCTGGGCATATTTGCTTCTCACGCTTTCAATAGGTAGATCGATGTCTTCGAACAAATACTCATGCTCCTTGAACAAAGTCGACGCGAGTTTCTTGTCCAGGGGCATTGATGTTGAGTTGCCACCATCCTCTCCGCCGCTGAGAAGTTGTTCGTCGACCCGATTGAAAAGGTCCTTAACACAATCAAATAACGTGGGGTATACGGATCTTCCGGTATATGTGATTATCGGCTTGATTATGGACGACACACTAGAGAGATACTCACAAAGAACTATTGGGTGAGCTTGAGGTGAGTGATTGTACATAATAATTTGAGGCTGCGGCAGGGACGTACCTGACGGTGAAATGTTGGGATTTGCAGCGTTGTATAGACACTCTATCCCTGCATTAAATGTCTTGTCTTCAATGCTAAACCGGTGAAGTAATTATCAGCAGATGTAATCTAAATAAATGCATGCAAAGGGGCTTACTTTGGTGCTCGACTGTCTTTCGAATCAATGTCCATCTTGTCGCTTTTGAGTTCTTCGACCATCTCCTCAAAAATAGGGGACACTACGGCCAGTGTTTCTTTTGTCATATCAAGTTCCTCCAGGTTCCTAGCAAAACGCCCAAGTCCTCTCAGTCCATATGGCCTATAGTCAGCGTTCTTCCGTTTGGCCTCTCGGATCACAATGACCTAGAATATTCGTTAGCAAATAAATAATCTTTCTGAGAAAAATTCGACGGGCCTACTGACCTTCATGCGATTCTTGACGTCACTCTGTTCCTTCAAGAATGCCTTGGAAAGACTAGAAAACTTAACGAACGCTTCAAGAACTTTGTCTTTCCCATCCCAGGTTTTCCCTTCAAGGGCCTTCTCGAGGTGTGGCCAGAGGGACCTCGCTGTGGGAATATCCATATTCTTGTCTATTGAAAGGACAGTTTTTGCCACAGTAAGAGCGGATGCATGTTTGATCGGCCATTGAGGGGAGTCTAACTGGCCCGAGACAAGATCAAGTATCTCATTGAGATACAATGAAATAACCCGCGAACCGCTCACATTATCATTCCATGTCTTGGAAAAGAAATCCTTAACCTCGTCGGTGGTATCATGCATTCCAAGGAATATGAAGGGTAAAAAGGCCGCTGCAACTGCTTGGACCCTATCGTTTGCCAATTTCGACATGGAATTCATAATTTCACCAGCAACTATGCGATGCGCTGTGTCTTCCGATCCGAAATAAAGCGACTTTGCGAATTTGATCGTATCTAGCACATCTTCATTGCTAGCCAAGCGAGTAAGATAACCGATAGCAGAGCTATATGACGCACTGACGGTTTCATTCCTGTCCAAGACAAGTTTTCTTAAGATACGAATAAAGCGAGCTGCATATGGGCGAAACAGTATTTGCTTGGAGCTGAGGATTACCAGGACTCGGCTGCAGCCTACTTTTGATGGTAAGCCTATCGCAGAACGTATTGAAGCCTCCAAAGCAGGCACAACTTCTGCCATACTCGCTTCGTCAAGTGAGTCGAGGAGATGAAGCTCAATTGATTCCATCATGGGTGAGCTTCTGATAGCAGTTAACCTCATTTTGTCAATGGCCTGACCAGTCAATCCGTATTTATCAGCATTCAGATGGACATAGTTCACGGCCTGAGGCTCTATTGACGTCAGAGATGTGAGTAGTCTTTCCAAAATAAGGGCAGCAAACGGCCTGATCAGCGGGCCTGGAGCTTTTTTGACGATCTTGGTGATGGTTAGGATGGAGTATTTTTGGACCCCTTCGACACTCGATTCAATACCTTCACGACCAAGTAGAAATGGAATAATATGTTGCAACATAAGTTTGGCTCGTTTTGATGACGTGTCACCACTCTCCATAGCACGCAAAACAATCTCACTGAGCGTTTGACATAATGACATTGCCGCTTGCCGTACGGTCGACTTAATATCATCAAGGACTTTGAATGATTTTGTGAGGATTTCGTTCAGAAACTTGTCATATTTTTCAACCTGACATCCCTGGAGTAAGGAGGCAATACCGGCGCAGGCAGCTTGCCTCACGCGCCATTGTTTTCCATCCACGACACTTCGCAGGAGATCCTCCATGATTGCGTCAAAGTTGGCGTCAATGATAGCGTTTGGGTCTTTCACAAGGGCGTTCCATATATCGTTCATCGATCTTTGTACGTTAGGATTTGGATCAAATCTGTACCTATAAAGCTTTGGGTATAGTTTTGGATTCTGTGAAAGATACCCGTTCTCACTGGAGTCTGAGAGAACATTACTAAGACCAAAACGGCCAAAGGCAGCACGACTCGACCATATTGCACTATTAGAAGCCAGTGACATGAAACGATAGACAAGGCTTGGATCACCAACTTCAGATGCAAGGCCTACAATGTCTTTGTAGGTGGTAATTGAACCATCACCAGTCGGTAGAGCTCCAGGTTCAAACAGTTCCGTTTCCTCAGAGATCTTTCCACCTCCCATATTGGAGCTGTCAGCAGTGAATGATCGTACGAGGTCACGAACTAAGTCGTCTTTGAGGCTTTGGCTTCCTAGCTCATATACTAGCGATAGACCTCTTGATGATGATTCTTGAACAGTTTCGTCCTTGTCGGAAAGTAACCAGATGAATGTTTGTTGGCATTTCCAGAGGCGAGACTGAATCTCTTCCTTTTGACCACAATATTGTATAAGGCAAAGAAGCCATATGACTGATGCTTTTTTCAATGATGGCTTGGGAGCTTTACAATCACTCATGACCTTGTCAAGAATTGTAGAAAGCACAGGGGAGGGAATTTTTGAGGAAGGCTTCTCAATATCCACGTCCAAAGACGAAGTCAGGGAAGCCGACTGCCATCCTGCTGCCACTATGCTCAAGGCCTCCCCAATAGCAAATTGCACCTCAATGACTTTAACTTCATGTAGAGAATAAAGTAGATTAAGCAATTGCTCTAACTTAGTAGATGCAACGTCACCTTTCGGGATAATTAGGGATAAACGTCCAAGAGCGGCTATAGCTGGTTCACTGTGCTTTTTAGCATCAGCAGAGATAGATTCAAAGATTGCCTCCCATTTATCATCTTTGATGTTATCCATAGTAATGGCAGCTGCAAGGCTGAGCTGTCCAATTACATCATAAGCGGCTTTCTTAAAGGCAGAATCGCGAGAGCTCTTCAATATATCGAGTGCTGTGTCTAGGCATTCTTGTGATTTTTCATGTAGACCTTGAACCTGAGCACCCCGAATTCGTGACCGGGAGAGCATAAACGCCTGGCCTAACAACGCTCCGCGTGCCTTGTATGCCGCAGTACCAGCGGCCGCCTGCCAACTGGAAGAATGGGGAGATAGAGTTTCCCATGCCCGGTCCCTGTTCTCCTCAGGATAATTAGGGTGGCTGATCAGGATGCCGAAGGCTTGAGCGGCCGTATCTTGGTCAGGTGGTGCTCTTTTGAACAAGATACCGATTAGGGGTTCGCAATACTTTACTAGAGGGTGAAGGAGCCTGTTGGGTGTGAGAGAGGCAATTTCAAGAAAGTGGGTAGCTGACCGGCCAATTAATGGTGCAGAGCTTGAAAGTAGCTGCTTTAGGCAAGCCTTTAAAAACAGTGGAAGAACGTCATCGTACTCAGTAAGATGCGTCTTAATAGAAGCTCGGGCATCTTCGCTGTTTGAAAGAACACTGTCGAGACGCTGTTCCCAATTGTGCTCAATATCTTGAATTGCATCAGTGTCCATCAAGGCCTCACAAAGTAGTATATTCCGAAGGTATGTGATAGCATTTTCGTACACAAGGGCGTACTTCTCAGAAGCCAGGGTTGACTGAAGGGTTTGTCGGAGAATATCATTTTCTTCAGTATCTTCGTCAAATAGATACTCTGCTAATTCTTTGAATCGTGGAAAGATGTATCGTTTATTTTCAGCGATTGGAGTTGTGATGTTATCACACGGATTCAACATGCGATACCAGTAAGGGTCGAGCCCTTTCCTCCCCTCTTCAGCAATTTCTAGCCCGCCATCTTGGCCACCAGCAATGGCTAGCAAATCAATACACCTGCCGTGAATGTCATTGTATGGCATACAACGGTTGGAGAATCGGACGGCGGCAAACCGAGTGCTTCTAACAACGTTGGCCCCACTTATTGGATTTCTTGACCCAGGTTCAACAGTCGCGAACCTGATTAAAATAGGGCGAATCTGATCTATTGAGCTCTGATCCAAGACCTTGGTGATGGAGTTGAGAACTCCACCAAGAGCCTCTTCAATGCTAACAAAAATCTGAGGGCCAGAGGTGTCACAGCTTAGGGAAGAAAACATCCACTCAAGTAAATCAATATCAATAGGGTTGTTACTTCCTCCAGTTAAGGATGGATCAATCTTTGGAGCAAGTAGCCCTATGGACTCATAAGCGAGGGCCCTGGAACTAAGTTCAGCTGGTTTTAATGGTTGACTGGTAGCTGGCCAACCTTGACCTTCGACCATTTCCCTCAGAGATTTAATGATACTGGGTGAAACCAAGTTCAAGTCTGAAGGCGCTCCCATCCTCGTCAGCCAAGTGACGAAAGAGAAAATTTGATGTCGTAGTTTGGATACTTCTAACCCCCTGGCTCCGCCTAGGCTGCCGGATGTGAGGCCATCATTAAGAACTTGAATAATATGCTGGCTTTTGGTAGTTGCTTGAACAGATTTACTCAAAAAATGGAGAATTTTCATTTTCAACGCAGGACGGGCGGGCAGGGCGCCATCGGCCTCTGTTGACCCTAGGTAAAGAGAAAATAACTGATCAACCACGAGATCAGACTCCAAATCTGGGCGAAATCGTTTGAGTATATCGTCTCCAATATCGGATATTCGTGCGTTTGCGTCCGCGGTTGCAATCAACGCTGGAATGAACCGATCGGAATCCTTGAAAGCACCGCTGTTTATAAATTTCAAAGCAGCCACTTTTGTGTCTATGAGATTTAAACCACCAGGAGCGGCTGGGTCCCAAGTTTCACCATTTGAAGTCTGGCGACTTAAAAATATCGTTTCTGCCATAGATAACCCTGGAGAAGCACCTATTGTGGGCGTAAGAAGAAGTAGCTTTCCAAACCAGGATGAGAGATATGTGCTGTCTCCCGGAAGCAATTTCATGCTGCTTTCTAAATCTAAATCCTCATTGCTCCCCTTAGGTGGCAGTTTTATAAGGGGTAAGAGCTTCAGCACTAAGTTGAACACAATAGAAGCTTGAGCCTCAGAGCCATTGAACTGGGATATTCCATGAAGCAAGGATGGTAGAAGATCAAGACTCGATGGGCCCATCCGATTAAGGCCATGCCGGATATAAATCAGATCGAAGTGTCTGATAAGGGAATTATTGGTTTCTTTGAATTGTTTCATTAAGGCCTCAACCGGAAGAGCGATGGATTGCGATTGGACCCTGGTATTAATGTGCTGGCAAAGAGACACCACCTTGTTCCGGACAGAGGCATTCTCAGATGCAAGTTTCAGTAACAATGGTGCAAGATATGTATGAAGAAGGCTCTGTAGCTTTGAATCTGAGTCTGCAAGAGCAACACGTAGCTCCAATTTGGATACTAGTGAGAGCTCTCTCTCCTCTGTGCTTTCAACCATGGTTATTGAGTGGCTGTCAGTGGGTAAATAATGTAGGAGGAAATTTTCATGAGCCAAAGGAATTTATCTCAATTTCTCCGAGTATGTGGTTTTACCAGGCAGATATCGCAATATTTCTTCATCTTCTTCAAGGCAGCCAGAAGCTGTCGCGTCCTTTGTCAGTTCGACGTTGGTCCTGGGTGAATACGCTTAGTAATCCATACTCACGTGAATTACTTCCGCGTTTGGCGTCTAGTAAGCGCCCTTATCATTTGGTATTACGTAAGTGATAATCAAACTCTGTTCCTGGTTCCTTTTTTTTTTATCAAAGGACGAGGATAAGAAATTTGTCCAGCGCGTTGATGAAGGGCAACGAGCTCAGTGCATTCATTACTCCCTTATTTTCCACTTATCTCGATGCCATAATTTTAGAATAACATGACTTTAATCTTCACTCACTAGCTTCTTTTGATATTAATCCTTTAATCCCTCGACAACACCAGTTTTCGCCCGTCGAAGGAGCCTTGGTCTTACTGCCAGTTGCTTTGTTCTACGGATGAAAAGATGGCACATTCTCCTCAAGGATCATTGATACAACCTACAATCATTACAAGCCCACAGCTTAAGCCAAAATCTGATAATGATTTGGTTAAATCCCTCTCACATCTGGTCGCCGGAGCGTAAGTGAACACAACTTGCCAATTAGCAATGTGCAACGAAAACTCTTTTTACTAACTCTTATTCTTTCAATCTAGTACCGGCGGTGCCATTACCGCAGTCCTCACATCGCCGCTTGACGTCTTGAGAACTCGGTTACAATCTGACTTTTACCGTCCAATACTCTCATCAGCGGCCGGTCCCCAGGCTATGCAGCAGCAAGCATTCCAAGCAACTCGTCCTATGCTAGGGCACATCCGCGAAACTTTCCAGATACTCTTTTCAATATACCATATCGAAGGTTGGCGCGGGTTATTTCGAGGCCTTGGACCCAACTTGACTGGCGTTGTACCGGCCAGTGCCATTAAATACTATACCTACGGGAACGTCAAACGCATAATCGGTGAATCGCAAATTTTCGGGCCAAATAGCGAAAATGCAATGGGGTGTCATATTATATCGGCTGTTACCGCAGGTATAACTACTGGGACTCTCACAAGCCCAATTTGGGTGATCAAGACACGACTCCAACTTGACAAGTCACAGTCAGCCAACAATCCACAAGCTGCCCCAAGACGATATAAGAATAGTTTTGATTGCGCAAGACAGGTTCTACGGCAGGAAGGCCCCAGGGGGCTATATAGAGGACTCTCAGCAAGTTATCTAGGAAGCTTGGAGACGACATTTCATCTTGCCCTCTATGAGCAGTTAAAGATGCTCATGGCGCAAATGAAGTCCAACCGGGATGAGCTTTCAGCCATGGCAGGTGCTCGCACTACCGAAAACAAAACATTGGGAGATCGAGTGTTTGGCCTATTAGGAATGGGTGGTGCTGCTGCACTTTCGAAATTCCTTTCTTCAATCATTGCATACCCACACGAGGTAAGTAGTTATACACTTTTGCGACGCATGTTGGAACTTCAAACTAACTTGCAACTCTTTCAGGTAATCCGAACGCGACTACGACAAGCCCCTATGGCCAATGGCCATGTAAAATATACTGGAGTAGTCCAGTGCTTCCGGCTTCTCTGTAGGGAAGAGGGTTTCAGAGCTTTATATGGCGGCTTGACGCCACATCTCCTTCGTTCCATCCCTTCTGCAGGCATCACACTTGGCGTTTATGAGGCCGTTCTTGAAGGGTTCAAGCTACTTTCCGAAGACTAAAACATGAGCGTTTTGTTTGTGGTTGGGTGTTGGGCCAGGCGTTTCCGATAATGGATATCTTTCGAGCTGTATTATTATGAACAACTATATATAATAGAACTAAGGCTGTAGACGGCTAAGGTGTAAGATATGGAAAAGGAGGTACAAAATTTAGATAATTTATTGTCTTTGCCATGAGCAGAATATATACCAGTGACTCTAGTATTTATATACAAAATGCTGCATCTAAATATATATTATACATAGGTACGCGAAACCCATTATTCAAACCCAGAGCCAAAACTACGTATATGTAGATTTTAGGGCATTGTACCGTTCAGTCGTCGGGTCTCGGCTGCTGTAGCTCTCAGCACACGACCGACATCATCCTCAACGTCATCCATAGTTTCAGTATCTACAACTTCACTTGAGACTGTGCCGTTTCTCTTCTGGTTGCTAAACAAGCACTGCCAAACGTCCGAGTCTCGAACCATCTCACCGTCACCGCCCGGCCCGGAAAGCAAATTTCCTGGTGTCACATCTTCCATCTCATGGGAATTTGCGGACTCAAGGGTATTTTCATCCAGGTGTCGAAGGCTCATTAGATGGTTAAGACCCGTGCCGTTTAAGTTTGAATGGCTATTTCTCTCCAGGTCCTCGTGGCTTTCCGATATAAAGCTGGACGACATATAACTTTGGGTTTCCTTTTTCTTCAAGCTCTCTTCGCGTCTACGTGCAGTATGAGCGAGCCGACGAGCCACGGAAATTTGATAAATGGTCTCCTCAACCGTGTTAGCAACCAGATACATCCAGACTGTTGTGTCTTGATGCTGGCCAATACGATGAACGCGAGCTATGGCTTGGAGTTCAATGGCGGTGTTGATCAGCGGCTCGCAAAGAAAGACGTGGGTTGCGTTAACTAGATTGAGGCCGGATGCATGGGCCTTTGCATGAAGGAGGAAGCACTCTTTCTATTTGTTTGTTAGAGATTAGAATGTAAGTAAACGGCATAAAGAAACAGGGCACATACGGTATGGTCTTCTTTAAACCTTTCGATACCAGATTGCTCATCAATACTTGAATGCCCAATTTTGAATCGGTAAAATACCAGGCGTAGTGTGGACAAAAAGCTTTTATTCTGTGAAAAGACAATAGATTTAGCTCCCGGGTCATGCTGTCGTAGCCATAGCAAGTGCCGACAGAGAGTATCAATCTTCGTTCCGTAAGACCCAGGAAGATCAATATTCTGGATTTCTTCCAGCACTTTTGAGCTTATATCAGAATATATAGGATTCTTCTGCGGGTTTCCTAGTTCTGTACTAGGTGCATTCTCTTCCTGAGCAACAATTTCCTGCGGTTTGTAGGTAATCTCATGGAAGTCTCTCATTTTTAAACGGCTCTTGCATACGGGACAGCTTTGGCTTTGACGCCACCAATGCCGTATGCAATCCTTGCAAAATTTGTGACCGCATATAGTCAACACGCCTATATCCACTTGTATTAGAAACCGTTTCGCTCAAGCATATAATTTTAGAAACTATAAAAGAACAAGGGGCTGGAAAACGAACCAATATCGAAGGCAGAATCACAGATGACGCAGACTCTTGTGGTTTCATCAGCCCCAGATTCATCACGGAGATGTAGAAGATATCGGTGTTTGGCTTTTAATGAGGATAGCTTGGAATCAATCTGCTTTTCAACTTCCAGCTTCGAGTCGAAGTCCTCTTGATTCACGGGATTACCCTTTTGCTCTTCGTCATATGGCGCAACTGTATCGGATATCTGTTGAAGCTGGCGGTAATATTCAAGCCTCTTATTCATAACGCTTCTGAAAAGCTCCATTTGCTTTTCCAAGGGAGGAATTGCTTTTGACTGGACTGAGAACAGTTTGCTCACTTGACGGAGTATGTCGTTCACGATTGAATGTTCTGCATGAGCTCTGGAGCTGCCCTGTATCTCTTGCCGTTCCAAAGATACAGCCAAGTTGCGAAGCTCATTCACAAGTCCTCGCAATGAAAGCTGTCCACAGGGCAGTTTCAATTCCTCGCACTTATTTATCAGAGAAATGTATAGCTCCGGAGCTGGGCCTTCACCCATTCTTGCTCTCTCCATGGCAACTCCAACCTCGTGGGTAATCAAATTATTCACTTGGCCCGTAATCGCTGCGAAATGTCTTGCAAACATTACTCGAAGGCCTTCCATGTAAACGTACATTTCGTCCTGGTGCTTCGTTGACGATTCATACTCGTCTCCTTTCAGCTCAGATCCTTCTTCTTCATCGACCAGCGCTTGTAAAAGCAGGTTTGCCATATGATCCAACCATTTGTTGAATGTATCGGTATGAGGTTTCATAGAATCGCAGAAATCTTCAACCTGGTCCAGCAAACGCCGACTTTCTATGCCAATAGAGTCTAGGGTCGTGGACATACCAGGAACATGGAATACTCCATCTTTATTCACTTTGGCTTTGAGGCGGTTGATTTGTCCATTGACCATTTGAATCGTATCCGCAAGCATTTCCCTTCTGATCAATTTTGCAGTCTCGTACCCGTTTTCCTCCTGTTTCTCTAATTCACGAAAGTCGTCGGAGTCAGGCTCTGTAATCTTGGGGTCCGTTTTGATCTGATAATAGGCATTGGCCATGAAAAATTCACACATATGTTCAGCGTCAAGGGCAGTCCGAAGCCTATTCCGAAGTACTCCTAGTTTGTTAAGCTGTTCATTCTCTGATTCATCATCCTCGCTATATTCGTCTTCTTCATTGTCATCACCATGAAGTTCTCTTTTCGTCACACTTTCTTTTGCTAGTTCAGCTCGTCTTTTGAGCTCTTCATCGAGTTGATCTCGACACCCCTGGACTATTAAACCTGATCTCTTCGCTGCGTCTTTCCAGATTTTCAAGGACTCTTTTGGCTTCAAGGCATTTTCCATTATCTGACCTCTTCGGATCTGGGAAATGAGAAGAGTACGTTCCTCAGCACGTATCTTGGTTTCGTTTTGGTCAATCATAACCGCAAGTACGTCAGCGACGGATCGAAGCGGTCCGCTGGTTCCAAGGGTTCGCGCCGCGGCTACGTCAACTTTAGGCTGAAGACAGGCTTGCCTAAGTTTTGATAGCCACGACTTCATCTTACTGATGACCATCCCTGTCTGGGGTTGTAATAACTGAGGATCCCATTCGAACGACCTAGGAGTGCCAGATCTATCTAATTCACAGTCATCGCACATTTGTTGGAAAAGCTGATCATAATGCTGTTCCTCCACGGCAGTAAATGGAATGGTGATGACGACTCTCTTTTGTTTCGGCAGTCGAAGCTCATGGGAGACAATGTCTTTGTTATGTCTAAGGGCAATCTTTCGAATCATCGATTTGAAAACGGGAGGGTATGTGCAGACTCTTTTCCAGATGCTCGCTGAGAGACAGAAAGGTTCATAGTGTAAGAATGACAGTAGCCCATATATATCTTCGATATCCTTTCGCAATGGGGTACCAGTCATAGCCCATGCGTTGCATCGTGGAATAATCCTAGCAACCCGAGCGGGTTTGCTAGTCTGTGATTCAACCATCTGAGCTTCATCAATACAAACTCGCCACCAGGATATTTGTACCAAAGGAGACTTTCTTGTCGGGACCCTTTTAGTGTGACGGGAGGACCGGTCGGGAGGGTCTTCTGCGTAATATATTTCTGTGTTCATAACCGAATAAGTCATCAGGACTATATCATAGGAAGCCAGATCGCGGGTCAGTTCCTTGTCATCCATCTTGCTCTTTTTTAGTCCGGTGTAATGTTTCACTCGGAGACCTGGGGCATGGATGGCAATCTCTTGTTCCCACTGCTTCAAGATTGAAGGGGGCGTTATTATCAGTGTTGCTCTAGATTCTAGCAACCCGGCGGGGGTAGGAGGATAAAATCGATCACCCTGATCAGGCCGCTGGTGAGCACATATCAGGGAAAGCATTTCCACGGTTTTCCCCAATCCCATCTCTTCGGCAAGGATGCCTCCTCTCAAGTGTCTTTCCGTATGGTTCCAGGATGAAAGGTTCCTGATCACTACTCTGAAGAGTAGGCTTATATAGCATTGCTGGCCGTCCGCATCCAGAACTTTATTGAAAGATAGTGGAATTTCGTCAGGAAATTCCCGGTGACTTAAGGTTCCGTCAGGCAATATCTCCATGCCTTCTCGTGCCAGTAACCAGCTGACAGTTCTTTTCTGGAATGGGAACAAAGTACACTTCATCAGGCTCGATCCCTCGACCTGGGGTACGTGTTGCTCTGACCGAGGGACATGGACATTGTCGTAAAAGTCACTTAGGCTTAGCTGTGGCTGCTCTATTTGAGGGTATTTCTTTGGGAGTGGGTGTGGAGGGTATGTTGCATCATCAGGTATATCAAACTGCGTCTTGTAGTACTGCCAAAGTGCTCTCGAAGCAAAGTCTGGTATCATATATCGTACTTCAGCGGAATCTATCCATAGTATCCTTGTCTCAAGGACGTAAGATCGGGTATGAGAACCGGGACCTCTTTTTAAATGAGTTTGTGAATAAACAGCAGGGAGCTTCCCGTGAGCGCAGTATATAGAAGTCGACTTTGAAACGGATGTCCATAGAGCATCTACAAGACAATTCTCTGGTCGAGAGTCGAGACCTTCAGCTTCTTCCAGAATTATTTCGTGTGCGCTTGTCCACAAGGTCAAATTCACACCCGGTCTGGTATGATGCGGGTTTCTAATCAGTGCAACTACGGGTATATCTATATCATGATCATTACATGAAGGAGGGTTGAGTGGTGGTTTGCTGAATTCCTAAATAGGCGAAGGAAATATATTAGCTGGGCAATCAAGGGCATGATTGCAAGGACGAGCAGAGGTCTGGCCCACAAGTAGCATTTCGATTTTACCAATTGCGATATACTGGGGTAAGATATCCGCGGCATATTGCAAATCAATACAGGGCCGTTTCTTATCAATTCTTCTCCGTTTTTCAGGAGGTTCCGAGCCCGTTTCTGGTCCCTCAAAGTTGAAATTGGCAAGCCATGCAAGCTCGTCTGGGACGCGGCCTATAGAATGGTTAGTATAACACTATTACCTAGTGACAAGCACAGGGCAGAGCGGTAACAGGAGTAACCAATCTTGGACCCATACCCGGAATTTTGACGGTGTATTGCTCGAATGCCATCTCTAACAATTGTTCTGTTGAGCTTGCGCTCTCGAGGATGAATTTAGGCAGAACCGCAGGGAGTGAACTCGGCGGACTACTTAAGTAAGGAGTTACCTAGGTACTTAACTTGATACCATGCAGCCAATCATAACCAATGAAGTACGGCGATCATACTCAGCTTGTTAAGCCATAATGCCAAGTAGCCAATAATAATAAAGGTATTTTCAATAACACTTTTATATATGGATAATACTTTACATACCTTACCTAAGCACTGCTTCTCTCCTTCTACATAGTCCAATTCTCTCCTTAGCCTGTCCCTTAAATCTCCCCCTTAGACCTTTCTCTTGACCTCTTTCTTACTAAGTTTCCTACTTATAAGGTCTTACTGCTCTCCTTTTATTTTCTACTGCCCTTAATTTCAGTAGCAGGATAGAGAGCCCTAGAGGGAGGAGACAAGTCAGGCCATCGTCCGCCGTATGAAGATATATTAAATAGCACCCTATTCTATGGATTGGGCCTTTGGGTGCAGCGATGGCTTGGTGTCCCTTCAATGGCCAACGCTAGTTAAGGGTCTCATTCTTCTCCTCCTTCTCCTTCGCCTGCCTGCGCTTCTCCGCCCTCCTGGCCTCTGTAACTTATTGTTGGACCAAAAAGCAACGCTGTTTAGTTAGCAGCAGCGAATGATGAGGATAATGGCACGTCTGAAACTTATTTATTGCATTGCTTAAACTACCTCATTCTTTTTATCTAATAGGCATATCCTTCTCATCTCCCATGGCTTCCTCCTTCGCTCCCTCTTTCTCCTTCTCCCTCTCCTTCGCCTTCTCCTTGGCCTGTCGGCGCTTCTCTGCCCTCCTGGCCTTGAGTTTGGCCTTTTGATGTGGTCTTGGGCGTCGGCGGTGGTGGTGTTGTTGGGGGACAGGACTGGGGCCACTGGCCCCGCCGCGTAGGGTCTCTGCCCACGCCTTGGAGGCGTCTGCCCATTTATGGGCGGCTTGCTCTCTTGCTGCTGCTGCTGGCCTTGTTGTTGTTGCTTTTACCGCTGCTGCTGCTGCTGCGGCTGCTGCTGCTGCGATTGCGTTTTCGGTTTTGGTCATTTTGAGTTATGCTAGTTATAACGCTTATTAAGTTAGAATTGTGATAATCATAGGGGGTATAAAAGCGCATAGTACTTACATTTGAAATGTTATATGTTGCTGAGGGAGAGAGAAAAAGAGAAGAGTAGGAGGGGAAGAACTAATCTAGAGATATAAATATGCCTGTGAGCAACACACGACTAAGGAATGATGGGGCCCAGCAACTTCGAGCTATTTTGTGTCCTGCTCCCGGCGCGGAGACAGGACGTGACGTCCTACTATATAACACAACACCGTCCAGGCACGAGAGAAAGTATAATGGCGTCCGATAATTGGTATATATGTCTATTTCAGTAAAAGGCAGGAGAATAATAACGATACACGTTAACAACGGGCAATCAAACCGCAATAATATGGTATATCCTCCAAGCCCTCGCATCGTTGCCTAGAACTCCAGGGTTCCGTGTCTAGCAAGTAACCATTTTTTCATCTCCTCCGCTGTATGCGAAGCGCGTTTCTCGGTATCAAATAGAACATTTCGATCACCCCGCTTAAGATCCAGCCTTAAAAAGGGAAATTCATTTTCAAGAGCAGTCTCGTCGAGCCATTTTCTCAAGAACCCTTCAAATTGTTCCAATTCCGTACGGGGAAGAGATTTCCAACGGAGTCCTTTTGTAGGGTAGATGTCGATAAACTCAGATGGCATCACCCCACCATACTCGAAACGGAGAGACTGCCGTACCTTTTCGATTATATTAAGGATATCAACACGATGACGGTACCGTATATCCACTTCAAGCTCAAAGCTAGATAAATCATCCTCTATATCGCACATTATAAGGTAAATTTTAATACATTGATCACCGTCTAATGGCTTATATTCAGCTCGCGAGCGGAAAAGGTAGTCAAAGGCATGCTTGATGCCACTAAAAACCTCCATCATAGTAGTGTAGTATATTTAATAATCCCACGCACGGGGACTAGAGGGTATAGAAAAGGTATGTAGTTGCGAGTTGATAGAGTAGACTTCTGTTGGACCTATTGCAGGAACCATTTGTTATTATTGTCCAAGGTAGTTAATAGGTTGCGTAGTTGGTGCTGACCGTCAGGATATAGCCATCCAGTTACTTAACTGTAGAGAGCCAGATAGCCTGTAGCATGAGCATCCATACGTGTACGCCTGCTGTCTGCGTAAGACAGGACTGATAAGACACATAGTGAAGAAGCAGAAGAAGCAGAAGAATCAGAAGAATAAGGGAATAATCAGAGGTGGCGGTGGCTGCCTAGTGACGTCGTTGATGGCATATGCCAAGACATACCAGTAGACCGGCATCAGATTACATAATGAATATGGCTAACTAGTCCAGACATGGTTAGACTCAGGGTCAAAAGTCTAACGTCTAACTTATATCAACTTGGAACGTCCTGGGCCAGTTCGTCAGTATAACAATCTAGGTACCTACTACTGACGATATCTGATATTGCATTACCGAGAGTACAAATGGCACACGATATCAAGACTGTGGCAGGGAAAGGGGGTTGGATTACCACCTTGCTCTACCATCGTTGGAAAATCAGGTGGAAGAAGATGTCTGGCGGCCATCAGATTAACTACCGCTGCAGATACCCCGGCTCCCCGCCTCTGTAGTCACTGTTACCGGGCGGCTGCACTCTAATACTGATAACATGATACCTCGATACCCATACCATAATGTTGATATAGTAATATTACTGCTAGGCGTAGGCTCCCTAGGATATATCCCAAATAGAATGATAGAGGCGCCGTCGTCATGAACACAGCTCCATGAGCATTTCGAACAGGACCCATGTATACCACCTACCTAGGTATATCCCGTCCACACGGCTCTCGTCCTGCTGCTTCTGCTGTTGTTGCTGCTGCTGCTGCGAAAGTCATTGGACACAGGATATCAGACATGGATGCTCCTTCTCCTTTCCCAAAGGGGCAAGCGAGCAAGCAACGTGACCGGGCGCGCTTGCCGGGTGCGAAACCTCGCGTCCTCCTCCTCCTCCACCTCTTCTTCTCCCCTCCTCCTCCTCTTCTTCTTCTTCTTCTTCTTCTTCCCTTCTTCTTCTTCTCTTTTTCTTCCCTCCTTGCGTTTCTCGAGTTTTCTGCTACCATCACATTGATCGATTTCTTAAGCTTATAGCTCCCCCCGATCAAGACGCGACATTCGATACGCCTCCCCGACAACCTCCTATCCATCCCGGTAACCATTCCAAGATGGATCCAGGAGCAACAGAGTCCGCTTCCTCCCCTTTCTCTTAAAGACTATTTCCCACCTCTAATACTCTTCGCTCCTCTAGCGCCGACCGCAGGTTGATAAGGAAGTGGTTAAACTCTCAAGAAGTCGAAAATTACTGCAAGGCTGTCGTGATCGCTTTGCTAAGCTTTTCCATACTCCAGAGCGTGACTCTGATGATCGTGAAAAACCTACAGCCTGGAACAGCCTTGCGAGTTGGTTTTTCCAGAATTGGAGGCGGATCCTTTTCATCTTCCTCCTCGTGGTATTTAGACTCCTCTCTTCCCTTCTGAGGAAGCCAGCTATAGACTTGTATGACAAGCATAATGGCTGGACGGCTTATTACCTTGTGAGCGAGGGTTTAGGATGGTTGGGGGTAGGGCTCCAGCTTACTATCCTTTTCTTCCCCTGGTGCAGCTATGACTGGATCAAAGTCCTAGTGTATCTGTTTGCATTTACCTCCCTGATTTCAGAGTGTGTTGCATTCGGGTACCTGGGAAGCGTTGAACCCCACAGAGGCTTTCACCAGACCTCGCTGGTGTCTAAATGTATCAGTGAAGGCGGCATCCACGTTCTCAATCTAGTGCTACATGTTCAGGGTATGCTAAAGACCCCTGATATTGCGGGTCCGAGCGTTTCGCTGGCCCTGTGGCGTCAAGTGCCTAGCGACTACAGAAACTGGGCTCATGACGCCCTGCAGGACCACCAGATTAGGTTTCTCGAAGAAAAAGCGCGATATCGCAATCGCCCTTCTAGGATTTCATCCCCGGTTGTTGCGCGAGCGGCTCTCCACAGTCGTCCAACCAGTCAGTCGGCATCGAGGAATAGATCTCCCGCAAGCATGGCATAGACCATGCTTCTAACTGGATACACCGTCTTTGAGAGTGGCTAATTATGAAGATACACGCGATGACAAACAGGGTTGGACACGGAGGCTATTTTATATTCTGGCAGGTTCCTTTGAACTAGCCGTTCTATATCACTTTTCTGGCAAGCTCTGGGCTTACCTGCTAGTTATACCTGCTCTGGCAAGCGCCCCCTATGGCCAGCCGTCAGGTATCTCTTTGCTGGCAAGCCTCCTAGGCCTTCCGCTGGTTATATCTGCTCTGGCAATGCCTCTAGGGCCATCCGTTAGTGATAGTCATCGCGTCCTCATCAACGTGTTCAACCCATTCTCCTTTTTTTAGGTCAGTTCTGGTAGCGCAGTAAGAGCCGCCTTCTGGGCGATTCAAACTGCGTGTGGGTTCGAATCCCACGGCTGACAAAGGACATATGACCACAGAACTACGTTGAAATGCGCGGCTATTTAAAACTTGACAAACACTACTTGTACGAGGAGATACCTATATGCGCTCAGAGTGCACCAGAGAAGTTACCTTGGTGATTAAGATCATGCTACCTATCTATAGAAGCTAGAGGCTAGAGGCTAACCGATGTTATAATTCAGGTATTAACCCCGCCAAGCAGGTATTAAGTGTCACTACCGTCCACCTATCAAATTTCATGTGCATCCCCTAGATATGTAAGTACAGGAAGCTGAGCTATTGAAATCAGTCAAGTGATCACTCTTATCAAGTAACTGATAGATATAATCTGCTTGTAATATCATCTTGTGGCAACATAAACATATGTGCCCCGAGTTGCTCTCATTATGTGTCCGGATATCCCAACACTTGGTATCCCTTTTATTTCCTCCTGGATCATCGATGGCCAACTGGCTAGTTAAGGGTCATGTCCTTCCCCTCGTCACTAAAGCGAATTTGGAGGTTATGGCACATATGGTCCGCTGTAATATCTTTGATTCACTTAAGTCTTAGGGGTAACGTCTCCTCCACTCCGTCCACCTTCTATTCCGCCACCTCCCCCTTTTTCTTCTCCTCTAATCTTCGCCTTTCGGCGCGTCTGGCCTTCATCTTGGCCTTCAGGTGTGGGCGGGGACGTCGACGGCGGTGCACGGTGGCATCCGATTTTTCGACTGCTCTGCTCAGCGAGGATCTGTCGATGGGCCAATCCGGCATCCTACTTCTCGCCCTGCTCGGCCGTTGGCGTAGTCGGGGGGGAGGGGCGGTGGTGGTCGTCGCCGGCTAAGGTCTTCGCCCATGCCTCGGAGGCGTCTGCCCCATTTACAAGCAGCTTGCTCTTTTGTTACTGGTGCTGCCTTTGCTGCCGCTTGAGTATATTATTTTTGGATGCCATTTTTAGTATGTGATCTATAGGATTATTAAGTTAGATATGCGATCATGCGTCTATGAGGGTTATAAAAGAGCGTAGAGGAGGGTATAGAGTATGTGGAACTTACATTTGTAATGGTATATGGTGCTGACGGAGAGAGAAAAAGCGCGAGGTAAAAAGACACGGGAGCAACACGAAGTAGATAGTCCAAGGTATCTGTGTCCTGCTCTCTGCATAAGCAGGGTTGAAAACGGAGGTTATCTTCCCCCCGCAGGTTCCATTAGTGGGTGATAGTCATCGCGTCCTTGTTAACGCATTCAACCCAACCTCCCTTTTTAGGTCAGCTAATAACTTGTGGTGGTCGTCTGGTAGCGCAGTAAACCGCCTGCTGGGCAGTTCAAAGTGCGTGTGGGATGCACAGCTCACTAGGTAGGTATCTGGATACTTGAAACCATGACAATACTGCTCTGCTGTTGGATATATAACAGGGACACATATATGCCTGAAGTGTATGAGGGAAGGATCTCTGGCAATTTAATTAATTTTTATACCAGTATTTATAGAAAAGGCTGACGTAATTGATGAATGGATGCTATGTGAATTTGGGTATTCACCTAGCCGCCAGGTCACTATCATTGCCATTCACTCTCTGACGCTCAAGTTTCCCTGTGAAGTACAGGAAAGCCAGCTGTTGAAATCAGTCAAGTATTCACTCCTATCAAGTAACTAGTTAATGGACATAACCTGCTTAGATTATCTAAATGCTAGCGGTATCATACCGACACAATGGCTGAATTTTATAGTATCATCTTGTGGTCACATAAATGCCCCGAGTTGCCTTCATTATGTGTTCCCCGAATTATATGCAATGGGTATCAAAAATCCTATTTATACAAAAGGTCTCATGTTCAAGACAATGGCGTCTGCCTATAAGTATGTGGGTTATAAGTGGCAGCGGGCATTCTACCCCGGTACGTAGCTCCCACGTCCACCATCGGGTCGGTAGCCATTTGTGCTTCATTGTTTAGCGTGGGTTGCGTCGAGGGATAAGAGCCAGATTCCAGGCTCGAGGATGTTTGAGCCATAGCCTGTGATCGTTCGCCTTGTGGTATATGGTGCTTGCTTTTCACAGCTGGGAACAAGTCGACAACAAAAGAGAGTACGTAGAGCGCGAAAATGAAGGCGATGACCCATTCGATGATGGCAGCCGTGTCCCTTGTTCGCCTTTTCTTTCCAAGAACTCCATATGCAATTGCCAGTGCGAGCTCAATCACGATGAAAAACACCTTCACCAGGAAGCTCGCGAAGATAATTTTATGTTCCTTGTAGTGGATTCCAAGGCGGAGGTACGCCAGGCATATAAATATAGCACTAAGAAGATATCCTCCTCTAAGGTTAAATACAATATATACATTAGCAATATTCAGGCGTTAATTGTTGGGAGCACAAGGGCGGAACGAACTCACATGAACATAGTTAGAAATCCGCCATGGAGACGAGAGTGTTCAACGGTGTCAAAGTGTGCTAGAAGGATAAGTCCAGCAGCCCCAGCCATAGCGAACAATATCGAAAGTAAGGAAAGTATCTTGTCGTAGATCCCTTTGTTCGGGACAAGGCGATAAGAATGTCTTAGCCAGCGCTCCGAGATAAATGCTAGCACAAAGAATACTGATGACACGGCACATCCTGCTACAAACAGCGGTTTGAGGCCTTGTGCGGCTATATCGGATATATATCTATGAAATCAAACCGGGTCAGTGCTATGACATAGTTTGCTGCTGCTGATGATGGGCGACATACGCTATGGACTGGCCTGGCTCCATTGTTGCATATACGGGGGAGCCATCAATCTTCCACCGCACCAGGAGGACTATCAACGTAGCTATCCGGGTTCATTAGCTGGTTTCTTTTCGTGGACTTGGAGATGCTCATACCTAGCCATACGCAGGCCGCCACCAGGGGGAGCAGCCAGTAGGAGATATACCACATTGCCGAATGAGCTCGCTAAGCGAATGGACGTGAGTTTCGACGATTCTGGCTTTCCTTGAGTGTGCTGCCTAACTAACTACCGAGCGAATAAGGTCGACGACAACAATTGAATATTTCTATAAGCGGAGCAAACACAGACGACAGTTAAGCGCGACAGATGTAGAGCTTGGGCGCCTATTATTTGCGCATAGGAATCTCTGCAGGAAATGCCAGGCATTATATGTCGGGAGATACAAAAAAAGCTGTTTCGGCTTGTCGGGTGATGATGTCATCGGTCGCAGCGCTAAAAGCCGGCGGACTTAAATTTCGGCATTAACCAGGATAACTTAGGTACCTAAGTTACCTCGACCGCAGGCCAGCATCAACAACGTCAACCGTCTCTTAGCTGTGAGATAGTATTCCGGGATGCAACAGGGAAACAGATGGCTATTCCGTCCTGCCAGGGGAACATAGTGGCCGTTAACTACCACGTGGATAGGAACAAAATGCCCATTGCTTTCTACCAGCGCAGAGGCCAGCAAGGTAGCCTTTGATTGACTTCGTTCCCAGCTTCTATTTCCTAGATCTCTAACCTAGTAACAGGATAACAAGCTGACTCGTAGGCCCTTTACTTAGTTATTCGAATTACATATCTTTCGTTCGGATGGCGGGTGTTCCGTGCCCGGGGTGGCTATATTTCTTTTTCTAGAGGTGGGAGCACTAACTAAGCTCTGTGTCCAGTCAGAGGCCCAGCGAAATGCGCTTCGAGATACTGCCCCATCGCATCAATTTGCATTATTCTTCTACTACGAAGTACTGCTGTCCAAATAATAGCCGCTGGTGATGAAAAAGGCACCTTCTGCGTGAAACGGTTACACACTCGGATGTGAAAACCTGAGAAGACGATGTTCTGCATCTCCTCAAGTATCATATGTAGACAACAAGCCGATTTTTCCCCAAACTCCAGGCCAAGAAGATATCATCTCGGTCACAGTTGCATACCACCTTGGTATACGGAGTAGAAGACAACAATTAAGCGATTTTTAAGGTCAAGTATTCTAACAGTCGAGCACTAGAAGGGGAAGTTGATTAAGTCTGTTGCAGCCTCATCCAGAAAAATAACTGCAGTGTATGCATGATTATAAAAGGAGGCTAAAACACAGCAGCCCGTTCCATGGGTAAATTATATGAGAGAATGCCTTGCTAGAAGGTCCGAAAATAAGAAGCACAAGTCTAATCGTATTAAAAAAAGTACTTATGAAGTGCGTCCCGGTAAATGAAAACTTTCTAAGAGACATTGCGCGGGCAAAGAGTTAGGAGACAAGCGGACGATGGGAGATGAAAAGCAAGGGAAATTAAATCCATCTGAATTTTTTCCTCTTTGGTCGAACAAAACCATGCCGAGTTGCGATGGTAGTAGGTTTGGACGAAGGGGATTTGGGAGTCTCCGTGGTAGTAGATGTGGTAGGAGTTGCATGATCGGGCTTGGGTGTGTCAGGTGGTTTGGTAGAATCAGGCTTTGGCTTTTTAGGAGACGACTTTGCTGATGGTTTCTTTCGGCGGGTTAGCCCATCGACTTTGCTGTTAGGTGTACCGTCGGTGATTCTCGAGTCATCACCATTACCAATACTGCTAGTGCCTTGGTTGGATAAAGGGGGTGGCCCATGCAATGCGAATGGATCAGGAGGTGGATGGTTTAGGTAATTATCATAAGGTGAAGGAGAAAACACAGGCTGACACATAATGTTCGGAGGCGGTGGTGGATATGCTGGCCGAGGGTACATGGGGTATGGAGATTGAGGCACGGATAGGGGAATTGCTCCAGTGGCAGTAGGGCCGGGCAGCATCGAGGGATGTGGCCCGAAAGGATAAAACTGAGGCTGCGGTGGTGGCTGCGGTGGTGGCTGCGGTGGTGGGGGTTTCGGTTGCTGCCTGGGTGATAGTAGAGGGCGTGGCTGCCTGGACCTGTTCGAGGAATTCCTTAAGGATACGTGGCTGGGAGCTGGAGAAGCTGGGACAGAGTAATGCCCAAGGTATGCTGGAGATGAATAAGTCGAATCGGTAACGCTCATGGTGTCAGATGGTCTCCTGTACTTAGAAGAGCGGGATATCTGCTTGGTACTCCCTTTTGAAGGCGTTTTGACCCTTTCGTTGGTAGCCGGGGTGCGTGGTCTGCTGGGCCCTATTTCTGCATTCCGTCGTCGCCTCCTTTCCAATGCGTCAACCTCCCTATCTGTAAGGGTGAAGTTATCCAGCCTGTTTGCTCGTGCGTATCGGATCTTTTCAAGTGCATTTTCAACCAGAACGTCATCATCATCTCGCATGGCAAGCTCTACTGCGTATGCAATAGTGTCATTGTGTGAGAGCTCACGCCTACCATATCCAGTGGCAGGATCACGGCCATCATCATCATCGTTGTCGTCGTCATGATCTGAGTATTCATCCTCATCCACGCTTTCGTCCTCGTCACTCTCAGACCACTCCCCGGGTATCACATCGCCTTCACTACCGCTGCCCCGAGCCTTTTTGTTACCAACAAAAGGGACTAAAGATACTCCTAAATCCTCTTCTTCCTCCTCCTCTATATCGCTATCAACGTCTTCTTCATCCATTTCATCACTTTCACTCTCCGTAAGCCTGCTTTGACTCCCCCCACTCTTCCCCGCGCGCAACGCCCCTAGTGGTCTTCCCCATAGGGGCACATCACATGGAGCTCGCGGTCGACCACCTAGACCGCCTCCCCTGAAAAAGCATTCTCGATAGGTTTGTCCATCAGCGCAGCATGTCCGATAACACACACGCCGGTGGCGCAGGTAAGCCACAAAGCAGTAGACAATGGTGACGCCCAGAGACCCAGCGGAAGTGCAACAACCAGAAGGGCAGTGTAGAGCTGGCTGGTGGTGGCCCGGAAAATACCAACGTCTAGGTCCCGGCCCTCTAGTTTACCGATACCATACGAGCCTCCAAGGACCAGGAGGATGACAAAAAGAAGGGCCAGGTTAGTGAGCAGACTGTAGATGCTGAGGACGATGAAAACAACAACGTAGTTGCTGGAGAAGTAAGAGAGATTGTAGCTGGCGCGGCTCTGGAATTCAGAAAAGTTGGCCGGCTTGGAGACTCGCTTGATATCCAGGAACTCAGAGACGGGGCGAAGGTTGGCAAAGCGACTGGACATGGATTGGGAGCGAATGCCATTGAGCCTCTCGGAGAGGTTCAGGCGCGAGGTAAACGCCTCAAGCGGGAGCTGGATGCTAGCCATTGCGCCGGTTTATTATACAGAAAGCGAGATTCTGAGGATGAAACGCAAGAAATATGCTTGGACAGGCCTAGTTCTATCTATTCCCAATAGTTAGCTACCCGTTTTACAAGCAAGCAAGCAAAAATATATCAGGCACACGAGGAGGCATCAACAATCACAGGGATGGGATGGGATGGACCCTGCCAAGAGGGCAGCAGCTCCAGCGTCAACCAACCTTTTTGTTTCGAGTTTGGTCACGGACTTGGTGGAATGCAAACTCGAGACGGGGACAACGAGGTATATAAGCACCGCGGGAGGAATATGGCAGCCTAGCTGAAGCAGACGAAGTTGGTGAAGTCCGCGAAGTCGAAGTCGAAGTCGCAGAAATTAAAAGCAAAAGACGTGGACAGATGTGGCTTGGCAGGATGACATAAGCAAGTCAGCCCCTGAGATGCGGATCAGAGTGAGAATGAAATTGATATCTTCGTCAACTACTGAAGGAAATAAGAAGGATAGAGATGGCCCTGTAGCGGGAGACGATAGTGACGGAAGGATAAGACGGCACCGGTAGATATCTCTACTATAGTGAGTTGTGTTAGAAAGGTATCCCTAGGCTGCTCGTCTTGGAATCTCAGTCTTCATGGAGGGCCGGCATGGCAACGAATTTATCTGCTGTCTCACATTGAAATGCATCTATATCATAAACTTACTATTCCTCGAGCCTAAATCTACCTTTTTAACCGAAAAACCCCCAAGTCTTCCTGGGTATCTACAGTCATTACTGTGTAATACATACATTACCCTGCTAAACTTCTTTGCCTCCCTCAGTAAGTTGTGTAATGTTTCACAGTGTGACAATACACCAATACAACCACCTTTCAACTTTCATCTTTGTTTGATCAAACAAAACTTCGAAGAACCAGCAAAGGGAGCCTTCGACAGCGCTGCCAATTTCTCGTCGACAGCCCTTGCCAGACTGCAGTCGACATTGCGAGCACAAGGTCAAGGGTATTTGGGGAGATAATAGCCACGCAGAGCTGCGGGTGTGCGCAAGATGAGGCACTTTGGTCTTGTGCGGTTGCTCGCCTTTGCGCTGCTGTTCGTTGGCCTCGTCGCCGCTTGGTCGAAAGAAGGTATGGGAGTCCCATGAGACGGCGATTCAGATAGTACACCCGCATATTGCCATATTCTTACTTTATCTTGTCTAGACCATGAGATATTCCGCCTGCGAGATGAGCTGCACGCTACCCAGGGCCAGAATGTAACTTTTTACGGTCAGTCCTGATATACACCCCTACCGCATCAATTGGCCGTATGTTGACTCAATCTGGGACAGACTTCCTCGGAGTCAAGCCCAATGCCGGCCAGACTGATATTGTCAAGGCCTATCGCAAGAAATCCAAACAATTGCACCCCGACAAAGTCAAGCGCGCCTTCATCGCCAACTACCACCGCCCGCGCAAAGCCAAACCCGGCTCTAAGCCTGGGGTCCGTGTCTCTAAGGGGCCTACGGACCGCGAGATCGAGAAGGCTCACAAGCTCGCCACTCAACAGTTTGCTCGTCTAGGCTTAATTGCAGATATTCTCAAGGGCCCCGGCCGTGAACGCTACGATCATTTCTTGAACAATGGATTCCCCGCATGGAAAGGTACAGGATACTACTATAATCGGTTCCGTCCTGGACTGGGTACTGTATTATTTGGATTGTTCCTTGCCTTTGGCGGAGCTGCTCATTACGCCGCCCTTGTCCTAAGCTGGAAACGACAGAGGCAGTTCGTGCAACGTTATGTCAGACAGGCTCGCCGGGCAGCTTGGGGTGACGAATTTGGTGTTCCTGGTGTTTCTAATGTCGGAGAGAGTGTTGCGGACTCCAGTGCACATACCACTGCTGCTGCCACGGGGGAAAACACAGGTGAAGAAGGCGCCGCTCCTGTACCGGTCAACCGCCGTCAGAAGCGCATGATGGAACGGGACAGTCGCAAGGAAGGCAAGAAACCGGTCAAGGCCGCTAAGGTTGCCAAACCATCTGTCAACCGTGAAGACTCTTCCGCCCCTGGATCCGGTACAGCCACTCCCGCCGGTGTTGAGACTAGAAACAGGAAACGTGTAATTGCAGAGAATGGCAAGGTTCTACTGGTCGATTCCTCGGGTGATGTCTACCTTGTTGAAGAGAACGAGGATGGAGTCAAGGAGGAATTTCTCCTTGATGCTGACGAAATTCCCAAGCCCACCTTCCGTGACACCATGGTTTGCAGACTTCCCATCTGGTTCTATGAGAGGACCGTTGGACGAGTCGTCGCTACTGCCCCTGACTCCTCGGCAGCTGATACCTATGAACAGGCCGAAGAGGAAGAAACAGTGGCTCAAGTGGAAGAGAGAACCTCTTCCAGTACACAGAAGAAGAAGAAAGGTAGAAGGGGTTGATCCATCGATAGGCTTCCTTTTCATCCTTTACCTTTTCCTCTTCCTATAGCTCACGGAAAATATTCTTCTATTCTTACTACATATAAAAAGCACATTGACTTGTATTTTCTTTTCCTCCCTTTCTCTTATTCCGTTTAAGTGTATTACTAGAGTGATGACACTATATTAAATATCGATGATTTCAGGTTATTCAGTACATATAACAAAAGTAGGATGGCATCCGCCGACGGAATTGGCTGTGTAAACTCAATGGATTCTGATATTAAACGTTACTATTAAAAATAAATGTTGGATATAATAAAAACATAGAGGGTATCATTATCAGGTATCGGTGACCGTGTCGAATGCAAAATAGGCGTTCGAGACTGAGAGAACAATCTCCCGGAATTTTAGCATATCAAACATACAGCACCACATTATTTTGTTTTTCACGCATGAATGCTCTCATAAGCCTGACTGGTTGTAAGCAAGAAGGCCTCATCACACATCAGCCCACCTTCACTCATATCCTCTGGTTTATCTGTAGGCCTGAGGAATGGCGGGTTGCTGGTAATTCTGATATTGTGGTGCAGGTTGGTCATATGTCTGGCCTTGCATCAAGGACTGGGACTCGGCGCCCTTGACAGGGTCATAGTATTGCTGTGGAGGTGGAGACGGAGCGAAGTCATTCCTCGCAGGTTCGAATCCAGGTTGGCTCATGGGTGGTTGGGTTTGCATGTTGTGCTGGAATTGTGGCTGTTGCGCAGGGCTGTTGTACGCAGTGTTAACGTTTTCAAATGGTTGTTGGGGGTTGGGCTGAACTGGTGCGTAGGCGCCCTTGGTGGGATCGTTTGGATCCGCTGCTCCTGGCTGCGTAATTGGGACTAAAGAGCCTTCGGAGGCAATGTACAGAACAGCAAGGTATGACATGGTATAGAACAAGTTCCACAAAAAGGTGAAGACAGCAAATGCCGTGACGGTATATCTTTGATGTCGAATAGAGAAATGGAAGCCGTACACGACATCAAATAACGTCAAAAGGACTGGGAAAACCATCACAATGAAGATCCATTTCTTTGCCCACTATACATGATTTGTTAGTTGACGACCAATAAAAAGGGTAGTTAAAGAAAAGGTGCGCACATACGGAATTCTGGATTTGAGAGCTTCGAATAACAGCAAAGAGTATGCTGAAAGACGCTAGGCACGTTCCGATAAACGCAATTACATTGTAAGTGATTCCTAGGCCGGTCGTCACATCGGATAGAGCCTGAACCACTCTGTAGTTCCCACGTATATTCGGAAGGCTGGATAGCAAAGCCAGATAACAAGTGAGAAATATCGCCATGATAACCATAACGGCGAAATGGCTAATAGCAACAACGCGCCCGAGGACTTTGCCAGCTAGTTGGTGAAGATGTTTGCAGAGAGGAACCATAATCACACCAATAAGGAGTAGAACACTCCAGTTTTTAAACCACGTTCGGATAGTGATAAGTAGCTGAAGGTTGCTACCAGATCCACATTCGCTCATGACTGTCGTTGTAATAAAGAGTATAGTAGAGCTTTTGATGTCGAATCTGTCAGCCTATAGTTCTCCTCTGGTTTCAATCTCGGGATATGAGGCATGACAACTTACGCTATGATTAACGTTAAAGAAAGGCTCATTGCCCACCACAGAGATCTTGATTTCCGCTGGTTCCTCTTTTTCATCGCGGTTGACTTGCTGGAAGAAATACAGCCTAAGCAGAGGAATGTGAGGAGAAATATGCCCAGAAAAACCATCGAAGCAACAATGGCTCCGTTCTTGAATGCACCGGAACGACAGCTACTCTTAAAACTGCTGCTGCCATGACGACCACCACCACCACCGTAATGACCACCACCGCCGCCTTTGCCGCCTTTAGGTGCCATCACGAGATTCAAGATAACTGAATTCCGAAGAGTGTGGTATTCAGTTCTCGATAGGTACGCGAGAATTTGAAGAGAGAAGAATTTACGCCGTAGAGGTGCAAATCTCGGAGACCCAAAGAGGTGAAAGAAACAAAGTCGAGTGTCCCTTTCGCGACTATATGTACTCCGTGCTCAGAAGTTTCTCCCAATCGGTGAGCGGATAAGCTCTGCTCAAAGTTTCTGGGTATTCTTTTTTTATTTTCTTAGAAAACATAGCCCCTGAAGGCCATACCGCATTCACCTGATCCGCAGCCATTCAGCAAGCATCTTGTCCCATAGCAGGCCGCCATAAGGTCACACTACGCCCTTACGAAGCTTAGGCGCTGAATATCCAAAATTCCGTCGTGAGAAACCCTTGGCGGGTCTTGTTCCATGGGGCTTAAAAAAAGGAGGCGACTCTGTTCGATACGAACTAGAGGCTCCGCCTGCAGAAGGAAAGGCCATGCTATTGGAAGCGCGTCAAGTAATCTCGTATTTCGCAGCACTTTCACCCGCTTTCGCATGTTAGCTTCCCCTTGGAAACCGTATTTATTCCGTGCTTGTCCACACCATTTTTAGGCCCCAACCCGACAATTCGGCTGTCTCTGTTCGGTCTCGGGCTATCTTTAACACTTGTCATCGTCGTGTTTGACGGTTCATTCTCGTGGCGGTGCAAGTTATGTTGCCAACCAGTGACCTTCAACACTAGGAGGTTGATCTTCCAGATCTGTAAAAAACAAAGTTAGGTCAGGTGATGCAGCAGATAAGCATATTATATAATCAACTCTATTTTTACCACATTATATAATCAACTCTATTTTTACCACAAAACCTTGAGTTTTGATATCAAGTGAATTGATCATATGTAAGGGGGAAGACTAATTTCGTTGACGCCAGGTTAAGACTGGGGTATCGCGCCATTCTTGTTTTGATTCTATATTCCGTGCATATACTGTTATTAATTTAGATATACCTCAAGAAATTATCAAATTAAAAATTTCAAGGGCTAGTTCACCCACTGATTACAGTACTGAGAACTACCTGTCTTCCTCCCATACTGGCTAAGAAGGGTGCTGGGCGGTTTTTTAAAGGCAAGGCTTGCTGATAAGGCACTAGAGGTATTAAGACTCATAAATCTACCGCAGATATGCAAGTTCCGATGGTGATACTTCAGTAACTCAGTTAGTATGGAGTACCCAGTACTACTTACGGAGTCGCCCAAAAAAAGCAGTATGCATGTATCTAGCAACGATTGACAAGGGGCACGCTGGAGAGTTAACCTTGTAGCTAATTGTTATAGATATAACTATATATCCACTCGGCCCCAAAGACTGGATTACAGAGGTACATATGTAACATGGCCGCGGTAAGGTAGTCTGCCTTCCCACATCTAAAATGTTCTTTGAGAGCGATCAATGCCATGTCAAGGCTTCCAGAAGTAACCAGTCATTCCCAGGCTGTTATACAACCTGGCAACCTCCGCTTGTGGCTTTCTGTCATAGTCATTTACATATAAATTCGTTATGGCATCATAGCCGTGTCATCGACGTTTAGTTTTAACTAGTCAAGGCGGGACAGAAAAGTGGGCACAGCAGTCACTCATTTTATCTCACTACGAGAGGAAATGCAATTGGGCTCATCTGTATGAAAAGTGACTTCCAATTCCATACCTATGAGACCCAAGCGGACTTAGTAGTTTTAGCTAGCGCTAACATAACAGCTACACTAAGGGCGGACCATATGCAATTTACCTATCAGTTTTGCTTACTTTCAGGCTACGAGTTTCGCCGGATTTAGGTAGGCTTCGACCGTTATAAATGGGGTTAGAGTAGCAATGAGAAAAGGTGCTAGTTGCATGCTAGTATGGTGACAAAGAATTGAATTCCACTCACAAGTGGGAAAACATGCGTGCCGTTATTGCGACGAGGGTTAGAGCGTATTTCTCGCGCTTTCAGCGTTATATACAATACTTATTCTTGAGAATTGAAAAAGGCATTTCGGGAGGATCAAACCCCGGATATTTTTACTGGCTCATTGAGGTAAGTTGGTGACATTCTTCGAAGTAAAACTAGAAGATTAAATAGTTATGCATTTAACTATAGAAGACTTCACCTTCATTTTGGTGTTTTTTCTAGCGGAGATATATAGATGTATAGCAATGGCGTAGGATATATTCTCAAGTTGTAGCTTATCAAGCCTACAGCTTGATCTTGGAAATATGGATAATGGTTGAGATGATGGCTCGCTGTCTCTGGGTTGGGATCCAATAGCGCGGACCTCCCGCCAACCTTAACCAGCAAGGCGGAGTTCGCTTGGCGTTGGAGGCTGAGTATACAAGCGAGCCGCCAGGCAGCAAATTTCAAGACCTATATATCCTAGCTATTGGGACGACGAAGTATTACAGAAAAGCATTGAGCTATCAGTCTTACTTACATTTAACTACCATATACCCTCCACTGCGACTCCTCAAAGTTAGCCAACAATGGCTTCAAGAACTGACCCAGGGATAGATTTTGTATCTACTCATCCATTTGTTAAAGCAGCCGTGCAAGAAAAGATCCGTGGAGCCATTTTTGGATCTGCATTGGGTGACTGTATCGGTCTATATACGGGTCGGTTTCTTTCTCCGTCTACATTGTGTAGAGAGTATTATACCCAAAGTTGGTGAGAAAAATAGCTTACAAGTGTAGAGTTTCTATCCAAGAAGATTGCCAAAGACGCGTATCCGCAAGGTAGATTTCAACTAGTGGATCCAGCTACTAAGTTCCGAAATGATGGTCACCGAAGTAAGTTCTCCTGCCCCTCTGATTTTAAGTGTAGCTGTCCAGTAGGAAACTATGACACTAAGAAGAACTGCAATTCTAGACAAATTTGAACCGGTGCGTTTCAGTGCTAGAGAAATCTTCCTGGCAAAAAAAAGTAATTACTGATCAATTGTCCTTTGTTCTTCGTACATTTAGAAAGCATGGACAGATGATACGGACCATGCACTCTTGATACTTCTCTCATACCTACATCACAACGGTCAAGTGCCCTCTACGATTGACCTAGCCGAACGGCTGAAAATCTGGGTCGTCCAAGGATTAAGGGCTTTAGACCGACCTCCGTGTGGCCTTGGAAAGACAGTAGGATCGGTATGTACTCATCAAAGGACTTTACTTTTTATAGACATGGCAACCTCTAACCCCACTTCTGTAGATTGTCCTTGACAAGGAATATCTTAACAACCCAAACCAGAAAGCACATCAGTTCTGGGTCAAAGGCGACAGAAATGTGGCGCCAAACGGATCCTTAATGCGAACTCATCCCCTTGGTATTATCTGTCTTGCCTTTGACCTGGAAAAAACGTTTCAGGTTGCCACAGATTTTTCCCTGGTTACTCACGCGGACCCAAGATGCGTACTGGCATGCTGTATTTCCACCGGGCTGATCCGTGGCATCTTGAGAGGAGAAATTTTGGACGAAAAGGGCCTGGATACCCTCATGGAAGATGCCTATTCGTGGGTTGACTCTTGGGTTCGGAAGACTCGTTTGACCGCCGACGAGACAAATGGACAGAAGGAAGATGAAATATACGAGCCTGCCGCCAGAGAGTTCCTTGACCGAGAGGAGTTTGATAAACATGCCTACGCAAAGACATTTTCAGACCTACTACTCGACGATTCATACAAGATCGGATATGTGTATAAATGCCTGGGGGCAGCAATCCTAAGTCTGCGGATGGGTATGCAACAATCACCATTTGGAAGCAATGCTGGGGTGGAATCATCTTTCATCCTCACCGATTCAGCCGTTTTTGAAAAAATTATCACAGAGCTCACGTATGAAGCAGGCGATGCAGATACCAATGCATGTGCCGCTGGCGCACTTCTTGGATGTTGGCTTGGGTATAATTCTTTGCCTTCTCACTGGAGAGACGGTATGGATAACCGTGACTGGCTGATGCAGAAGTGCAATTCCCTTATCCAGGTTATAGGGGTGGGAAATGAAAACGCATTACCATATGATGGGAAGTTGGATGCTGATACCTCCCCTGATGGAGGCAAAGGCCTAATGAGTGAAAAGGAGCTGGGGAAAAGGGACAGCGACATGATGTTCAAATACATGTCTCGGCATGCCGAAGGGGTTGCGGAGGAGAAAGCTCGATTGAAGGCAGATGAAAAACAGAAGAAAGGCTGGAAGAGTTTCTTAGGTTAAATGTATGTATTGAGCCTTGGGTTATTGCCCAGTGGTCTAGGATACATGTCACTTCAGATATGTTGCTTCCAGAATCTTTGCCCCTACACTACAGGGGTCATTGACGACTGTGGTTGAGGAGATAATTTGAGGAATAATCCCATCTTTTTCCAATTCAGACATTAATTCGGAACGGTAGACGTCATTTTCTCCCGAAAGCAGCCCGCCACCCAATATTAAATTGCAATTCCCAGAATCAGCGGTCTGTGGTAGGAGAGGCTTCAACGTGCGAATCAGTCCCCGTATTCCCTGTATGATTATTTCGTGGGCTTCGCCATCTACTCTGGAGGGATCAGCTGATGGTTGATGCTTGGGGGGCTTAAAGGCATCCAAGACTAGTCTCGCCACACTAGCGACCTTGTTTTTGGGGCAGCGGTTTGAACTCTCAGTGCCAGTATCGGTTAATATAGCACTGAGCAGATCATAGTTATTGGTATCCTGCGAAATGCCAAAATGATCAAGTACCCTTTGAGAAAGCGGACTTAGCATCCCATCGGTGCCATTTGAAGAAGAGGAATGGCGCAAAATATCAAGAGAAAAAAGCGTAGATCGTATTGCAGATCGACCAACATCAAAGCCTGACCCATCATCACCGAGTAAGTGGCCCCATCCGCCAGATCTTCCATTGGGAGCCACTTTCCCGGTAGATCCGTCATAACAATACCTTACCGCAACACTTCCAGTCCCAGAAACAAGTACGATATTGGTGGAGGGACAATTGGTCGACAGGCCATCATTAGCTGAAGGCGCCAATGCCAGGACTTCAATATCATTAGACAGCTTCAAGGTTCCATTCTTGGCAAGTCTAAATTCGGATGACAGTTTAGGGTCAAGCGCCCATTTCATTTGAGGCCGATCATACCCAGCAACTCCAATCCAAATTGCTGTGAACTCCACATTTTGGAGATTTAAAGCCCGGTTCTTAGGCTGTAAACGAGATGACAGGTTATCAAGAGCTCTTTCGGCGGCAAGTATGATTGCTAATATTGCAGAATCTAGGGAGAGGTCAGACCTAGTGGAGTAGTTAGTCAAAATACCGGTGAAATATGAAAATCATAAGCTTACACATTGCAAGGTCCTGCCTCACCCTCACCTCTGTGCGATAGTGAGCTGACTACAATTGCACGGCATTTTGTACCTCCCCCGTCTATGTAAAGAATGAATTTTACGGGTTCAAAAGTAGACCGGCTAACTTCGACAACTTTGGGGCCATATTTTGATGTTGTACCGGCTATCAAGAGGGCAGAAAGCTTGCCGCCAGAGGCTTCTAGCTTAGTTCTTGCATGCTCAGGGGTCGAATTTAATGCAAGCACTGCAAGGGAAAGTTTAACACTACCGTCACAGCGCTGAAGCAACTCATCTATATCTTCATCCGTCGATGGGCATGCTGAGCCACTGAGATTTCGAATGATATTTCTTGACCTCTGTTGGAGCTTCAAATTTGAGGTTTTAACATCAACCATCTATCAGAGAAGTTAGATCTTCGTAATGAAAAAGGAAAAGCAACGGTGTCAAGCTGTGCATACCATATTGCCGTAGGTTTTTCCAATCTTAATCATGATTCCAGTACTGAGCATGTTCAACACGAGTTTGGTGGCCGTGCCAGCTTTCATTCTTGTGCTACCTGTAATAACTTCTGGCCCGGTGACTGGATTTATCATGTAGTCCACTAGCCCGGAAGCGCTCATTGTTGAAGGATGTGAACATGCTACCCCAACGGTAATGCATCCGAGGGTTTTCGCATACTCTAGACAAGATAGCACGTAAGGTGTGCGGCCTGAAGCAGCAATTCCGATCAACGAGTCAAGCTCAGGGTCAAGATTCAAGCTTTCCAGGTCCCGTTTACCACCATGATAATCATCTTCTGCGCCTTCTTGGGCTTTTCGCATTGCTGCATCCCCGCCAGCAATAAGGGCCACAAACTGTCCAAATGGAGCAGAAAACGTAGGGGGTATTTCTGATGCATCAACCACTCCAAGTCTGTCCCATGCGAGCCTAGAATTAGTCGTCCTAGACAGTCAAAATAAAATCGGGATGAATATGTTAGTCAGCTCACCTCCCACTTGTGCCCGCTCCAACATAGACAACGCGCCCTCCCTGGGATACCCGGGGGGCCAATGCATCAATTGCAGCAGCTATTGTTGGTATATGGGAGCCAATCGCACCCGGAACTGTAACATCTTCATCATTGATTAGATGACAGAGCTCGACTGTTGAGACCTGGTCTATATTCGTAGTTCGAGGATTTAAACCTTCTGTCTGCAGGGTGGACAGGTCGATAAAGGAACCCATCCTGTTAAGCATTAACTTATTAAATGTATCCTCTGGTACTTGCCATCAATGTACTCTGTCGACATCTGCCTTTGATGCTTCATTTTGAGAAAACGAAAGGCGTTCATGCCATGAGATTTGGCTAATTTAACTATTGGCAGGTTGAGAGCGGGTCGTGATCGCAAGCCCGTACTCGCGTCTCCAGCCATAACGACCCACTATGAGGCCCTCTGGTGCCTGGGGACCATGGAGAATCCGAGCTTAGAATCCTGGAGAAGTCTACCGTTGCAGTTGCATTCCATTTGGTTGACTTGCGATGGTCAGTGGACGATACTGGTGGCTGAGTGCCATCCTTCTCATGAAAGGGTTCCAATTCAACTAACAGGTAGTTAACTAGCTAGTTAGTTGAGTCCCCAGGCTCTTTGGTTAGCCTATGCAGCTCTTTGGACGTCAAGGCCTTCATATTTTCATCTTCGTCTCTGTTTGATGTACTCTGTAGAGATGTTTGAGGGTGTGAATCAAAATTGATATCGATAACTATTTAGGCAGTTGCACGTGATAGTTATCGCCCAAAGAGGCAACTCGCGACGTCCTCTTCGCTATTTGCTTGCAACGACGCAAAATCGATATCAACAACGCTCACACCAGAAACTCCTGCTGACAAGGTAATATCGAGTTGTGTCTGAGATTTCTGCTTTGTCTCTGTTGCTTGCAGAGAAAGAAATGGGATCACTGGCCAAGAATACGAGGAGAGATACCACTTCGGGCTCTGATCGCCCGAGAAGGATCTGGACAGCTGAGATGTGACGCTGGTCGGCCCACTAGCAGTTTATGGGGTGAAACTGCAGATTTTCGCTGTGAAAACGCATAGCTAGGGTGGCTAAAAAAAGCTGAGGAGGATTCTGAGAATCGAATAATTGAAGATGGAGTAAGACGGAGGTTGTACGAACCTCAGCCTCGTTGATATCTCCAACGATTAAGAATTCGATTCTTTCAGTCAGGAGTAAGACATACAGAAAAAGAGTGTCTTACCCCGGATTGAACGCCCAGGATGTTGCATATGGATACAACCTTTTGCTGCACCTAGAGGTGGCCATGCGACCTCCCCACGCCCTGATCCCAGGCTAGTTTAATGGGAAGCTCGAATGGATCCTTCGGCGTGGCGTATATTTATATTGAAACATCTCCCAAGCACCAAGTTCATTCCCATGGGCATTTGTACATGAGACCTCTTCTACTTGGTTGATAACTTCTTGTTGGCCTCAAGGTGGGACGAAGAGAAAGAAAGGAGGGAAACATGACAAACTCCGTGTCTGCAGAACCCCAGGCAGGACAGATGGAAAGCGGAGGATCCGAAAGCCCCAAGTCATCTAAATGGATGGATATCTATAGCCATGCATGGTTCCAAGTGATATTGATCAGTTTTATCTGTTTCTGCTGCCCTGGTGTAAGTCCTGTCTCTTCCGAGTCGCCGTGTGTGCAGCATACTAAGCAGTTTGGTATAGATGTACAATGCTCTCACGGGCCTCGGGGGTTCTGGCCAGGTGGACGCAACCGTTGCTGCCAATGCAAATGTTGCACTGCTCTCTGCTACAGCAGCTACGGCCCTGTTCTTTGTCGGACCAATATTCTCGGTTATTGGTCCACGAGCCTGTTGGTTAGTGGGTGGGTGGACATACGCCTTATACAGCGCGAGTTTGTTGAACTTCAACAGTAAGTCTCACATTACATCCCCCTTGGAATGATATAGATCATATATAACTAACAGCATATCAGTAAGACACAACGGCGCATTCGTGATAGCTGCTGGAGCGATTCTTGGTGTTGGTGCCTCGTTTCTATGGGTTACTCAGGGAGCAATAATGACAACATACGTACCCGAGTCGCAAAAGGGGCGTGCTATCGCCGTCTTCTGGATTATTTTCAATCTGGGTGGCATGATCGGCTCCCTGGCTAGTTTTGGGCTAAATTTCAACTCCAAAGAAGGCTCAGTGTCGAACAGCACGTACATTGCAACTATGGTTATCATGGTATTCGGATGGGTTATTGGCGTCTTTATCTGCCCCCCATCGCGCATCAAGTTGTTGCAACTACATGATGCGGAGACCAACGTTGCGCACCAATCGATTGGAAAAAGGCTGTCTACTATGCTCCAGGCACTCCTACAGGTTCGCGTACTATGCGTTCTTCCGCTCTTCTTCTGTGCAAACGTGTTTTACTCCTACCAGCAAAACAATGTCAACGGTACAACATTCAACATCCGTACCCGATCACTTAATTCAGCCATATATTGGATGGCACAGATGTTCGGCGGGTTATTCATGGGCTACCTTCTTGACCTTGCGTACTTCAATCGCCGGCAACGTGCATGGCTCGGTTGGGCTACACTTATGGTAACTGGTATGGTTATCTGGGGCGGTGGCCTCGCATTCCAGCGCTGGGAGGATGATAGACTTGCACACGGCTTGAAACAGGACATTGATTACGCCAAAGATGCTAAGATTGCTACTGGCCCGATCTGGTTGTACTTTTTCTACGGGGCATACGATGCCTTGTGGCAGGGGTACTGCTACTGGTTGATTGGTACCATGTCTAACTCTGCGGCTGTGGCAGCTGTGTTGGTAGGTGCGTATAAAACGTTCCAAGCTGCAGGAGGAGCAATGGCCTGGAGAGTCAATGCGCTCGGTGCGGCTCCGTTGACGCAGTTTGCGATGGATTGGGGTCTCTGTATCGGTGCATTGGTGCTAGCTATCCCTACTGTTTGGATGGTGACGTTGACCAGCGTTGATGAGGATGGTTCAACTGCGGAAGAGAAGAAGATTGATGACAGTGACGATAAGTAGATATGATTCATGATGGAAACTGGGTATTGATTAAGACTATGTAATAATGCACATAATATGTGAAGAAACAATTGCTGCAAAAGGTCTAGCAAACGTCCATCCTATCGTAACTTCGCAGCTAAGTGGCAAGTGATGGCAAGTGGTACGAGTTCTAATAACAAAAGGCATTTTTCGCAGATCCCGAAATGGACAAGCATAACTTTGAAAACAGAGATAGGGGGTAAACACAGTAAAAGAGGTATCTTTAATAAAAAAATATGCCCGCAATAGCGTTAACCCTACCACAAATTAAGCATCTTGAGAATGTCGTAACGATGGAAAAACGAGCGGTTACGTTTGCCGAAGACGTCTATGGAATAACCTAGTTAGGGAAGGGGACAATAGAGTAAAATAGCAAAGGGGATAAAAAGGGGAGATTCTTACACATGGGCACACTGAGCAAACAGACGGCTACTTCGATGCCGCCAATGATGAGGAAGACTCTCTTGGCTCCACCGAGAACCACCCAGTTGTACGCAAAGTAAGTGAGCACGAAGCTGAACATGTTCTTGAACACTAGCAAACAAGTGAACGCTTCGATGGCAATTTCACCTACACGTTGTCAGCCAGCACTCCCATAGAAATCAAACACAACGCCGATATAGGCTGGGAAAGGAAACTTACGGTGAGCATCGACGATGTACAGGGCACTGGCTACGGCGCCCATAACCATGCCGATAAGAACAAACATGAAGAAGACATCTGGTATCACCCATCCGTACTTGGTTACGTCTCCGGAAGCAAACCCGAACCCGAACAGGCCAATACCGCTGAATATTAGCTGCGGTAGGACGAGCCAGATACGGAATTCAGGTTCATATTTGCCCTTGTTGGCGCGGATAAGTAAGTTGGCGGACCAGTCTGAGAAGAGGCCTGATAGGAACAGGCCGACGACGGATCCGATGAAAGCGCCGGTGTAGAGGTATCCTGTCTTTTCCTCTGAGAACCAGAGTGGTGGACCGAGGAAGAGTGCGGCCAGGACTACGCCAATGAAGACTGTCCAGCCAATGATGACACCTTGTATAAGACATGCCTGTAGAGGTTAGTTAGCTGTCAAAGGCACAAATCGATATAGGAAATAATAATCAAAGGGAGCTTACCCAGGCAATGCTAGGATGGAAAAAGAGTGGGAATGGCCGTAGAAGAAGCTTCCAAAAGCTCTCGTCTGTCTTGCGACCATTGAATAGGGCCAGTGATTCGACGAATGTAGCCTTTGGTGGTAACTCGGCTGATGTGGTATCACCGTTTGCAGCCGCGGCAGCTGAACTAGGCCCGGCACCGGAGTCAGCGTCCGCCTCCTTCTCAATAGCTGCTTGCGTAGCTCCTCTGGAAGCCCGTCGATCTACGTCCCCTAAAATGTCTGTGTTGAGGTGTGAAGCGCGCCTATAGGCAGTTTCGGGGACAAAGAAGAAGAGGAGCGGCAGACAGGCGCCGGAGAAGATCGCAATGAAGAAAAAGGTCCACTCCCAGCCCAAGGTATGGGTCATCTTGCCAGCTATGACGGGAGTGAGGAATGCGCCTCCAAAAAGCGCAACGTTGGACAGGGCCATGCGTTTTCCGCGCTCCTAGACAGTTTGCGCCCGTTAGAAAAGATCAAGTGGAACAAAAACGGAGGGGAGGAGAAGACTGGTCGAACGTACATGGACGAAGAAGAGGTCGCCAACGACAGCGTTGACGAGGGCTTCGAAGGGAGCGAGGCCGACTCCCTGGAAGATTCTCGCCCAGATCAAGCTAACATGGCTACGTTTGCTGAGGCCGGCCCATATGCAGGAGATGACGATTATGAGGTTTCCGAGCAAGAAGAGATGTCGCTTCCCCCATACTCTGGCGGTAGGTACTATTATGATACCGGCGACCCCGACTCCGCAGAGATGGTATCCTGTCAAGAGGGCTGCCTGGGTGAAATCAATGGTGTAATTGAGTGCGATTGTAACCGTGTTGGCGGCCATGATGGCAGACGTGGTAGCGCATATCACTGAGGTGATGGAGAGAATGATCAAAATCGTGTCTCGTTTCCATCGTGGCCAGTTCTGCAGCTCGTCAGTCCTCTATCTCATCTATGCGTGTGTGTGTGCGTGTGCATGTAAAAAAGTACATGGCGGTGCTCACCAGGGGATCGTTGGGGTCGTCACTCGGCTGCGGAACGAGAATGATAGGAACAGGGCCATTTGTGTCGTATTTCAGATGCGACTCCCCGGGAACGGGCGTCTCGACGGAGCTGCCATCGTCGTCCAGCACGTACGTTGTCCCTACGGATAGTTATATCAAGTCAATATCACCATCTCTCTCCCACATTCCTCCTCCACCACCCCTGAACAATTTTTTTCTTCTTGCGTGCTCTCGGTTTCATGTGGACAGGACTGACCAGGGACGTTATCGAGCTTCGAGTCTTCGAGGATGCCTAACGCCATGGTAGCAGAGGAAGCGAGGCGAAGACGGGCTGGTTGAAGGAGAGAAGCAGCAGCAAGCGGCCGCAGGGCTTTGTATATCTGCGTCGCTCACCCGATCTTCAAACGACAAGAGAGATCGTACGTAAAAAGTAAAGCATAAAAGCAGCTGCTGCAGACTGCAACGACTCGAGTGGATAGAGATCAAAGGATCCCCCTAGTCCCTATATCCACACCCCGGTCCTGGCTCACCCAGACAGGGCCGCAAACCGTGACCAGCCAGCGGAGCCAAAGAGCCAGCGAGCCAGCAGCAGCCAGAAGCAGCCAAAGCCGAGCCAGCCACGCCACCAGAACGGGACTAAAGCATGCGCGAGGTTGCAAGGGTTGCCCCAGATCAGAGCCAGAAGATCCCAACTGTGACATCCATCCCGACCCTTTTTTCGTTTCTTTTCTTTTCTTCTCTTGTGGGTGATGCGACGATGGATGTTTGTTATCCGGTGCCGTGCAGGTTTGCTGCCTGTCTGCTTGCTTGCTTGTCTGCTTGCCGGTGGAGGGACAAGAGTTGATAGTCCTCGTCCTGGCCGTCGATTGAGCCTGAATATTTCGTATTTCGATCCCAGCCGGCTTCTCGCAGGCTCACTGGACGGCTCTCCGTAACTCCCAGAGCACAAGACGGGCTGCTCGAGCTGCTTTTTCCTCTCCTATAGTTACAGAATCGATGCGTGAGACACTTGTACAGAGTAGCAGCGCAGACAATATAGGTGATACTCGTAGGATAGATGTAATAACTGACTGGCAATTAATCCTCCGCAAGCCCCTGGGCCTGGTCTGACCTGGCCTGACACTCGTCCGTGGTTAAGCTGCTCGGCTGCTAACGAACGCCATGGATCCAGGGGCAGCAGGTCGTTCGCGTGCGTTTTTCTTGCTTGTGCCTGGTGGTTGCTCGCTTTTTGCCTTAAATATTTAACGTCGGCCGCTTTCGTCTCATCCTCAACCTCGCAACATCGACATCATCGACAGCATCACCGACACGGCTTTACGGTCTACGATCTACGTCTACGCTCTACGATATACGATCTACGCCTGCTCGTCTCTGCCAGCCGCCATCATGAAGTTCTCTGCCGTCGCCGTCGCTGCTCTCGTCTCTGTCGCCGCCGCTCAGGGCGTGAGCGACCTCCCCAAGTGCGCTGTACGTCCTCCGCTGAACCAGCATGAATGAGCCAGCATGAACCAGCAGACATTATTGTTATTGTATCACGGTATCACCGCCAGCTAACGCTTCTCACAGCAACAATGCGCCAGCAAAGGCTTCCCTGCTAGCTGCGGCGCCGACGTCAAGTGCGTCTGCACCAGCGAGTCCTTCCTCGACGCCATCACCTGCTGCGTTGCTACAACCTGCACCCCAGAGGAGCAGAAGAGTACGTCTTTGTCCTGCCCTGCTGCAGCTAGCAATGCAATGCTATGCAATGCTATGCTATGCTGTGTTTCTTTGCTTACTGCGATCTGCTAACGCTGCTGCCCGGGTACTCAGAGACCATCCAGTTCGCCAAAGCCATCTGCGGCGGCGTAGGCGTCAACGTCCCTGACTCTGCCGTCTGCCCAACTGCCTCGTCCGGCTCTCCCTCTGCTACTCCAACCTCGTCTGGCTCTGGAGGCAGCAACACCTCTGAGACCGGCTCTGTCACCGGCACCGCCATCACCGGCACCAGCTCGCCGTCTGCCACCGAGAGCCCGTCCGGCTCTGCCACCCAGACCGGCTCTCCGTCCGCTACCCACTCGGGCTCTGGCTCGACCGGTGCTCCAACCCAGACCGGCAACGCTGCTGCGTCCGTCAACGCCAACGGCGGCCTCCTTGCTGCCATTGCTGCCCTCGTCATCGCTGTGGCGTAGCTCTCCGGGTCTTCTGGGCATTTAAACTAACTAGCTTAACTACAAGCTCCCCTACTATCGAGTGTCAGTTCGCGCGTGAAGCGCAGAAGCCAAACATTATCTTTTTTTCTTTTTACTTTTAAACAAAGAAGGAAACCCAAAGTATGAGGAGCAGGTACACAACGGCGAACTCGCGGAGATGAGCTTCCCTCTGTTTGTTTGCTCCATATTATCTCCTTTGTCCACCACTTTTTAATGCAATATCATATACTTAATATCCTATATCCTGCAATTTATAGCCTTATGTAACTTGCTCTCGCACAGATTGCGTTGCTTTGCTTTTTTATTCTTGTTTTAACTTGACGGGTGACGAGGAGACTGATCCTAGCTTGTTATTACGAAATATCTTAATCCTATAAACATGCCCCATCCCTGGTCTTTAAGTCGCTTTCGTGCCGTCGTCATCTCGTCGTCATCGTGCAGCTGCAGCGGATCCGGTCAGATGGAAGTATACAACCAGCATCCCCGCATATCGATCTCGGATAATCTATACCATCGTCACTATTAAGGCATGTAGCCACTAGTTACAGCTGCTCATGCAGCTCGCGTGTAGGTTCTCCACTGATGATGCTGCCGCCCTCTCGTAGACATAGCTTTAAGCCTATGGTTATCACAACTCAGTCTATGAGGATAAAGGACCCCTGAAGATTCTCTATTCTCATTTTCACAATGGGTAAAGCAGGGCCAAACGACTTCGGGCTAATACTCTTGTTGAATATGGCCATTTCCTTGTGTTTCTTCCTCTGCATCAATATGCTGGTGGCAGCAAGGCGGGCAACCCAGTTCCCATGCGCTCGAAATACACCCACACCCAGGGGGGGATCAAGCAGCTCCTCCCAGCTATCTATAGACGTAAGGTCACCAGTAAGCATGGCATCGTCATCGACCCCATCGGTAAGGATGCTAAGAGAGGCCTCATCTCTGATCATCAGCTTATCCTCATGAATGCCGAGAATGTCAAGATCAGCCACCAACTCTCCTCGGTCTCGCACTGAGATGACAGACTCAACCAGGAAGACATCCTGGTCGATAGTCTGGCTATCTGCCGTAGCTAGCGGTATAGTCCACTCGGTAAATGAGAGATGTAGCGAAGTGTCATTGAAGTTGTTCTCCCTTTTCCCGTCGTAGGGTGCATGGTTGACGATAGAGTGGTCATACTTGGGCTCGCGAATCCGTGGGTTGCGGGGAGCAACCAGCATCGATATGCCTCTCTTCCCAATATTTCCCACCAGCCGCCTGATTTCGTACCCCTTAACATCTTCCAGGGGATCAGATAGTACCGCTGCTGCTACAAAAATCGAGTTCTGGGTACACATTGCCAAAGCACTGTCTAGAGCCCTTGGGATGACATCCGCCTGGCCTGAATCGAAGTGGGCAATACAGGCAAAGGCTTCTTGTCTAGTGAGGAGCGGCCCTGGTATGATCGCCCTCGTTGCCGGGTCAGGCTGTGCTCGTACCCAAGTAGCATTGCATAGTGGTTGGGAGGTAATGCGCAACAGTATAGCTGACTGGTCCAGGTTGTTGTATATGAGCGTGGAGATATACAAGGCGTGCAGAGCAGTAGCGGTAGACTGGGGGACATCTTCAGCATTGCTTAATATGAATATCTGCATATCAGTTGAGTAGCCTCTTGTCGGATACACTGTGGTTAGGTACTCATCTAGTTTTGATATTTGTATCGGATATTGACGAAGATACTGAACAGCTTGCGCCGGGGTTGTAATGTTGCTTTTGACAACGCCCTCCAACCGGTCCCAGTAGTTGGCCGTGTCTCTAACGCATAGAGCTAAGTGCCGGTTTCCATGAACGCTGGTGAACTCAAACCTAGCTCCCAAAGCTCCTTTGGGTGCTATTAAAAACTCTAGCGGTGGAGAGTGGTACGTGTTATTTACCTTGCCTTGTAGGAAGCAATCCAAGTCTGATGTAGCCGCTCGTCGACTGGCAAATCCTGGGGGTGCTCGGTGGCGTAAAAGCGGCGGATAATTATTCCAGTTTAGCCAGGTCATGTCATCATTTGCCATGGTATGTCCGTACCTAGAATAATGGCATCGCTCATTGACACTGGAGACCTGGGCGATGCGGTTGTTGATGTCCTTTTCCACTTCAATAATGTCTTTACTGCTACCGAAAGCTTTGGAGTACCATCTTGCATGCACCTCATTGTAAACCTCTTCTCCACTCGAACTCCTCTTGCCTGGAGCCTTTATCCAGAGAGGAACCGCTGTGGCATACTCGAAATAATGAGGATTTCCAATCTTTGAACTCCCTCCAACCCAGTGAGGCTGGACAATCAGACTGTCACTACTCGCGTAGCCCGTAGACTGTGCAAGTCCTCGCAAATACACAATGTCACAGTCCTTTCCTGAAAACGCTGAGAGGAGAAGTTGGTTACAGAGACCAAAGTAAGGCGGAATTATATCTTTGTCCCGCCGAAGGAACGTCTGCGCTCTCCGTTGACCGTATTTGAGAAGCCTGATATTTTCCTCTTTCTCTTCCCCCCTAGATGAGTTCAATTTCCTGGAAGCTTGGATAATAGGATAAATCCACCTTCCTGGCAATTGACTACCCAATCTTTGTGGATTTTCAGGGGCCGAAGAATCCATAGCTTCTCCAATGCAACAGAATAGCCCAACAGCATCTTCAAATTCTTTCGGGACAACCCCCCAGTGGCCAAGGAGACCTCCCAAAGCGACAATGCGCAGCTGTGAGATAGTCACTCGAGAATGGTCTACTGGTCCCGTAACTTTCGCAGCACCTCCGTAGTACTGCAGATGGGATAGGGCCAACGACCAACGGACACCTTCTGTGTCCTCGTCTAACTGCTCAAACCCAATCGTGCAGACCCCAGTACTAGGGAATAAGGGGTCTCCGAACTTCACGTTGACTGTTTTGTTCCTGAGGACGATCAGGTCTGGGTATAGGTGCCAGGACGAAAGGGCTAAGATCACACCGGCGTCGGATATCGACTGAGGGCGACCGCATAGCAGATCCTCGGCAGCCAGCATCGCCCGTTTCCAGGTCGAAACCACCGTGTCGTACATAGAAGAGCTCCTCAAATACGGCATATTGATATTCTTCGATATGAGTAACAGCTGATCATGCTCACGCTGCTTTGCCTGATCGGCACTGCGTAGCCACGAGCGCGAGCTTGCATCCCACAGTGCGAGATCATCTCTAGCAATTGGTGGTAGAGAGCTCATGGCGCTGGCTGTAGACATGGAGATATTTCTCTCAAACGCACTCTGAATCTCCTGCTTTCTCTTGTCGACCAGCTCGACCCAGATTGATATCGCTTCCTTGGAATCCCACGCTCGTACAAGCAGACAGGAGAGAAGATAGATACCTAGCGCTGCGACCCCGGACGTCGCAGCCGCCCATACTGCTGTCCCGTCCGCCCCAATAAAGTCCCTGAACGGGCCATGAGCTCGAGAACCGACGGGATTGATACCAGGTGACTCGATGATTTCGGAGACTCTTTTGCCATAAGCGGATATGAGATTTGGTGTAGACGGGACTAGGGGTTCGAATAACGCTGCCAGCCGTCGAGCTGTCTGGTGCTGAGGGCCATACTCGGCTTCATCTCGTCTCCGAACTGTCAGAGCAGATCCCAGCCGCTCAAACTCGACAGGCGCTTCGACTTTGACCAGAGAGAAGTCAAACTTGAGGTTCGCCAGGGATGCATTATTTTCGATTACGGCTGAGAGAATTGAACCTTTGACAGAATTAGAAGCCATTAGCAGTGGGTGTTGATATTAATGTTAGGATTATCGGAAAGAGGTGGTTCAGGTGCCTTCAGAGATCAAGCACATCAAGCAGGCCGCGAGCGCTATTCTAGTTAAGTACACCGTACATTGGCAGGAGATGCTGGTTGAGAATGAGGCTGGGCTGAGCTGTCTACGTGTTTCATGCATGCATTTATTCAATGCAACCCAGCGCCAGCCTCCCTCGCATCCCGGGGATCAAAGGGCCAAAGAGCTGTGCAGTTGTATGTATACAACAATTTGAATCCTGGTTTATGTCCTCGTCTATTAGTGTATGTATATGCGCTAATCCGTCATAAAGCAAGCAAGACAGAACCCATCGCTATGAAACGCAGCAGACAGAGAAAAGGAAGATGGTAAAATAGTAAAATAGAAATAGGATAAAGGCAGGGATATCATTTTGTGTAGAAGTATATGTAAAATAGCGTATTGACTGCGTGGTGTCATCGCATAGCGGCAATGATATCAGCACCTACGCCTATGCCAACAGAGCGAAGTTGGTTCTCAGCTTGTTTCTTCTCATGCCGAAGCGCAAACAGTATCTATCATATGTATTAGATCTGATTCACATTAAGGATACAAAAAGGTACTTACCCAGCATGAGAACATCAGTTCAAGCACCCCGTAACCGAGTACGATCTTCCGCTTGAGATCATTGACATCATACCCCAGTGTAGATCCAGACACAGCAGCTGCAGTGCTGAGTCCGGCCCTGGTGAAATGCATGTTCTGGTCCAGCCATAAAATAGTTTTTCCTGCCGCAGATTGGAAAGGAGTCGCGACACTGCCTGCAACCAAAGTGCTCGTTGCCGGCATTCCTACTATTGTGGCTGGTGATGGCACAGCCGTAGATGCAGCACCCCATTCTGTGTCAGGAGATAGGTAAATCCGCAATGACACGATCATGAATATCCATGACCGAAGCGTGACCAGGAGAATGCACAGCTGGCGGTAGAGTGACGAGAATTCGGCAGTGATCTTCAAAGCAGCTTCATTGAGCTCGGTAGAGGTGGACGAGCCTGAACCAGACGAGGTCGTGGACGAAGCAGAGGAGCTTCGAGACGTTGGTGGGCGGGTATATGGCAGTCTTGATCTTGATATTATCGGAGGAGGTAGTGCGGTAGACGAAGACAACGACGCCCGAGACTGAAGAAGAGACTCTCTCTGCTGCCGCTCCTGCTGCTGTCGTAGCTGCTGGCGATGGATGAACTCAGCCACTGCCAGTACGTGGTTCAGTGTCGGCAGCTTGATGGCCAGCGTCAGGTCAAAGAGAGCGAAGGAGAGGAGCAAGATGCCGCAGTACGCAAACGGCGAGCGCGGGAGGTTGAATGGCTGGATATTGTCCTAAACACGCACAATCAGCATACCGTGATCAATGTCAAACAGTCCAATAAGTAACGAGTTGCTAGAAATCAAACGGCGTCTTCTCAAGTTATTCTGTAGGCCCTGGAAGTGTATGACTTACGATCCTGAGTCTGTCCCGAACTTTGTACACCAGCTCTGAGCCGCCAACGGACTCGCGAGAGAAGGTCAAGTAGACGGCCAGGACGACCTGGAACAGGGCATGCAGCCTGATATAGGTCCTAGACGATATCCGGGCCATCTTGCTGTCTCTTCGCTGTGGCTGTTTGGTGCTGGAGGAGTCGTCCCTGGCAGCTGGCGGATGGCCTCAGCTCAGCGCTGCCTCTCCTCCCGCAGGATCCCAGTCGGAGGACAGGAAGAGCGCAGTGCAGTCTCTTGCCTCTTGCCTCTTGCTCGGTGGTCTCGGTGCTGGCTGAGCCTTACATTTGATCGTTGTCGTGGTGGTGGAATGTTGCTGTCTGTCAGTTGGTAGCTGAAGAGTGACGCTTTTTGTTTACTAGCAGCGCCGGCTAAGAAAGAAACGCTGCAGGGTTCTTCCTTATCGAAACATCCCACCAGACAGGCCCATTTTGATATCTGCTTAAAGCCACAGTTAAGGCTGATATTTTTACCATTAAACTACGTGGATGCAAAGTATACCCCGGCATGAGCATCTAGCAGCTGGACAAGAACTGCTACATCTGCCATGGCGCTGCGAAAAGACCGCCAGCTCAAGTACTTTCTGCGCTGTCTCAAGACGCTGCTCCCGCACCCCTATACCTCCAATGACTCCAGCCGGATGACGCTGGCGTACTTTACGCTGGCCGGGCTTGACCTGCTGGGTGCGCTGGGCGGCGAGAAGCCAGTGATATCAGCGGCGGAGAGGACGGGCTATGTCAATTGGCTGTACCACTGCCAGGTGCCGACGGGAGGGTTCCGCGGCTTCACAGGTGCCAACTTTGGAGATGAGAAGAGGACGCCTGAGAACGAGTGTTGGGACCCGGCGAATGTGCCTGCAACGTTCTTTGCGCTGGTGGCGCTGCTGATACTGGAGGACGACCTGGCGCGGGTCAGGCGGAGCGAGTGTCTGGCCTGGCTGAGCAGCATGCAGCGTGAAGACGGCTCGTTTGGACAGACTCTGGGACCGGGGGGAAGCATTGATGGAGCGAGAGACCTGAGGTTCTGCTGCTGTGCGGCGGGTATCAGGTATATCTTGCGCGGTGAGAACGATACTGATATAGGGAGTGATATTGACGCCGAAAAGTTGATAGATTATGTGCAGGCCTGCCAGGTGAGTGTCTCATATGCTTTGTTCTATCTAGATCTATACATCTACTGACTCTGTTCTAGACGTATGACGGTGGATTTGCAGAGTCTCCTTTTAACGAGTCCAACGGTATGTGAACTTGAATGTCCCCCCGTTGAAAGATTAGTCTACTTACACAATTGGTAGCTGGATTGACGTACTGTGCACTTGGTACACTGTCCTTTCTTGCATGTCTGCAGCCGGAGAGGAATTTCACGTCCTTGGTTGTCACTGTGCGTGGATCTGAAGAGTATGAGCGTCTGATATCATGGCTGGTCTACCGACAGACTACGTTTATCGAGCAGGAAGAAGCCGAAGATAAAGAAGACGGCGAAGGTGAGACTGAAGGTAACGGCAAGCCAGTGATGGATACACAAGATCAGAACAAGGCTGGCATATCCCTTGACGACGCCATAGCCTCGCTGCCAGGCCTGGAAGTGGTGTCACCATCAACGAGCCTCTGCGCCGGATTCAACGGCAGACCCAACAAGATAGCTGACACCTGCTACTGCTTCTGGGTCACTGGTTCTCTCGCCGTGAGTCTCAAACCGTTTCCCTCCCTGCTGTATATTTAAAGACGAGACTGACTAACAGGCGGTTGGTAGATGCTTGACCAGCTCGGTCTGGTCGACTCGCAGGCCAACCGCCGCTACCTGCTCGAGAAGACCCAGCATATGATCGGGGGGTTTGGCAAGACCGCTGGAGAGCTGCCAGGTAAGTCTGAAGCCTTGTCTCCCGCCTATCCGCCTGCTCGATGCATGTCCCCCCTGTGCTGGTTCGTGGACTAATCAAGACTGCCGGAAGATCTGCTCCATTCATATCTCGGCCTTGCGTCTCTGGGACTCTTTGGCGAGAGAGACGCAGCATCAGTAGCAAAAGGAGAAGAACTTGACGCCGTCGACCCGATGCTGTGTGCCAGTCGACGTGTACGAAGACACCTGGGCTCGCTCCCGTGGAAGCAGACGTGATGCCGTCACTCTGCTACTTGCTTCACTGTCCACGGCCTCTCTGATCGAGTAACTATTATATCCGCGTAACACAGCAGACTCACGCCGTCATGCGACTCCCGTCTGCCATAGCCATCTATCTCCTTCAATATCAGATACCGTCAACTACCAAGCTGTCTCTCTGTATCATCCCATCCAACTACCGTAGGGCCTACATACTTAGAACCACAAGAAATAAAAGCAAAGAAACGCGACCCTCAAACAAACCCCTAACTAGTTCAAACTCACCTAGTCTGTTTCGCATCGCCATCGCCTCGATATCGATCTTCCTCTTTGCCTCCGTCTCGTCTCGACTGCTGTCTTCCATACATAACTTCCTCCTTGCTGATACTCTCTACTTCTTCTTCTTCTTCTCCTTCGTCTTCTTCGTCTCCTGTCTTTTTCCTTGTTCTCACGGCTCTTCGTTGCTTTTTGGATGGCGTTAATAGGGGAGCGAACCAGGGGCTCATCGTCATAATCGACTCTTTTCGCCATCCACCAGGATATTAAAATAAATAAAAAAACAGGCGAAGAAGAAGACAAACACAGCTGCTGGACTTTTCTCTTGCTTCTCTTCTCCTCCTTCGAATGGGATGCAGCTTGATCGATAGACTCGGCCGGCGAATTTCATCTACCAGCGGCCAAACTGCGTCCTGCCTCGACGTCGCCCGCGCTGCGGACAGCTCTGCCTACACATGCCACCTCTACGGTCGAGGGCCGAGTCGCAGCTTCAGAGGGAAAAGGTGAGTCTCTGGCAGACGGCAGACGGGCCCTTTTGTCTTTGTTCCTGGAGATATCAATTGGTAGAGACGGGGGTGTTGGCTGACGCTGGTCTCTCTTCTTTCTTTAACAGCTTGTCAACTCGTACCATGAGCTCCTGAAGTAAGTCCCGCCTCTGATATATCGAACACATATACTCTACGACAGCTGGAGGGAAGGATGCGGATACGGATACAGTTACAGACAGATGCTGACGGGTGTTCGCGTCCAGCGAGTTCTCTTCAAAGGAGCTGCGGAATGTCGGGAACTACGCTCTCGGAAAGCTGATAGGGAAGGGCTCCTTTGGCAAAGTGTACCTCGCTACACACAAACTCACCAATGGATCAAAGGTACGATGGATAAGAAATGGAGGGAGAGGGAGGGATACATGGTGTGCATATGTTGCTAGACAGAGGCTAAGGCTGCTTGACAGGTTGTGCTCAAGTCCTCGTCGCGAGAGGATCCCAACCTCGCCCGGGAGATACACCACCACCGCCAATTCCACCACCCTCACATTGCGAGGCTATATGAAGTGATAGTGACAGAGAAGCTCGTGTGGCTGGTGCTGGAATACTGTCCTGGTGCGCATTGCCTTGAAACGAACCCTCTACATGGGCAGCTGGAAACATGCTAATAGGGCGTAGGTGACGAATTATACAACCACCTCCTTCAGAACGGGCCCATGCCAATCGAAAAGACCCAGAAGATATTCACACAGCTAGTCGGAGCCGTTGCCTATGTTCACAGCAAATCCTGCGTTCACCGCGACCTCAAGTTGGAAAACATCCTATTGGATAAACACGAGAATGTGAAATTATGCGATTTTGGCTTCACCAGAGAATACGACGGAAAGGCAAGCTATCTCCAGACTTTCTGCGGAACTATCTGCTACAGTGCTCCCGAGATGCTCAAGGGCGAGAAATACGCGGGGGAGAAAGTCGACGTTTGGAGTTTGGGGATCATTCTTTACGCTCTCATAGCTGGAGAGCTGCCATGGGACGAAGACCATGACCAAGTCACCAAATCCAGGATCCTCACCGAAGAGCCCAAGTATACCGATCGGTTCCCGGACGACGCCAAATCCCTGATTAATATGCTTCTCTCAAAACGTCCGCTTCTCCGTCCGACCCTCAGTGACGTCCTGGCCCATCCGTTCTTGGCTGAATTTGCACCGCAGCAACAGGCCAATCTGAAGCTCACTCGCCCTCCTCCTTTTTCGACTCCGCTGGAAAAGGCAACACTGGAGCGTATGCGGAGCGCAGGCGTAAATACGGAACAGGTCATGCAGAATGTGCTAGCACAGCGATGTGATGCTCTGGCAGGCTGGTGGACGCTGCTGATCGAAAAGGAGGAGCGCAAGGAGAAACGCAGAGAACGAAAGAGACGGGAAAAGGAAGCAGAGGCTAAGAATCTTCGGCGACTGAGTGCTGCAAGCAGCCGGCTGGAACGGATTTCTGCTGCTCTCGTCGAGGTCGATGAGGAAGGGCACCCGGAAGAACCCAGGACTCGAGGCAGACGGGAGAGGCGAAGCTTAACAAGTCGTAAGAATAACCAACCGATTCAATTCCATCCTTCATGCTATCAATGCTAACTTTGCCGTTCGTACAGAGCAATTGAATGTCCCAGACCTACCGAAGCTGCCTGAAACTGCGCCGTCTTCAGACGGACTGCTCACTCCTCCGCTACCACCGCCTCCTCCGGTAGAGAAGGACTTCCCTCGACCCACTAGATCTACCTCTCGAGGCCGCCCTGTGCCTCCTCCTAAGGAAAGACGGATCTCCAAAGGAAGCAACTATCATCTAAGTGCTTCTCAACCGGATCTAACTCGCCCTCAGGGGATATTACGACGGCAAGGCACCCGCCGTCGCCAATATCCCATCATCAGCCAGTTGGCCCAGCTCAAACACTGGATAATAGAGTCTACCAAACGCGCCAAATCACCACATCCAAAGTCCTCGTCTACCAGGAAATTCCTCTCTAATCATTCAAGTTCCCCGAAAAAGGGTGACACTTCCAGCAAGAATTCAGCCGTCACTCCCACGAGCCCTACTTTTCCTCAAAACCAGCAAACTCCCACAGCGAAACGATCTTCTAATGCTAGTAGTCTGGCACTCAGCAATGCTTCCTACCCCGGTGCCAGGAGGGCTTCTTCTAACGCTCAACGGCCCCTGAATACCTCGAACTCGCATCACCGCAACTCCCTCTCACCATCTCCGTTGACCCCTCGGAACTCATACCGCCGCTCCTCTGCTGGTTTAAGAGGACGCAAGTCTACTTCTTCGTCAGTCTCTTCCATTCGCACTGTTCATCATGCTCATTCCCATTCGAAAACATCCTCCATATCCTCCAACAGCATCGATACCGTCTCTACTCCAACCGGTACATCCGCCAAAGGCCTCGGACGCTCTCCTCATTCTTCCATAAAGATCCTCCCCGCTACACCAACATCCATGTCCATCTTTCCAAGCAACATTCGACTTGTAAGAGGAGGTCCCAACAATAGCTTAACAAGCGCCTTCAACGAAGCTGCGCCTGCTCTTATCCCTTCACCTTCCTCTGGACCTATCTTCGCTCGCAGAAAGCGAGCTACCTTCAAGGGGCCCTCACTTAGCTCAACACACATGCTATCTGGCGCTGGGCCCGGTACTCCCAGTCTCATGCGTAGCAGGGCCAGCAGCGTAGCCTCAGGCGAGATAATGATGGCCGGAGCACGAAAGAGCCAGATTATAGAAGAAGAAGAGGATGAAGTACTACCAGACGACACCACGGAAGAAGTCGACTGCTTCAGTCCAACTGATGATCGGGCCCCGCCTTTCCCTGAATCTACATCTTCCGTTCAGCTCGATGCGAAATATGCCAGCGCAATCGCTGCCGCTGCCACCATGAATCCAGCAGATCTTCGCTCCACCTCTGAACGTGAAGGATCCCCTGATCCCCGTCAACTCCTCCCCGCCGCTGAAATCACCGAACTGCCACCTTTCTCAAAGATGCCGTCATCAGAGCATGATCGGTCTCCTTTGCGCCCGCCACGTTCATCATCACTTCGAGAAGCCAAGGGCGGTTCTCCCGGCAGCTTGAACGCAAGTGAATCGCTGGATAATATTGCCGAAACATCCTCTCTCACCTCTCTTAAAAATTCCTCAACTCCCAAAGCCACCTAGACTTCTTTCTCCCCCCCTTCGTTCTCTTTCGTCCTCTCCTTTCGTCCTCTTTTTTCCCTCCTCTTTCCAACAAAAAATGACACGAATTTACTCCATTGTGATATCCCCTGCGTTACATCTACTTCCATCTCATTTGTCAGGCTATATATAAACTCTGCTTTTGTCCCTGTTTGTCTATTTTCTCCAGGATTATTCTTATATCTTATGTATCCATATTCCTCCCTTTTTACCTAGCCTCTCGTTTACATTACTTTTACATGACCCCGTTGATACCATTTGCCCTTTTTGATAACTTGGAATCTCGTCAGTTTCCGTCCCTCTCAAGTACGCGCCCTCTTCCACATCGACTCTCGTTTATCTTCGATTCAATCAGCATATTTTATGTCATACACTTATTTTATTCACTTTGGTGGTTATGTGTTCTAACTACCACCCCTTTACTTCTTCCTTCCTTTTACTTGCGAAGCTATTGTCTCCCCACCATAGATTTTATTGTCTCTTCATAATCGGGGCAGTCTGAACTACCTATTCGGACGACCTTTGTTATATTGATAGTTAGTATTGCTGGTATATACATCCTTTACGAGTATTTCCTAGTTTGATATAAACCTTTCACTCTTGTACTTACATGTAGTTTGCTTTTGGCAAAAGATAATGTGAGATGTATCTTTGTAACTAGAACACAAAAATATTGAGCGCTTCAATACTGTCATTACTCAAATGATTGAAACTATTAAATTTAGTTTCTCCAAATCTAGCTTGAACAATGCCACAATATGTTGTACTGAGAAGTACATATGTAAGCGAGTTCTATCTACTTTTCTTTCTCCTCGGCTGTGGCATCAGCAGCCTTAGCAGCGCCTTTATGCTCCTCATCTGCTCTAGCATCCGTGATTCCAATATTGCTATCTCCAATTTGGTCCGCTGGGTCACGGTAAGACGGTACGAAGTTAACACAGATAGCATAAGTCCATGCCACAGCCATAAGCTAAGTATAACCATGTTAGTATACAGCGGGGAGAATAATTAAATAACAAGGGGTCTTACAATCGTTGGTACTATCATTGCGAAACCAGTGGAGTCATGCAAATCAGCAACATAGCCTAGAAGAGGTGGCACTGCTGCTCCACCGGAAACACCAGCAACTATGAACCCAGATCCGCGCTTGTAATGTTTTCCTAGGCCACGGATCCCAAGCGCGACTATGGTCGGAAAGCAAACTGATTCGAAAAATAAAACCACGAAAAGCATAGCTACCAGAGGTTAACTATCAATCATATTCTCAATAACCTCTTCTAGGAGTGAGTACTTACCAACACCAGTATTACCCCTTTGTGTAGTTGATGCAGCTAGGAAAATAAAAACGCCAGCAAGGTATACAAGGAAAATCCATCTGGCCCTGATAAATTTCATGAAGAAGGCCCCTGAAAAACGACCAACAGTAAAGGCTCCCTGCGCACCGGCCAGAAATTTTGCTCCTAAGGCACTAGAGGTATTTGGTCTTGTTTCCACGCAATAATTGATGAAGTATGTTGCGATTGCCACTAGAGTGTTTTGTTAGACAAGCTGCTAATAACAATAATAAGAAATTAATAAAGCAATTAGACATACCTTGCGAACCCACATATAAAAACTGTGCAAATGCAGCATGGAACAACTGATACTTCTTCCAGAATGAATCAGTTTTCTCTTCAACGTGAGTCAAAGCAACCTGGTATTCCATATCTGCATCTGTCACTTCAGGAATATCGGAGATATAGAAAACCGCTGCAAGACAAAAGACAAAGATTGCAATGGCGAGATAAACCCATTGAACTCTTTCCAGAGCGCTGACACTATCCGCTGTTGTGGTGAAAAACACATACGAGCCAAGTACAGGCCCTACAACTGTGCCTATGGCATTGAAAGCCTGAGCAAAGTTGATTCGGATCTCGGCATATTTTGGTGGACCGCAAACTATCGAGCATTCGATCAGCAATCGTTCAAGGGTTTGGTATGCATAATAAATACCACCTACCTGAAAGATACGGGTTTGCAGCGGTCTCCAACGATCCCAGTCCAGAACCAATGACGAAGGTTGCACCGCAGAATCCACCAAACGATTGATGTAACCCAGCCGGCCACATACAGAGGGCTCCAATGCCATAGAGAGATAGACCCAATATAAATACGGATTTGTAACCCCAATTTCGAAGCATCCAGTTAGCATAGCCAAGGGAAGCAAGGGGGTACGCCCTACGTAATTGGTCAGCATAGGAAGCGTGTTCGGGAGGAGAGGGGGAAATACCCAAAATACGCTGCTTGTAATCCCGAGGAACGGGTTCGTGTGATTCCCAGTGTGTTCTGAAAGTGCTTATTGAGAGTGTCCAGCAGGCCGTACGCAAAACCCTAAGAGTACTCAGAGGTCGATTCCTGTGCCAGGACTTCATATGATCAGGGTAAGACCAACCCATAAGAAAAACAAGATGGTCACAATGGTGAGCGGCCATAGACTCTGCCGTAATGTTAACTGTGCAGCATTGGTAATCTGATCGTTTCTCGCTCGGATATGACGGCTCCGAAGGAACCTTATGACACCCATACTGAGATATGAGCTGCAGTGAGCGGTAATAACGGTGGTGCTGTCTGGGGAACAATCAACAATGCCACTCGACCTGGAAATGCCTCCTTAAAACGAGGATTGAGGGAAGAGTAGCACGTTGGAAAGGAAGATTGGTGCAAGGAAGAAAAGTCAGGGAAGCGCTATAAGCATATTAGTACTTCAGCTAGAGTACATCCCACGGCCGGTATTAGAATCTCGAATAAAAAAAGAGATAGGATCCGCACTCCAAAGCTTTCATTTGCCTTAATCCCGTGAGAGGTCGCTTATACCCTAGGTGCGTCAAAGGATCATGGTGTTGACAGGGAATATCGGCGTTGCGTGAAGGAGGATCAAGGCGACTTAGTGGTACAGCGTTGGCCATACGTTCCTTGGCCCGTCTCCTGCTTCCCCAATAGTCGACGAGGAAAAGGAGCCAAAACGGCTGCCACGTCGTGCCCTGTGCGTGCTGGCAATACTCAGTTTAAGTAAGCCCCCCGGATTTTCCTGCAGAGAATTGGTTCGCTGAGAGCCAAAGATGAAACGCCGAAAACAAACAAAAAGAAAAAATAAACAGTGATGCCAAGAAGCGGGAAGCTACGGCTTAGTAATAACTCTAACCTTAACTAGGTCCGAAAGTCGGGGAAACGCCGACGAAATACCTCATTTTCAAAGGCATCAGCTTGATGGAGAGTCATGTAAGACGGCAAAGTTGAAGAGTGGTATAATGAATACATATGATGTTTTTTTTTAAAAAAAAAAAAAAAAAAAAAAATTAGGCCATTCTTATTACTACAAACCCCATAATATAGTTCTTTTCGTCACATTTAAGTCCAGAAAAATCATCAACGAACAAACAACCTCAAACTTTAGGCGGGTATGAAGAGTAAAGAATTAGGTGATACATGGTAAACAATTTTAAAGTTCCTCTTGGAATCTGGATATCCTAGATCCAGGTACAGTCGGGCTCCCGCTTGCTGCCTCACCAGGTGCCGGACTTGTTCGAGGAGGACTTGGAGCTTTGGGCACAGAGCGTCTGTTGACGGTGAAAGAGCCCTGGTTCCCACTACGCCTAGCAGGCCGTTGGAACAAGTGGGGGAACGCTATGCGTTTCTTTGGCCTGGTTCCATCTTCCTGCCTCTGTGCTCCAGGGCTCCCACGGCCCGAGTCCATCCCGCTCTCGTTTGAGCTACTCCAATGGCTCGAGGGCGCATGGCGTGGACTGTCAGGGGGTATCAATGCCCCCAAAGCCATTGGAGCACTGGGTTGGACAGGAGTTGCGGGACGTTCTTTTTCGATCTCGGTCACTATCCGTTCCTCAATTCGTTCTATTTCGCACGGTGGCTCGCCTTCTGCGCCATCTTCTTGCGGTCTTGTGAACCATGTCTTGTGAATAGCTTTCTGCCTGCGGATGTGTTTTGCCTGAGTTCCAGCCTGCTCAGTAAGAGTAGTTTCCTCGTTGGTTGCTTCTTCAACAGCCGGATTTTCTTGGCTTATTTCGGTCTCGTCAGCAGCAGCAGCAGCAGCTTCAGCCGTCTCTGCGGGATGACTTGTCGGCTCAGGGGGAGCTTCAACCGGTCCCGGAGCAGAGTATGGTCGTGGAGGGCGTTCTGGAATTCTTCCACCTCCTTCTAGAGCTTGGAATATAGTTTCACCCTTTTCTTCCTCATCACTCACACGCTTGGGAGGGTATGGCCATGTTGACACCTGTTCATCATCAGATACGTATCTGTCGTGTGACCTCTTCTTGTCCCGCTTCCATCGTATTTCCTTCTCAGGATGCCGCATGAGATCTATGGTTGATTGTTAATCATTTACAATACATATTGGATTGATAATATCCGTACCTATTATCTGCTTATTAAGTCGATGGACTTCCTTGTCACGTTCCATCTGGGAATTAATAAAACGATGGTAGCGCTCCTCATCCAGTTTATCCGTTATTCTTCTGGATTTTTGTCTTGCCACTTGATCATCAATGTTGTGCAAAGCTGGCCGCACTCTTGCTCTTGCCATATCATCCACATTCCTCGGTGGGAGTAGAGGCGCTCCGGCTCTCATCTGTTCTGGGCCAACATCGACAAAGGCCGTGGATTCACGGTTTGCCAAAACAAGTTCATTGGCATGCCGCTCCCATTCTCTCATAATCGCTGGTGATGGGCGTGAGCGATAACTATAGATGTGATTATCAATATTGTCCATCATCCTCCTGACGTTCCTCTGCGCGGCATCCATAATTTCATCGTCGTAGTAGACTTCGTTCCGGTTACGCCTAGACTGAGTGCGAGCTCGTTTGACTGAGCCGCCCAAATACCTTCCGCCCTCAGCTGAACCTTCAGATCGTGGTCGGACCTTGGTTGCGGCAAAATATTCCTGTGAGCGGGGACGGTAGTTATTGGCTCGGATAGAGCTAACTTCAGGATTTGGCTGATATCTTCCACCCGTAGGACGCTGATGCCGGGGTGTTCGTTCCTCTGACTCCTCCATAGTGAAACTTGAGGTTTCCATATCTCCGGTGACATCCTCTTTTGGTATAATTGCATACATCTGCTTTGCCATCGAAACTGCTGCAGCTTGTAGGGTGTCCCGTTTCCGATTTTCATCGAGTGTAGTACTCACCGGCGGGTGTGAGGTATACATCTCTCTCCGGGAATTGGTAACAGCTGGGTTATAAGGCCTTTTAGGGCTTAGTTGAAAATCAACATTCCTCTCCGCAGTGGGCCTCCCGTGCTGTGAGGCTCGATGGCTTATAGCTGCCGCTGAAAAGGCTTCAGTTAGATCAGAAACCCCATCAGGAGGACTCCCCATAGATGCCGCCTGCTTCCGACTAGAAGACATGGCCCCGGTTGCCGCCATTCTTGCCTCTTGCCACTCTTCTTTGAAGTCCTCATCCCCTAAACCCGACACTCCGCTATCTCGAAATGATCCGTAGGCGGCTTTTGACCCTATTGAGCTCAGTGGCTCATCCTCATGCTTGCCAAGGGAGGAGACATCTTGCTTCTTCGTCGCCGCCGGTTTTGAGTAACTACCACGAGTTACATAACTAGCCGCTGCATTTGCAGTTGTAAGATCATATTCGCGGACATCCCTTGAAGATCGCTTGTTGCTCACAGGGCGCAATCCTATCGCCACCCAGGAAGATATTTTAGCAAAATACCCTGAATAGCCCTCATCCCTGACCACAGTTTCCTCTTTTCTCATATCCCGAAGGGTGCATACCGCTTGAAGTTCTGAATCCCGTTCTCTCCGGGTGCGTAACATATAATGCCGCTGCACTGGCCGCTGGATATCCCAAAAAAACGGTTAGCAAAGCTTGGTAGAGGAAAGATCTAGCATGTTCACTACTCACCGTCCTCAGAGTCTGGATCCATCCTAGACCCTATGGATGTAGGACGCATGCGGGTAGCCATAATCTTGAGATGGTTTGTCCAAATTTCAGTAGGAAAGGAGTCAACCGAACTATTGTATTGCAATAGAAGTTCAACATGGTTAGAGAGAGGAATTGAGGCGAGTTGCAGCGTAGGCGATATCACCGTCGCGAGCGTTAGGTTTATCCACCTTTTAGTGTGCACCACAAAACTGTCGATGTTATGACGTTGGATCTATGGCGGGTGGCTAAATAAGGCCAATTGGCCAATGATAGGGCAGCTAAGCCTATGACGTAATAGTGCATATTATCACGTGATGTTAACGGAGAAATCATGACATAAGCATATTTTCAGATTTCGATCATGTGACACGATGATGCCCAAGGCTCCAAACGCTCCAAAGGCCAAAAACTCAGGCTCAATGTTGTTGCTGTTGTTTTGTATATTCATAATAGGCATAGAGTGTTGTTCCTAGCGAACGTCTCGACGTGATATTGTTGGAATTGGTGGCTATGGTTGAACAAGGCGTCATGTCTGCAATGTGCAGATCCCGCCAAGGCCCTCTCAGCCTCTCTCCCAAATGGCTGCCTGGTCTCTTGACAAACTTCATAGGTAAAGAATCTGACAGCAAGACTACCTACATCAGAAAGATTGGCAGACACCTCAGTTAGTTGCGTGACAATGCGTAACCTGAGATCCGGCAAGGCCAAACCTGCGGTTGAACCTGAGCCACCACACACAACAATACACTTGGCAGGGCTGAGGGATGCACCACCAGACTCACTGTACCAAGGCACTGCTCTCAAGATCATACCCACAGGCTCCAGGCTTCCAGGCTTAACTGCATCAGAACAGAAGCTTCTGAGGCAAAAGCAACAACGACTGGCAGCGAGTAAAGTCTCCCTGGACCGAGAGGCAAGAAATTGCGCGGATGGAGGCACTCTATCCGTCCATAACGGCCTGGAGGCAACATTGATATTTTCCCAATACGAAGCCGGGACTGCCGTCTGCATTAGCTCAGAAGGCTGGGTATTAACCTGTGCGCACTGTTTTGGCGATACCGAGGAAGAACTACAGACATCAAACAAGCGTCGCTGGCTCCTGTTCTATACCGGTTTAGCCGTGCAAGCTGAGTGCATTGTATGGGATGCAAGGAGAGACTTGGCTCTTATGAAAATTGTTGCGATGGAGTCTAAAGACGCCGGTGGAAAAGGAGAGGGTATCGTTTGTCATTTCCCATATGTGCAATTAGCACCGAAACGGCCAACGGTAAATACTCCGATAATATGCATTGGACAGCCCGGTATGGACGATTTGGAGTCTAACACGCCGGCGAAAAACAAGTTTGATTTTGTGGAGTTATCCTCTGGAAAGTTTCGTGGAATGGTGGCAGGTGGCGACTGGCAGGATAATTCAGAGATAGGCCAGATGAAGCATGATGCCTGGACATATTGGGGTCACTCAGGTGCGCCTTTGCTTGCCGAGGCGGATGGTACATTAATTGGACTGCACTCATCTTGGGACGATCAGACTGGCATGCGTCACGGCGTACCTCTTGTTGCCATTCGGGAATTTCTCGCACAACATGCTGAATTAATGGGCTCTCAGGGGCAAGCTGCTAAATCTGAGGAAGAACATACCTCGTCGAAATTGGCCGTTAATGAAGATGTGATTGTTATTAGCGATTAGCCGGAATTTGGTGAATGTCGTGTTTTTTTTAGAGAATAGGCTAGGGATTGCAGCGCTCGAAATCTTTTTTTTATTAATTTTGGAACAAAGGAAAGTCTATCGCCTTGAAGCTTTCTGTTGTACAGGCGCCAATCCGTTCAATTATCAAAGCAAATACCAAACCCCTGGAGTGGGCGAACAAGCCGAGTGCTGAGAGGGGATCGACCTAGGTAGAGGCAGTGTTCACTCTTGTGTACTGCCTAGACATTTGTAGACACCCAGTGCATTTATTTAGGGCCCTACATCAACAGACGCCAGGCACCGAGTATCAAAGCCGCTGTACCAGTGCATACACCCCTAAGAGACAAGTTAGTAAGCTAATCCCCTGATTTCCAAAGAGCTGATGACTTACATTAGCCACTGAAGAGTTGAGAACTTTACGGCCTCAACTCTCTCCCTAACACCAGCTACTTCCTGTTCGATCCTGGTCTCTGTTTCTTTTATCCTCATCTCTTGTCCATTAGATTCTTCCCGGATCCTTCCTTTCTCAAGGTTCAGATCTAGTCGAACGGAAGCCTGAGTTCGGCCTATTTCATCTCTTAATCGAGAGTTAAGTTTGGCTAGGTCTCCTGCAATTTTATCATGTGATGAGCGGGTGAGCTGTGCCTCTGTTGAATCCGAATTTAACAGTTCGGAGCGGAGCTTCGCAAAGTCCACTTTTTGGGTATACGCGGAACGTTCGGCATCTATCCAGATTCACAGTCAGCTTAAGTCCATCATATACAACCCCAAGCTCGCCGAAATTAGATATAAACCTTACCTTCTCTTGATACCATTGCCCGTGTGAGGTTCTGCATCGACTCTTCAATGACATCTGCCATAACCTTCATAAGGGCGACGGCTTGCTCTTCGCTGAACCCTTCATTCTTTAGACGTTGCACAACCTTGAGCGTATCAAAATGATGATCTTTCTTCACAACTGCAGTCTGATGGAATGCCCGTCGAGCCGGATTGAATGTGGCTACGTAGACTCCATTATGCCTTATCGGGGTTGTTCCAGGTGCAGTCTCCTGACGCTTCACAGAGCTGCTTTGCCGGAGGATAAGGGCGTGCTTTTGTATTAGAGGAGATGAGGCCCGACAGGATACCGAGGAAAAGTGACGCTGGTATGATGGGATGAGTTGGAGGGACTTTGAAGAAGTCGGGGGTAAAAGATGGCGGTTGTTTAAGGCAGAGCTGTTGCCGGATAGAAAGATGGAGCGAAGGGAGGTTTCGACAGAGCGCCGGCGGGATGGCCTCACGATGCGCGGTGACTCGGTGACAACTAGCTGTAGTTTCGGCATAGCTGTGCTGTGGTGGATGGCTCAAAGCTGTGCCTTATATCTGTACCTGTTAAAAAGATCGGATGACGTTCGGGAGATTTTGGCATCTGCAGAAAATCTACAAAGTCAGATCGATAAGAGATTGTGGCACGTGATTTAACTAAGTAGTTATGTGATTATGTCATCGTTTACATGCCGCCTTTAGCGCTTCTATAGATGCATCAATAAACAGACTATTGAACTGGAAGACAGCCTATGAGTGGTCAATAATGGAACGTGCCGAAATAGTTTCATATCTGCAGTTTAGGTGGCCTGCCAACTAGCTGTCATTAACAGGAAAGCCAAGCTAACCATCATAGATGGCTCCGATGTATCTACAAGCCAAACAACTCCTTGAGCAACTTAATGGTATCTTGTGGTCCAGAAACTGAGTGACCAATGGTACGCTTATCGCTGAAGATTTCATAGTCGTTTCCACCTTCGAAACACTTGTCACCAAAGAAGTGAATGGTGGTATATTCAACTCCAGAGACGGACTTCTCAGCCTCGATGTGCTGAAGGCAGTAGGTCTTGTCCCAGCCAGTGGGGAAGACGTCGAAGGAGATTTGTCCTCCAATGGAGTAGCTATCAATATGCATTAGAGGTATCCTAGGAGAAAAATCGCTTATATGGGATAAAGCTTACGTGAGTCCGTAGTCTGGGAATTCTTTCTTCAAGGCCTCGACCAGTGTCTTACGGATGTTGTGCTGCTTGTCATACCTATTGCTAGTGTATCAGCTGCATGTCCATAATGGTAGCTAGTTAATCGGATGTGTGTATACTTCTCAAACTCGTGTCTCTCCTCTACACTAGCATTTCTTCCAATAGGGCTGATGTTGACCATTCCGTTTCTGAATTCCATGAAGGTACCTCTCTTCTTTGGAAGGGTCAACTTGGACAGGTATCCAAGGACAAAGTTGACTAGTTTCTGGTACTTCTCTTCTCCGAGCCATTGAATGAAGCTGTTGCTAGACATAGACTTGCCAAGTCTGAAGGCAGTAAGGCCATTCTCAGCAAAGCAGAAGTCGAACAAGGATGTGACGTTTGTAGCAGGGGTCGCTAGTTGTTCTTGTTGCTTGACGAGATCAGAGCCTCCAACCTGTGGGAGAACGGTTAATGGCGGGTATTCTTCTAGATGCTGTGGGTGTATGGTGCATCACTTACGAAGCCAATTGCACACTTGTGTCGGAGTTGAGAGAGGAGCTGTAGCATTTCGGGGGATACACCCTGCACAGTATACAGTTAGAGAAGCATTTCTAAAGCTTCACTGACGAAAGATTGGTCTGTAAATACCTGTCTAGCGGGAGTCAGAGTGCCATCGACATCGAACAGGCAGACTGTGCCCTTGATGGGGCGGTTCTCGAGCGAGGGGTAGACGCTAGCACCTTCGGTAGTCATTGTGATGGTGGTTGAAGATGGATAAACCTGGATATTACGATATAATTGATGCAATTAAACGGCTAAAGAAGTCAAGCTCGCTGAGTATGCTGTGGTAGATTCCGCAGAGTTGATAGTTGTCCACTTTAGCTGGATGGCGGGGCTCTAGGGCCCGTGTTTGGTGTACGCGGCTCTTATCGATAAGAGGTAGCCAGTGTCATGTGATGCTCTTCCTTGGAAGGTTCCGTCCAAATGTCGATATCAACAAACAATAAAGCAATTGGAGAAGAGGATGGATTTAACTCATGTACATTCGTATTTAAACTATATGAATCTATTAAGACAGTATAATGAATCAAAGACACTTTTCGGGCCATGCATGAAATAGCATGAAACCCTCGTCATAAGACCACTCCAGCCTTTTGAAAAACTCCAGGTGCGCCATGATATCTCCCAAGCTCGAATGCCATGCCAGAGGTGGTATGAAAAAGACAAGATAGAAAAGAAAGAGACACATATATCGTAAATATGCGGCATTAATATCGAAATAGTAGAGATGTTGTGCTTTCGGAAGGTAATCCGGGAGTAGAGAGAGGGTGATGCACTGAGTGTCATATACCCACGATGATTAAAATAAAAGGGGAAGGAAAGGGAAGAAGAGATGCTGTTAGGGTCTGTTTATACGGCAGCAGCCTCGATCTTCTTTCCCTTGACGCTCTTCCATTCCATGCCAATGGCACCAATTATGCTGAGGGCTGCGAGAGCAGTAGCGACGTACCAAGTCTTGGTTAGCGCGTCGTTGTACGCAACCTGGACACCATCGAGGAACTGAGGTGGAATCATGCTCTTCAACTGGGTGGCTCCAACTCTGAGGACGATCTGAGGATCAAGACCGGGGGCGGCATTAACGACACCCTTAACAAGGAGGTTGGTAAAGACGTTCTGGCCGACTGAGACGAAGAGGGCACCGCCAAGGGTCTGGCAGAACATCATGATGACGGTTCCAACGGCAACGTCCTCGAGTGGCAGAACAGCCTGAGCAGCAATGATGGAAAGCTGGAGGCCAGTGCCGACACCAGCACCAAAGAGAATCTGGTAGCCGATCCATTTGCCCTTGCTAGTTTCGGTGGTGAAGGTGGTAAGGAGACCAGCACCGATGGCGGTGAGGATGGAGGAGATATAGTACAAAGGAGCGTAGTAACCTATGACAGTGACAGTGATACCAGACAGAATTGAGAGAACAACAAGTGACAGAACCATGGGGATATTCATGATACCAGAGCTGGTAGCACTCGCCCCCTTGATAGCCTGGAACCAGATGGGGAGGTAGTAGACCATGATGAAGAAAGCACTTCCAATTGTGAAAAGGAAGAATGCGCCGGAGGCAATGCTACGCTTCTTCAAGATTCGCGGGGGAACAGTGGCCGAGTCGCCGCCTCTAATCTGGATATAAATAAAGCCGGAAATGAGGATCGCAAAGACAACGAAGAGGGCGATAATGCGGCCGTTGCCCCACGGGTACTTTGTGCCTCCCCACTGAAGAGCGAGCAGAAGACATATGATGCTTGGCATGAAGAAAGCGGTTCCGATAGGGTCGAGCTTCATGAGACGTTCTTTCCATGTGTGATTGTTGTCGAGCTTCTGCTTGGGGTGCTTGAGGAAGATGAGGATGGAGAGAATGGTAACGGCGCCGATGGGGAGGTTGATATAGAAGCACCATCTCCATGAGATGTGGTCGGTAAAAGCACCACCCATCAGAGGACCGGCAACGGAAGCAATGCCGTACATTCCTCCAATAGCTCCAGTGTCTATGAAAGGTTCCTCGTTAGCGATACTTCCTGCCTAATTACCAATGCATGCTCTGAAGAAAAAAAAAAGAAAAAGCAAAATCAAGCGACGGTCAATCCGGCAGCCACAAAACGAAATAAAACTTACATGCTGGTCGCTTCTCCAATGGGATGGAGTATGCAATGATAATCAGGGCGCCAGAGAAAATACCGGCAGAACCAATACCAGCAACAGCACGGCCGATGATAAGGGCAGTCGAGTTAGGCGCAGCACCGCAGACGGCAGAGCCAATTTCGAAGATGGTGATGGCAATCAAAAAGACCCATTTGACCGGGAAGAAAGTGTAGATTTTGCCAAAGATCAACTGGAAGGCACAGATGGTGAGCAGATACGAACTTCCGTACCAGCCAATATCTTCCAGAGCATGGAACTGATCCGTGATCTTGGGGATAGCAGTTGCAATAATGGTGTTGTCCTAGAATACCGTACAAGGTTAGATACTGGTCAGACGCATAATAGTAAAGTGTGTAATATGCATAGGGGGAAAAATTACCAAAGCGACGAGAAGAACAGACAGACACAAGCCAGTCACAATGACTGCAAGCTTTAATCCGGTAACATGGTTGGCGGTCTCGTAGTCTTCTGAAACGGCATTGCTCTTCTCCTTGCTAAGGCCCTCCGCGCCGCCAGCAGCTTTCTCGGTCGCGTTGCTGGCCTCCATCGTGTCGTCGCTTAGATCGTTCATCGAAGGGCCCTTGCTGGGCAGCACAGAAGCACCGCTGGATTCGGCGTCAGCCTCCTTGACGGGAAGCTCACTCGTCTTCTCGGTCTTGGAGAAAAGGCCCATTATTATGGATTATTTTCTCCTTTCGCTTTATGCAGCGCAAGATTCGCAGCTGTTGGGGAAGATATATGTATGCGGGTTGAGTATCGACGTCCCCTAGATACCCAAAGTCTTTTGTGCGATTCTTTGATAAAAAAGAATAGAATGTCTACAAAAAGGAAACAAAAAGGAACAAATGAGCGACAGGTGGGATCTGAGTCAGGTTTATATCTCACTCGTTTTTCTACACGTCCCTCCCGCCAGTAGCCCCGGGAACGGACGAAGCGAGCTGCGATCCTTGAAAATCTCGGCTGACGAAAAAAAAAAAAAAAAAAAAAAGGAGGATAAGAATAGACCCAAAGTTTAAGGCTTGGACTTTTGGACTTTAATGACAAATGGACCAATGGCAGGTTCGGATTGACCATGAAGGATGGAATAGAAACGGGGCCGTCGTTCCAGTCGTGTTCCCTCGGACCTTAAAGGGGGTCGATGGAGAGCAGTCTGAGGCTGGCCTGACGATCGAGAGCAGCGCAGATATCAGCAACTCCGCCCCGTAAAGAGCGCTGCAGCCTTTCTCTCACGTGCCTGATGAGGTCGAATGAGCGCATAAATATCGCCTGAAGTTCGTCTGTTCCGCTGACGATTACATCCGTATGGAGTATATGCTGCTGCCTGGGATGGGACAGCGTTGATGAAACCCTCTTCAGCCTCGTAATGTAGTTACGGAGTTATTATTGATGTACGGAGTACATATGTAACTTGAATCGTGCTCGCTCGGGTCTAGGTCGCAGCCGTTCCCGGTGACACAGAGCATCGCCATGTGCCTTTCTCGGTGAGCGTTCTTCCAATACGAGGGCTGGGAAAAAGCCATCTGCGTGATCGCCGCTCAAGCGACCTCCTATTTCTCCCTGGTGGTAGTTCAGCCAACAACGTCAGCATGGCTTTGCCTTTTCTGATCTCCCATCCCAGGCGCTCTGAGTTCGCGCCTGTAAGGTTAGCCTAGTGGCTCACCAAGCCCCCTGGTCGTCGGACGCGGGAGGTCTTTTGGCCGGTCCGGCGGACTCTCACGCCGATTTCCTCTTCTGGCATCTGCTGTGACTATCCCAGGCTGTCTGGTGCCTTTGCTGGCCGCTTGTGACTGTCCTCGCGATACCTGAGTGCTGGGCAAAGCGGGCATCTGCGCGTTTGTAGCCCAACAATCCTTCAGACCGCCCCCATATATGTTGGCATCCGGTCATTTTGTTGTGCTCCGTACTCCGTAGACTAGTGGTTGTTGGCCTTGTCATTGTTTTTCTTTGTGGTGTCGTTTTTTACGGAGAACTTCGTTTGATAAGTCGTAAAACTAGACCCGGAGTCGGAAAGTGCCAAGCTCCGGCCGGTTTTCGTGGCTGACAAAGTTTGGCGGAAGAACCCGGTGGGAAGGGATAAGGTCACGTGGGTCACGGAGTCCGCGAGTTCCTGCACGTGACCCCGGACTCCTCGCGACCCGGGACTCTCTATAGGTCACATGACCTGTTAAGTAAGCACCGATGGTCAGTGCGAGTTACACATATTAAACTTGGTGCTTATTCTTCACTATTTATAGATCTCCATGAACCTGCACCATGATCTACTCTATACATCGGACGGAGGCTGACACGCGGTGTTTCTGCTTATCATCAATGCTTCAACGATGAAGACTCTTGGACAAATGGCTTGGCTGTTATTGACGTCACAATTGTCGTGCAAGGGGAACTGACAAGATGAAAACACCACATATATGTCAATGCCTATCACTTATTAAGTATAAATATATATATAGTGGTTAATCTACAGCTTAGGACACAGTCGAGCGAAGCATCCTCGCAGCCAACTGGCCCAGAAGCTTCATTCGGTCCGATGCTGGCAGCTCTTGGTAAACAGAGTATACACTCCTTCCCTCTCTGTCTCTGATGGCACCAATTCGGTTGCCCACAACCATCCCGGCCACCATGCCCACGGTATTCGCAATTATAAAGCCTAATATCGCACCCCCAATCGCGCCCATTATGGACCAGAACCATGCACCGCTCACGTTCAGGTCATACCTCTCGCTCCCAGAGTCTTCAGCCCCGACGCCTCCACGGCCACCACCCATCATGCCATTCTCTCGGAGCATCTCTTCAAAGAAGTCGCTGAACTGTTCAGCCGAGTATTCGTCTGACTGAGGCGGTGGGGCATATGCATTCTTGAAGTACCCGGTCTTGGTATTGTATGCGGTGGTGTAGGCGCTACGCCGGTTCTTGTCGCTTAGGGTATAATATGCATCATTCACCTGCTGGAATTTTTTGGTTCTCTCAGCTCGCTCCGGAGAGTCTATCGGCACCCGGTCAGGATGGTACTTTAACGCTGCTCTGCTCGGGTCAGTGCATCCAAGTCTGCTACAGAGGCGATATATATAAAACGAACTTTTTATATGCTGCTCTGAGTTCCTGGTTGGTAGCGTCTGGGGGAATCTCCAGCAGTGCGACTGTCGGAAGCGCGGGTTAGCCATGTTTCCGGTCCAACAGCGAACATGCCAAAGAGATCGACCTGAAGAGGCGTTGTTACGTACAGTAGTCACAAGTCTCGTCTGCCGCCCAGTTAGCAATCCATCCCGCCTGTGCGCAGTATATAGAAACTATGGAGAGTCTGCGCACTTACCAGCCATCTTTCGCTATATTTCTATCCGTCGCCTAGTATCAAATGTCGCTTTCTGTTCCTTCCCGTGTATAGTCTTGCTTTGCGCCTTGCCCTGACATGCTCTCGTGCTCTCCCTCCTTATATATAAACACATCGTCACCCTATGACGTAGTTGAGTGTCCGGGCCGGGGTATAATCACGTGATGCGGGAGCTTCCTGTGATGACTAAGCTCTTCCCAGCCACCGCAAAAAGAAGAAAAGAAGAAGCGACTTCGAGTTCAGCTTCAAATTCTCCGTCTCCGTCTTCGTCTACTTCTCTGCTGCTTGCAACGGTTATGAGATAGACGGCCGCAAGACGGTGCAACAGGGCGCAATTGGTCTGCAGGAAAAGGCTCACTGCGCGTCAAGAGGAGCCGTTCGCTCTCTTTTTGTTGGTTTGTTTAGCTGCATCTAGGGTCTGTCTACCTGCTACACCGCCAGCTCCAGTTTCCCTGATACAGACAGGGACAGACCCCCCTTATCGGCCTATCCAGTCAAATTGATAATCCACACTCCATACGTCCCCTCGCTCCCTCGCTGATATACCCATATACTCCGTACCAACCATATACTGCGGAGTGCTAGCAACGACAGCAGTCAATTAATAATACTTTGTTTGGCTCCTCCAGCTGGACGGAGAGTTCTCGCCTAGTAATGAGCTTTCTGTATCCCTTTGCGCCATCAAACAGCCATCGACGCAGCAGCAGCCGCAGTAGCCGCCACGGCTATAGCTCCAGTCATCGATCCCACTCAAAAGAACGCCGTCATCATCACCGCTCCTCGTCGTCTGTTGTCGGCTCGAGTTACGGCAACGGCCACAACTACAGTCACAGCCATCACAACGGAAGCACCCGTCCTTCAGAGGGTTCTATCTTTGGTCTAGGATCACACGCAAACCGCTCAATGGCTTCATCCATCTTCTCGGCGGGGTCGTCGTCCCGCCGTGCGAAGCCTCGGGCTGGTTTCGTCCATCGTATGATGCGCAAGATCAAGAAGCTGTTCAGGGACATAGTGCATTATATGAAGAAGCATCCGATGAAGGTATTTTTCCTCGTTATCTTGCCATTGATAACCGGCGGGATACTGCAGAAGTTGCTGGCCTCAGTCGGAATCAGGATACCGGGCTTAGCGGCGTTATCCAAGGGTGGTGGCGGTGGCGGTAGCCGTGAACCTTTCAGCGGAGAGGGAATAGCCGGTGGTGTCAGCGGGTTGATGTCGCTGGCAAAGGCATTTGCCTAGATTCATCTCTCTTTCATGTCGTTTATGCCCTTTCTTTTTGGATATCTCGTGGTTTGGTTTTTGATACCTTGGTTTTTTTTTTTGTTATGCTACGTTTGGAATTTAATGACCAGAGATGACCAGAGGAATATGGATGCTAAGAACCCCAGCTAGATACCAGCCTGCTGTTGTTGATCCCTAATTGCTCCCATTTTGTATGGCCTACGTTCGTTTTGACGCGTTTTGGACAATAATAAATATATGCTCGACTATATACCACAGGCATGTTGTTGTTTCTTTTTTTTTTTTGGCTTTATAGTTATACAGCCAACTTCCGCTCGTTGAGCTACATTTCTATCCAAACGTCAATAATAGACCTTCGATACGCATTGCTCAGCTACAAAAGGATGTTACAGTACTCTGTACAGGGCGTCATGCTCTACAGGAACCGCAAGGCTGTGGAAATTAACCTCTAATCCTTCTGACCAACAAGAGTCATCCAGAACCGAACCCTATCTTGCTTTTTAAGATGGCCGCCAATAAAACCTGGGAGTTTGAAGTTGGATTTTACATAAAGAGGTCCAACGAATAGCTATCGAAAGGTAGCACTTTATTATATGCAGCTCACGACAGAGCCCTTCGAGGCTCTTCAGGATGAAATACAAACATGTACAATCGCAGTCTGCTGAGCTTAGCCGTCAATCAGGGGTTATAAAAAGGGTCTCTGCCACCTTCCGTGAAAAGAGTACCATTCCCTTCCCGCGAGGCTTTATTTACAACTTCTGCTGGTTGTTGGCTGCTGGCGGCTTCTCAGCCCTTTTACCTGTGCAGCCATGGAAGTTCACCCAATCCTTCTCTGCGGGGCGGTAGTTACCGGCTCTGCTCTTGCTGTGGGTTTCACAAGGCCGTCTTCCATCCTCCGCCTTGCTGTAGCGCCAGTTCTTGCACTCTGTTCGTTTAGATGCACCACCACAAGCATAGACTACATGGTACGAAGCCCCTGGGCCGCCTTGGTAGGAGCGTACTCTGTCACATTTTTCCTGCACTATCTCGATATTGCACTCCTCCGGGGCTGGTCCTTCGAATTCGGTGGACCATCAATCGACCCTGGTACCGGTCACAATATAGCCGAGTATACCAAAAAGGATCGAGCAGACAACAGCTGGGAACGCTTGAAGTTTGGCTTTGCTGCAACATTTTCATTCCGCCATATTGGAACCCCATATCAAGTCAAGAATGTACCACGATTCAGCAAAAAGAATCCAGAATATGTCCCGTCTCGATCTAGGTTCTTGTTATGGACGGGCTTTATATTTACTGCAAGCTATGTCTTTCTTGATTTGGTTACATTCAAAGTCGATATAGATACCAACCTAAAATACTTTACTCCCAAAAACATACCATTTTTTACACGGTTACCGAATATCTCAAGGGATGAGATCGTGATGCGCGTGATAAGTACTGCCATTTCTGGGATAACAATGACATGCATCCAGAGAGGCATCTACAGTCTTGTTGCATTTGTAAGCGTGTTTCTGGCAATCAGTGAGCCGCGAGAATGGCCTCCATTCTACGGACCTGTCTCGCAGGCCTTTTCATTGCGAAGAGCTTGGGCGTGAGTATCTGAAGTCTTTTCGCTACCTGTAGTCTCAAGATCCCAAATTATGCCAGCTAACTCCTTTCCATAGGATATCCTGGCATCAATTTAACGCAGCAAAGTTCGCTTCTGTGTCCAGTTTCATCGTCCAGCGTGTCCTGCGCATCTCTCGTGGAACTCAGGTGTACCGATACGCAAGGCTGGTTACTATATTCGCTATCTCAGCATTGTTGCATATACTAGGTGACGTGGCTGCTGGAATCTCTTTCTCTAGCTCTGGGGCGGTGCGATTCTTTGCCACTCAAGCGTTTGGAATTATAATTGAAGATATCATTGTCAGTATATACTGCAATTTCTTGGTCAAAGATAAATCCCACAAGTATCATCTTCTGGAGAAATGCGTTGGATTTCTATGGGTTGGTATATTCATGGCATGGTCCTCCCCATCATATATCTACCCCATGCTGTACCGTGTGAATTCTGGGCAAAATGACTCCATAATTCCATTTAGTATCATGAGAAATCTCATGGCCGTTGAGTGAAATTGACGATTTCGATGATTCGATGGCGGACTTTCCCTTGCCCTCGAGATATACTTACCCATCACCACGGTCACATATATAACTGGACGACAAAAGTCCCTCCTTCTAGGCGTCGTCGAGAGATGTGGTCCTTAAATATCCGCCGCCTTAGGATTACGAAAGATTCACCGTTATACTCAAGTACAAGATTCCAATACTCTGCTCAAATCGAACGCCATGTTCCTTGACAGCATCCTCAGCACTCCATTCGGCACAAACGGAAGGGCGCGGAGGGCATAAATGGCGAAATGTCTCAAGAAGATGCATAATTTTGCTTCTAATCTGTAATGGAAGAATTGCTTCCATGTGTGGCAACGGAGTATGCCCCAACCAGACTGGTTCGCCGTCTTCGCCATATCCGGGGTGATTATTATAGCACACCTTTTTAAAATATAATACATATTACTAGAATTTTTCGAGTCGAATGGCGATAGATACGTGGCTCTCAGTGATAGAACGATTCCTGCTGTCACCAGGACCAGCTGTGAGGCCTGAGATAAGCCTGATGATGCAATTCTCGGCCTGCAGCATGTCACGGTAGCTGCTTACAAGAGTGAAGACATAATGGCTGCCCGCTCAAGGGAAGTTATCGGCTGGTATGTCACTCTACTCACAGGAAAAAAGACATCCCCTCTCGATCAGGCAGGAGACTCCTTTTTGTCTTGACAGCTGAAGAATATTCCCTGCCAGCCCTACTGTTGTCAACAGTGCATATGTCGATCTCACAGTAGAAACCGACGTTATCCCTAGTCATATGGTATCTGTATTATACGTTATATTTGGTGACTTATAAACTTAGCAGTGTCGATCTCTGTGGGTATCTACCTGTTGATTCTTCTCGTCCGTCAACCCCATGCCTTGCCATTCAGAAGTACAGCGCCCGTACGCCCTTATGTTGGATGTTTACGAAGTCAACAGGTAGTGTAGCAACCTTGGGAGCATAGCCTATTCATCGTACGATAGATGAGCCAATAGCTTACTTTCCCGTGGAAAGATTAGTTATATTCACTTACTTAATATACCGGGAACTATACCTCATGGATGTGCTGCAGTTCTCTGCACCATTATAGAGTCATGGGGTAGCCTAGCATCGACAGGAGTACATGCAGTTATGGTGGTGGATGTATTCCGGGGTGAAAAGAGTCCAAGAGGAATTCTTTCCTTGAGCCTAACTTTCTGCCCTTGCCTGTTATCGCTAACTAGTTAATCAATACATATAGTATTCTCGTGGGGCATTTTCTGGAAGGAAAACATATTATTATCAATTTGAAAATATGGAGTACATCCCCGACGGCTTGGAAGCTTCATAAAGTACTTGTGGGCGCAGTATACCTTTTATTTCTCCATACGAGGTTGTTCTGTCCGAGGACCAGCACAGCCAGCAGCAAGCGGGAAGAACGAGCAGGGGCTGAAAGTCAGTTTTTATAACTCTCGGCTTAGTCAATATGCATAATGCAGCCAATCCATGTATTGGCATGGCACACCCGCAACCCAGGAACGACCTTTGATACATGGGCTACCTAGCCAATATATCCGATTGCAGGTTAATTTCAAATGCCCAAGGATAAATATGACCGATACTTCGGGGAATTGCTTCATTTCATCTCCCCTGCTCCCTGACATCACGGACAATGTCCTCCATGTCACTTGAAGATCGCCAGTGAGACATGTTACTTATGCATGTCGGTCCAAGTGGTGAATTGGGGTAGTAAAGAGAAGCCAGAGCTGGATGCATGACTCTCTAGAAGGGCTTAGTTCGCTAACATTAGCGTTACTACTATCTTAGCTTATGTGCGAACGGGTCACACGTCGATCTGGTGCGAGATAGAACTAAAGTAAGCCTCCAAGGTCGATACGTGGTGATGGTGCCTGCTTTGCCTTCCAAGGCTCTTGACGTTTGATTTCTGTCGAAAACAGCACGAGCCGATAGTTTCGCACCGTAAAGCCCTTTCTAATTATCAACTTCCGAGATGTTTTGACCTATTTGGGACCAGTGCCAGGGGGATTGGAGATTAACCAGCTGTATCGCCGTTGCTATTGCATAAGATACTTGCTGGTGAGTGCAGAGCATTGCTCCAATCATATCAACCGTGAACCGTTATATACTTTTCCCCTCTTATTTTACCGGTTTGAGAGAAAGGGAGCGTCAGGGCCAATTGACGTCCTTTGTGGCGGCTGATAATATGCCGACATTCTTGCCGCCTGGGCCGAGCGACTGGGCAGCCAAAGTAGGTTCATTCATTTGAACAGGAAATTGTTGGTCCCCGATCCAGTTCCTTTGGGTATGAAAACACAGCCGAAGGCCTAGAATGTGTTTCTATTTTCCGTCATTTTTCAAGTGGATGTTCGGCTGTGTTTCACTACCAGCCCTGTCAGGAGGGCCGTTTCAAACAGCTGAAACGAGGTTTTATGCACGTGGAAATGAAGGGTATGTACGATGTAAAACCGGCTGGTGAGAGAATAACGCCACAATTGATCTCTCAAGAAATCGGAGATTGTATCATCCTTCGGTAGGTACGGAGTACAAGATTACTAGTTCCGTATACTCCGAGCGGAGTATTATCTGTTGAGCTATGCCAGAAGCGAAGTCAGAGGGGAAGAAGAACCTTGCGATATATAGACAAATATGCCAAAAAAATTCTATGACCGAAAAAAGAAAAGGGATGAAACGCTGCGCAGTAGAAAAACAATGGAGAGAAGAGCAAGGAAAAAGAACATTCCTAAGTGGAGGGCAATATAAATGAGTTGGGGGGAAAAAAGCACCATCGAAATCACTCTTGCAGGACATCAACCATATTGCGGACAGAATCCTTTAATTCCTTTGGTTGAAAGCTGCGCAAAGCAGTTCTTATTTGGTCGATAATCTGGGGTGGAAGCCACTTGTAGGCCCTTGAGTGGATGCTTAGTCCCGAGGGGGAAAACATAGATTTGTCCGCATATATGACCATCCACATAGGCTGCTCGTCACCTTCCCGTATAGGTTTACTGCCCTGAAGTGGAAGATTGCCATAACCCAAAATCTCCCACCGGTTGGTTATGAACTTGGCGAAGCCGGTGCCTCGCCAAGTGAATATACCAGGCAGGGAGTTTGGGGTTGGTCTTTCGGTCCCCACGGTGGTATCAACAACATCACAGCCCTCCCCCGAGAGAGATTGGTAAGTTGTTACCGAGTCAAGGACAGTGTCTTTTGTAAATTCAACGACGTTACAACCGGCATCTTTGGCTTGGCCGGGCTCTTTTAGGGAATATGTAATTGATACATTTTTCTTGTCCTTTAGGAACTCAACCGAACTGCTCACGACATACCATGTCCCGATTAGCGGGATCGTGCTTGATATCTCCGGGGAACTAGCCGGGGAAGAAGTAGCAGAAGCAGTAGAAGCAGTAGTCGCAGTAGCCGCAAGAGCAGATGGGGAGAGCCTGGATGGAAGCCGAAGGTGGATTTCGTCGGGCATGGTTCTTTTTCATTAGCGCGGCCCAGTCGACATAAGTACGGAGTAAGTATCAGCTAATTAATTTTAGCTGGTGGCAAGAAGTCACTCCTGACGTTGCAATGGGAAGTCTTGGTACTTCCCCAGCTCCTGTCTTTCTGAACAAAGAACACCAGGACCCCCTGTTTTCCCGTTTGGCCCTCAGATAACAAAAGCGAGTCAGGCCATCGGCTGTCTTGTTGGTAGATGTTGGTACTCCGTAGATGAGAAGATATGTTTGCTTGCCCTGTCACAAACAGCAACAAGGCTTGTTTGTTGTTGTGCATGTTTGATGTTTGATGTTTGATGATGTTTCGGTGTGGCAGAAATAAGAAAGTAACGTGACCTTCTGGAGCCACATTTCTCCGGTTTCCGGGCCCGAAGAGGAAAGGTGCAGTATCAGCCCTAACTAAGTATATGTACACTTACACGCAGGTCGCCGGTCGCGAAGATCAACTCGATCAGCAGCAGTGGAAGTCCGGTTGGTGTCTTCCAGTTGATCTTTGAGGACGATCTCGAAGCTGGGAGCAACGGGTTCTTCGGCTCGCGCCTAATCTCGACGATCCACGATGATCCGGCTCATTTTATTTTCACACCTCTATCGAAACATATCAACAGTAGTACTGAGTAGAAAGATGGCGGAAACGTGAGACCAGCAATGGAAGATACTTCCCCACGCAGGAAAACCGCTAAAAGGCGCTGTCCGTGGCCAATTTCACAGGGCTTCCCCTCATTGCTGCCAGCCCAGTCTCTATTAGGACATTCTCCGTCCATACATGGCCCATGACGGGGGACAGCCATGCAACTGATATCACCACCTCTGAGGGGCGCTTTAATTTTCCATTTTCTGCTCTGGTTCTTTTTGAGGCCGTTTGAACCTTCCGGTATACGAGCTCCTTAAAAGTCGAGAATATAGTTCATGCACCGGAGTAACCGCAGTTTGCGGTCAGTCGAGATGGAAGGGCCCCCATTGGCGCAAAGCCGTATTTGCGCCCTGGGGTTAACATCGATTGCCTCATCCTGAACACCAAAATCGCAAACCAGGGCGCATATTCCCCTATCACCCTTGACGATAGCCCTTGGTGCCCTAATTTCAGATAACGAATGATGATAGGACAGATATCGAAATATTAGTCATGTGTTTCGGTTTATTCCCCATAGCCAAGAGTACGGGGTTGCTCCTGAAACTCTCAATTCTTCGGCCACTCACTCTTATCAGCCATATTCCCGGTGTACCCCTGGAAAACCTTGGACGGGTAGCCTTTTGATAGAGAGCTCAACATCACGACATCTTCACACCCAACAGGTACTTGGCGCATACTATGCGTTCAACTACATGCGGCCTGCGCTGTCAAAACCCCGTGGGGTCGTTACTGACGGTAATTCTTAATCAATGGCTCGGTACTTTGCGGGGACTGGACAAGTCATCCGACTCATGGATGAAACTCTTAGTAGTGCTTGGTATCCCTGCCATATCTCTTGCTATCGCCCCAACAGCAAAATGATACCCAGATACATCAAATTTCTTTTCGGTTCTTTCTTTTTATAGGAGACCGAGGTATTACAGAGTCAGCTTTGGCCAACTCTTGACCTCTGTACTATGCCGCATCTTGCCGTGTTATAGACATCTCTTTCTGTTTCGACCTGTGGAACTATCTTTCAAGGGGTATCCTGACAACCTGCGGACATCTACTTCCATTCTACTCCGTCTGGTATCTGTGACCTTGGTAGGAGATGAGGGCGGAAACAAGCCCCCTCCGAAATTGTGGCTATTCTTCTATCTAAATGGAATTACACAGAGCGAAATATAAAATGGGCCTTGTGCCCTCCAGCTTGATACCCTTTGCTTCCTCTCTCCATCAGCAATCACTGACAATCCTCCTCTCCTTTACATTCCTTTAATCAACATCCATCAAAATGGTCTGCCTCAAGACTCTGTCCGTGTTTCTTGCAGCATTCGCTGTCGCCGATGCTCGCGCAGTCTTCAAGACTCAGAGCAACAAGAATGGCGAAATGATCGCCGACAACTACATTGTTGTCATGAAGGATGGTGTTTCCCATGATGACTTCAAGGCTCACGTCTCCTCCGTCGCCAGCATCCACACCACCAACAAGGCTAAGCGAGGCACCAACACCGCTGGTATGAAGCGTGAGTTCGACATCATGAACTGGAGAGGTTACCACGGTCACTTCGACCGCGACACCCTCGAGGAGATCCTCAATGACTCCAAGGTATGTGTTCTTCCCGGCCAAACCTTCTAGATCTGAATAAGTTTTTTTAACAACGCCAATAGGTCTCCTACGTCGAGCAGGACCAGGTTGTTAGAATCTCTGGCCTTACCACCCAGCGCAGCGCACCCAGCTGGGGTCTTGGACGTGTTTCCCACCGCCGTGCTGGAAGCCGTGACTACGTCTTCGATGACTCTGCCGGCCGTGGTGTCACCATCTACGGTGTTGACACTGGTATTGATATTCGCCACCAGGATTTCGGTGGACGTGCCCGTTGGGGTACTAACACTGCTGACCGTGATAACGCTGATCGCCACGGTCACGGAACCCACACTGCCTCTACTTTTGCCGGTACTGCCTTTGGTATTGCTAAGAACGCCAACATTGTTGCCGTTAAGGTCCTTGGCTCCGATGGATCCGGTAGCACCAGCGGTATCATTGCCGGTATCAACTACTGTGTCCAGGATGCTCAACAGCGCGGTATCCTTGGAAAGGCTGCTATGAACTTGTCTCTTGGTGGTGGCTTCAGCCAGGCCAACAACGATGCTGTCACCCGTGCTCAGAACGCTGGTATCTTCGTCGCCGTCGCCGCTGGTAACGACAACGTGAGTTTGACCCATATGCTCTCAGTCTAGTATCGTGCTTTGTTCGATTTACTAATAATCAACCCCTTTTGCAGAGAGATGCCCGTGCCTACTCTCCTGCCTCTGCTCCAGCAGTCTGCACTGTCGCCTCTTCCACCATCCAAGACAGCAAGTCCTCTTTCTCCAACTGGGGCTCAATCGGTATGTTTCTGTTTCTTAGCGATTTGTACAGCTGAAGACTAACAGCAATTCAGTTGATATCTACGCTCCTGGTTCCGACATCATTGCCGCTCGCCCAGGTGGTGGCAGCCAGAGCATGTCCGGCACTTCTATGGCCTCTCCCCACGTTGCTGGTATGGGAGCCTACCTGATCGGAATGGGAGCTGACCCCCGCCGCGTCTGCGACCAGCTCAAGCAGCTCTCCACTCCTGCCATCAGCAACCCTGGCTCTGGCACCACCAACCGCCTCCTCTACAACGGAAGCGGCCAGTAAATGGTCGGCCCCCTTCCATCCCCTCATTTTCTGAACTAGAAGTTCAACCATTTCCCTTCCTAGTACATTTTTACACCTGACCTGATTGCATCAACTGGTTGAGTGCCAAACTTTTTGAACATATCAAACCCTGCACATATTATTTATTTCTTCATGATGTACCCCATTAGTACATAGTTATCACTTTTTTAGCTTTTTATTAGCTTATTGCGATTTGAGCATCACTTCTTCGCTTGCTATCTCGTGCTCCCGCTCTCTTTTTATCTACTCCATAACTTGAATCTACTTGGGTCCAGGGGTATAAGAAGGGCTTCACTTAAAATAGCTCCGCTTCTTCTACAAGGTTCCTTGCACTAGTTAGTTGCTAGTTAGTTAACTAGCGGGTCACACTTTCGTTTCCACCAAAGGCTCGTTTAGTAGCTCCCTGTCAAACCGGCTAAACCAGAAGAGTGAGCCCACAGCAGTGGTTAGCAGCATGCAGTTGCAGCTTTGACTCTTCTTGGCCTCGGCCCAAGTATCAAAAACGCTACTCCAGATGCACCGGTGTCCCTGGCCTCGTATTATTCTAAGTATGCATAGACGCCGATCACACTTGCATCATCGATCCTCCACGGTTAGCTGAGGGACTGTGATAAGTGGAAAGTGGGAATGGTTCGACCGGCTATATTTCCCAACATAGCTCGGTCGGGGGAACGTGGTAAAAGTGTACTTAAATATATGTTCGTTGATATAGTAACTATATAACCTCGTAAAAAAATAGCTTACACTTCGTGAGAACTCGTAGGAATCTAGAATGAAAACACATGCCCCTCTCCGCCTGTATGACTGAAAATATAATCTACTTTCTAAGGTAAAGGGAAATAGAATCAAAGCCAAAACCAAGCCAGATAAAAGCTTGTGAAAATCAATGTTTTGTGTGCCCGCTGTAATTCCAGCCTGTCCCACGCTACTCTCTCTGTTCCTCTTGGGAGATGGTAGTATTCGGTTGACTAGGCGGGGGCTTCTGTGATATCGGGGCTGGCCAACAATGCTTGCAAGAATGGAGATTCTTCGATCATGGTACGTACATCACGGTACAAAAGGAGATTTCAAAACAACTCTGGGTTTGATGTTCATGACGCCTTTGACTTTGTGTTGGATCCGTTTTGAGACGCTGGTTCGCGGTTAGGAGTAACGCGCGTAACGTAAAGAGCTCTCTCAATATATTTCAAAAGTTCGTCGATAACGACAACTGGTGCACTGATGGCCAGAACAGCCTTCCACTCCAACCAATTAAGTGGCAGGATGTTGAACAAGTTTTGAAGGAAGGGGATATATAGAATAGCGAAGTGGAGAGACATAGAGAGCATGATCGCGTAGACGAGCATCATGTTGTTCCACAGTGGGAAAGTAAAGAGGGATTCGCTGGAAGAGAGCGCGTTCATGGCGTTCAGCATCTCAATCACAACAAGGATGGAGAGAGAGATGGTAGAGGCGGACTTTGCCATGTCATTACTGAACATGTCACACCCGATCTCGGAGAATTCCCTGGAACATTTATGGAAGTGTGACTAGAAAGTGGGATCAGCATTAGGTCGAGCTAAGGTATGACAGTGTGTACGAGAAGAATAAGTTAAACTTACCAGCTGCCAGAAGGAGATTTGAGGGCCCTCTGGGTTGAACATGAAGTACCAGGCATAACCGAAGACAGTTGCAGCACCAACATAGATACCGATGACCATGTAGCGGAAGAAAAGCCAGCCTCCGACGAGAGGTTCATCCCTCTTGCGTGGCGGACGTCTCATAACATCGTGGTCTGCTGGATTGAACGACAAGGCGGTTGCAGGAAGTCCATCAGTTACCAGGTTGACCCACAATAATTGGACAGGAACCAAAGCTTCTGGCATGCCTAGAGCCGCGGTAAGGAAGATGGATACAACTTCTCCGATATTCGAAGAAATAAGGTAGCGGATGAACTGCTGGGTATTGCTGTAGATCGATCTTCCCTCTTCAATAGCAACTTCGATGGTAGCAAAGTTATCATCAGCAAGAACCATGTCGGCTGCAAGTTTAGCGACATCTGTTCCAGAGCCCATGGCAACGCCGATATCCGATTTCTTTAGTGCAGGGGCATCGTTGACGCCGTCTCCAGTCATAGCTACAACATGTCCGATTGATTGCAGGAGATCAACGAGCTTCGACTTGTGAGTTGGCTCAGTACGGGAGAAGAGCATGCCATTCTTCGCTGCTTCGAGTTTCCCTTGCTCACTAAGTTCATCGAATTCTCTGCCAGTGAAGCTCTTGCCACGGAGGTCTTCGTCTTTACCAAAAATCCCAATTTGACGGCAGATAGACTCAGCAGTATGCTGATTATCTCCTGTAATGACAACAACTCGAATACCAGCTTCACGGCACTTTTCAATAGATGGGCGGACTTCTGGTCGTGGGGGGTCAAGCATGGCAACGAGGCCGATCAACGTCATGTTCTGTTCCAGTTTCTCGTATTCCTCTGATGTCTGAGCGGCGTGTAGCAGGGGTGTTTCAGGGACATTGACGATGTTAGCGATGGCAATGATACGGAGCCCCTGGTCGCCGTAGTCTGCAACCTCTTGTTGGATCAGCGAAATATGTTTCTTTGTGAGAGCAACCTTATCTCCGTTTGGTCCAGTAATCGCATGAGAGCATCGTTCCAGTATCGTTTCGGGAGCGCCCTTGACGAGAAGTCTCTGGCTTCTTCCCTTCCCGGCCAAGACGGACATGCTCTTCCGGTCACGGCAGAATTCATAGGTAGCCTGGACCGGAGATCGAGTTTCATAATGTTTGCTGGCGGCATGTACACGTTCGGCGGGCGGTAGATTTCTGATCTTGGCATTGATGGCGGCGCTGTCGGTCCCAATCTTCTCTGCCAATGTTCTGAGAGCACCTTCGGTCGGCTCGCCGATATTGCTGAAGGAACCAGACTTTGCATCGTAGGCAAGCTCAGCTTCGTTGCAAAGGGCCGCAACTTCGGTCATCTGTTGGATGGTGGCAGACGACACAGCCAAGTCCTTGAGTACATTTCCATTCTGCTTGAGGTTTCCGTCGGGAGCAAAGGTAGTGCCTTCGACTTCGATCTCCTCAAGACCGTTACCAGCCTCATTCAGATAAACAATGCGAGAGACACTCATTTGGTTTGTAGTCAAAGTTCCGGTTTTATCAGAGCAGATAACACTGCAACTTCCAAGGGTCTCAACGGAGGGAAGAGATCGAACGACAGCATTCTTAGCAGCCATTTTCCTAGTTCCGAGGGCAAGACAAGTAGTGATGACAACGGCAAGACCTTCTGGAATAGCAGCCACACCCAAAGAGACGGCTATTTTGAGGTAATAAATGGCACCCTTGGTCCAGCTTCCATGGCTCGGGTCGCCGAAATGTTCAATGTTGATCAACCAGACAAGGATACAGATGACGGTGATGACTTTGGCCAATGAGTCTCCGAAGTTGTTAAGCTTCTGCTTCAAAGGGGTAGGCTCCGAGATCTGGGCAGTGATACTCTCATGAATATCACCAATTGCAGTGTTCGCGCCAGTAAGAACCACAATAGCGGTAGCATGACCAGTGACAACAGTGGTGCCGGAGAAGATCAAGTTGATCTGGTCTTGCTTCACTGCCTGGGGGTCCTTGATCGTGTTTGTAGTCTTGGAAACACTTTGACTCTCACCGGTTAGAATAGCCTGGTCGACACGGAAGCTGTTGCTCTGGATGGTGAGCAATCTACAGTCAGCCGGGACGCGGTCACCGACAGCCACTGAGATCACATCGCCAGGAACAAGCTCTTCAGCCTTGATGCGATGGATGGCTCCATCACGGATGACCTTGGCTTCGTTTGCTGAGTACTCCTGAAGAGCCGCAATAGCCTTTTCGGCGCTGCTTTCCTGGGATACACCGACAATTGCATTGAGGACAAGAATGGTAAGGATCTATAGTGCATTAGTATATGCATGCAATAGCAGGGTGGTATAGCACTTACAACTATAGGGTCCACAAAGGCAGTCCAGCCCTCTTCTTCTTCGAACAATGCTAATACAAAGGATACCACAGCTGATCCTAACAGTATAATAACAAGCTGGTCCTTGAACTGCTCCAGAACGAGCTGCCACAACGGCGTTGGAGGTTCTTCTTCGAGAGCTACATACAACCAATGGGTTAGCACGAGGTTACAGCAAGCCGCATCCTTCACTCACGGGACAGTTACACACCATTGGAACCGTATCTCTCTCTATGTTTCGCTACCTGGCTTTCCTGTAGTCCCTGATCCTCTGTCACTCTGAAGTGCGCCAACACCTCATGCGGAGTGGAAAGGAACGAACGTTCCATGGTCGTCTATCTTTCTTCAAGCTCTGCGCTAGGAGCAAGAAGAGAGAGACGGAGGTCGCAGAGTAAAAGACTTAAAAGCTCCAATTTGTACCCGTGGCCTCAAGGGATTTTTACGCTGACAAATCGAAGCCGGTCAATGACGACGAGAACCTGAAAAAAGGTAAAATCAGCCACTCAATTTGGCTTGTACGATTCTCCCATAGACGGCAATAGTATTTGTCCCGAGCCCGGAGGTATAGGAGGAGGATTTGCGCTTTGCGACAGTACGCAGAGCGAGGAGGATATTGGTGAGAGATAGAGAGATCTTCCCCGCAAAAAAAAAAAAACAACTGAGATCGCGATAGGGTGGGGAGGGTGTTTCGAGCAGACGAGCGAGTATAAAAGAGCCGCTCTGTCACCAATCCAGTCGCAGTGAAGCCGAGAAAGAGAACGCCAGCCGAAGACTTTGCTGTGACCAGGAGGAAAAGTGAAGATGCAGATGCTTCGCCTTCGCGGTTTCAAAGGAAAAGCCGCGCGCGGAAGCTCGAATCAACGGGCCAGGTGGTCTTTTCGGGCATCGGCTGTACGTAAGTCCGGACTTTTCTTAGCCGAAAGAAGGATAGCGTGAGGCTTATCACTAATTAGTCATGTGATTCTCCACGTGGCACTCAGGTGATTTTAAGCCTCAATGACTTAGGTAAGCAATTCTAGGACATCGTCTCTCTCTCTTTCTTTTTTCGACTTCGCAACATCAAAGTCAAGCAAGAGGAGTGAATTTTGAATATCTCGAAAGAAGTCTAGTGAGCGGTTATATTGGCCATTTAGCTTTATGGGCGTCTTTGTAGAGCACTGCCTTGTTGTACTCAATGTATATTAACATCACTCAGCAACCAATTTACATTCAACGGTGGCCTTCAACATTCCTCTAGACTAGATTCCCAACAGCCAGACATCGGCTTACTCATGTTAATAGTAGCGAGTAATGAATATACCCACAGCGTCCCCCGAAACCGGAGGAAGGGAGAATTATGAAGAGAAGTTACACGAATGAGCATGTGGACGCCTGAATACCCGGCCCCCTGACCAAACGTTGGTTTTCACCACGCCAGCCTACACTTCTCCCACCATCATCTCTACCAAAATCAAGCCTCAACCTTTAAATAACCTGCTGATATGCTATTCTTTATCGAATGAAAAAGAATAGAAATACCTCACTATGACGGAATTTGATGCTGCTGTTTTCCAGAGGCGAACCTCTCTCGCTTTTTATCAACGTCAACTATTCACCACGCCACCCGTGACCTCTCGTAATGAGGTAGACCTAGCAGGAAAAACAGCCATCATCACTGGGTCAAACACCGGTCTTGGATTCGAATGTGCACGACAGCTGCTAGATCTCGGTCTAAGCAAGCTCATTGTCGCCGTTCGCAACATTACAAAGGGCGAGGAAGCAAGGGGAAAGCTACTTTCTGGAAGAAAAGCCGAGAATTACTCCATCGAGGTCTGGGAGTTGGATCTCTTATGCTATGGCTCCATTGTTTCCTTTGTGGAGCGAACCAGGACACTTGAACGACTAGACTACTTTGTCAACAATGCTGGCTTTACAAGGCTGTCGTTTGCGATAAACGAGAAGACCGGGCATGAGGAGGTTATACAGGTCAATTACTTCTCACTCGCATTGCTCACTATCCTTATACTGCCGGTACTAAGGGAGAAGAATTCAGCTCGACAACCTGGACGTCTAGTTAATGTGTCCTCTGATACCCCTTCCTGGGCCAAGTTTAAAAAGAGAGATTCAGTCCCTTTATTACCCGCCTTTGACAAGGAGGATAATTTCGATCCACATGATCGTTACGCAACGTCTAAGCTACTTGCTCAGCTTTTTCTTGCACGGCTTGCCAAACAAGTGCCTCCCTCGGTTGCTACCATCAACACTCCTAACCCTGGCCTTTGCAAAACAAGCTTGACTAGGAATTACAAGACCAGCTTGCAGAGGGTTTTATTTGGCATATTTAAGCTTGTCTTTGCTCGCACTGCTGCTGTTGGCGCTCGCTCTATTACTAATGCCATCGTTAAGCATGGTTCGGAGTCACATGGACAATACCTGGAAGATGGGGAAGTACAGCCGTGAGTCTTGATATCTTCACCAACCTCAAAGTGATAACTTCCTAACTGGCTTTTCACTAGTATGGCACCTTTCGTATACACGGACGAAGGTAAGAAGGTGGCAGAGTTGTTATGGGAGGAAACCATGGCTGAACTATCTTTTGCAAATGTTTCTGACATTCTGGAAGATCTAAGTCTGTAATTTATAGGATACATAATATGGCAGCCTTTATAGTACCTCGTTGGCAACCCGTTATCTATTTTCAAATCACACCCAACACCCGCATTTAACCCACCCATACAACTCCTGCCTGAGTTGCTACAATGTAACAAAAGAGTGAACAATTTAAGTTTCCGGCAACGAGGCTGGCGGCACCAAGGTTTCGTTAGGGCTGATGCAGAGCCATAGCCTTAACTCTATCTAGTATCAGACGCTCTCTCTACAAGACACACGCTATATTCAGTCACAATGCATATCTAGGAAATATATTAGCTGTGTGTTGCTATACCCAGCAAGCCAGTAGTAAATATAATCTCCTTCATTTTTATGTTTGTTACCTACCTAGGTAGGTAAGTTGTATATTTTCAAACTCGACCAGAGGAGATATCTGTGGATTCATGAGAATAACTCAGTAATATTAATAAAGCAAATGGTTAGGGATAGTCATTCCTCAAGAGTCAAGGCATTGGGTATTCTGTCTTGTCTACTATGTGGGGTTGACTTGTTATAGCCTATTCGCTTCCTGCAGGATTGAAACCCCGGCCTTATAGTTTCCAAGCTTTGAATGCAGATCAAGGTTATATTAATCAGTGACTTGATTCCAAGATGACTCTTTATAAGGTTAAGGTAATATAGTAAATCTTACAACCAAGGGAGGAGTATAAATCAGCCTGCTGTTAATATTAGAACTGCATCTATGAAACAGTATATCATTTAGTGGCATTTTTAGGAGGTTCACAAACAATGTCTACAAGTATGCCCACCATACTCTTTACAAAGCATACAGTGAATGGAAATGGTGCTTTGTTTATATATCAAAGTTGTCACTGTGAAAACTACTAGATTAACTACTTATGCACCCATAATATCTACTCCAGCGGCATAGATAACTAGTATCAGCGAATACAGTCTGCCAACGCAGAAAAACAGCAACTTAATCAAGCACAAGGTGTTAATAAGTCATTGTTACTGATATTTTATGTGCTGCATAGCTGACTCAGCAGGGCCGCAAAGCTCTGAAGGCAACAAGCAGGACAAGACTGGATAGCGGTGCCAGTGGTATGGGGAATGTGTGTGTAGTTGGGGTGTGTGGTATGGGGGGGAATGAAGGCAGTGGGTAGTTTGGGGGGAGGGGGAATGTAAAGAAACAACAGGGGATTCCGATCTGTCCAGACATAAAGTCTTTCTCCAAGTGCTTTAAAAACTCCGCCGATCCAGCAGAAGATAAGACAACCCTTGAGATAAAAGGAAAGGAAAGGCAAAGGAAAAGAAAGGGGGAATTTGGCATGGAAGTCGGAAGTCGGGAATATTGTAATAAGTAGAAAAAAAAGAGACAGGATAGAACACAGAGCGAGGCTAGATGGGGAGCGATGGAAAGGCGAGAAGGGGCTTCTTTTTTTTAGAAAATTTTTTCATTGGTTGATTTCTTTTTTGTAATCTCTTAAATCTCTGCCCTTTGCCAGTTCGGTCGCCAGTAAAGCCTAGGGGTTCTGACTGTTGAAAAAAAATCCCCGTTTAGGATTCAGCAGCAGGCTCTTCCTTCTTAACTTCAGAAGCTGAGGCGGGTTCCTCAGACTTAGCAGGAGCATCACCTGCGGGGGTCTCCTCAGCCTTCTTCTCCTCAGTAGCACCCTCAGCAGGGGCTTGAGGAGGCATGCTTGGCTCAGGCTCACCGCTCTCGGATGAGGTCCAGAGAGTCAAGTTGTCACGCAGAAGCTGCATGATCAAGGTGCTGTCGCGGTAGGACTCTTCAGAGAGAGACTCAAGCTCGGCGATGGCATCATCGAAAGCCTGCTTGGCAAGGTGGCAGGCACGGTCTGGCGAGTTGAGAATTTCGTAGTAGAAGACGGAGAAGTTGAGGGCGAGACCGAGGCGGATTGGGTGGGTGGAGGTTAGCTCAGTTTGGGCGACGTCGGTGGCGTTCTAGGCACGTTAGATCGAGGCCAACAATAGAGAGAAAGAAGGAAAAGGGGGACCCTTTTATCACTCAGATAGAAGCACTGACCTTGTAAGCATCGTGAGCAGCGGTGACAGCGTTCTTGCGCTTGTTGCCAGAGGCGAACTCGGCGAGGTAACGGTGGTAGTCACCCTTCCTGTAATAGAGTATGCGTATGAGTATGCAATTTCATCTTCTTTCGGGAGTAAGAAAGACGTACATCTTGTGGTAGAAGACCTTGGACTCGCCGGACTCGGCCTTGGGGATGAGAGATTGGTCCAAGACATCGAGGACATCCTGGCAGACGCGCTCGAGCTCCTGCTCGATCTTCTGGCGATACTCGCTGATGGCCTGGACATGCTTCTCAGAGCCCTTGGACTCTTCCTTTTGTTCGATGGAGGAGATGATGCGCCACGAGGCACGACGGGTTCCGACAACGTTCTTGTAGGCGACGGAGAGGAGGTTGCGCTCATCAACTGAGAGCTCACCACCGAGCTAGAGATGTGGCAAGGGTGGGTTAGTCTTATCGTCAGGGACTCCCCAGATACAGATAGATAGAATAGATAGGTATGTCACGTCGAGTGTGCATCCCAGACGTGAGTGGGACAAGTCAAACATACGCTGGCAACTTCCTAGAGAGACCATTAGTATCTGTCATGGCCTGTAATCTGGCGTTTTTCTGGGTGCGTGATGCGTGGTGTTGGCTTACCTTCATGTACGTAACCATCTCTGTATACGGCCAAAAGCAGGAGCCAAACAGTCAGCAAGCCATCCAACGACGCGGGCAGAGCGAGTGAAGACGAGAAAGCGTCGCTCTCGTGCCCCCTAGCAGGTCTCTATCTTACCATCGTAGCGCTCGGCCTGCTCACAGAGCCTCGCGAGGAAAGTTTTGCTGGTCATCCCGTCAGTCAGGCCATCCCCAGGGGAGGAAGAAAAGGGGAGAGGGTCCGCGAGAAATGCATCCTTTACCTCTCACGCTGCAAACCAAATCAAAAGACATCAGTATCAAAAAGTCATCAAGCAGTGAGTAAAACAGCAGACACGACAGATCCAGAGCATCCCTGCATGTCCTGCACCGTCTCTGTTGGACGCGAGGGACGGGCTTGTGTGTGTGTGCAGGAGGGGTAAAAAATAACGTACCTCAGATGTCATATTGAACGGCGGAATCGAAGTAGTCCGAGGGACACAGGGGGGAAAGCGAGCAGGAGAACACGAGTGGTATAATCAGCAGAAACAAGAAGAGAAGTTCAGTCTCGTTGCAAGAGAGAGTCGAGTCGTGTGAGCGTGGATGGGTTGTTGTTGTTGCTGTCGAGGTTGTTGTTGGTTGTTGGTTGGAAGTTGACGTTGTTGAAGAAGACGAAGACGACGAAGCACGAAGAATGTGTGGGAAAAAAGATGACGATGGGTCTGGCTAGGCAAGGCAAGGCACGAAGAGGGTCCCTTTAGCAGCACTCAGCACTTTCAGGGGAGAAGAAGGCGAAGAGGGAGAGACACAGTAGAGAAGAGGATGAAGATGTCCTATTTATCTAGTTGTCTGTCTGTCTTCTGCTTCTGCTTCTGCTTCTTCTTCTTCGTCTCTTCTCCTTATTTATCTGGTCGGCGTCTGCCTTGTTCATCTAACTAGCGAGCAGAGCAGCCCCCAGCGCTAACTGTACTTTTACTCTTCTACGCGCCGGGATGATGGATAGCCTGATGGCATGATGACATGATCTTCTCTCTATCTCTCGCTTCTACTTCTACTTCTATTCTCGATGTACAAAATGAGTTGCCGGTGGTGCTGATTGTCCCTGGGCTACGGTGGCCAGTCGACTAAGTGCCCTACACCACCGTTACTTCTACCTGTATCTCTGTAATTAATGATGATGCTGCTGCAGGATGAGACGAGAGAAGAGTCAGGCTGTCTCTGAGCTAAGCGCCTGTCTGCCTGGCCTGCGGTCGCTGACTCTGCTTGCTGCCTATGAAACGCCAGGCTGCCTGTCATCCGGCGCCGTTGGGGCCTGTCTCCTATAATATATAACTCTATATATATATATATATACACCCTCTCTGCTTTTCTCCCTTCTACCCTGGCAGACAGTCTGATGACTCGTACACAGCCTTGCCATGTCATGCCATGCCATCTCCTTTCTCATCTTCATATTCTGCTTCTTCCTCGCCGTCTCGTCTATCTATCTATCCATCCACCCCCTTCTTCGAGCCCCCTGTCACATGACTAATACAGCCTCCTATACCAGAAATATACAGATTTGTAATAAATACGGAGTACTATTAGAATATTAATTTTCTAATATAAAATATATTAGATATAATATTAATACTACACCTATAACTACTATATTCAATAATATAATTACTATATTAAATAAAATAATGACCATTAAATGAAATGATTGTCACAGGTTATTGTTATTATGTCATCATAGACCTTAGTCATCTTAGGCTTTAGTCATCATGTATATTCGTCACCTTGTACCTTAGTCATTGTACATCTTAGTCATCACGTATTAGCACGATATAATGACCTCAACCGATCAATGACACTGATTATTTATACCAGGTGGTTGAGAGGAGAAACTTGGCATGAAGAAGGTAAGTCTGAAGGGTGTTATAAAAGTGGGCAGCATAGACAGCCGGGCGCGTAAAGGTGGTTCTCCCGCCTACACGCCGCCGATATATAGGGCCCCTTCGACCCTGGCGAGCTGTCTAGGAATAACGTGCATAGCACTTAGCTGCCGTTGATCCAGTAGAGGGCAGTTATTGCGTTCTGGTGATGCATTTCCAAAGGCGTTACGATGCAATCGATAATTGGTCACGTAATAAGTAAAAAACCTGGAGGGCTCATCCCTCTTCTAACACAGGAATTATTACCTGGTGGTGTTTTATCATCTCTACTGCCTAATACCCAGGGAGAACTGAACTTCATCAGAACTGAGGATTTTGATGGTCAGCACTTACATCTTTCGCCTTGGATGGATTGAGAACGCGTTGCTTCTTTGCGTCCTCTACCTCTACAAGGTGACATGTGGCTGCGTGATGTATGTTCCTCTGATCCAAGCAGCTAGCTGCCGTGAGGCTGTGCGGAGAAGTTTTCCGTTGAGATATGTCCCAAAGATGAGGCTCCAGCATCCTGCACTTTGCTTCAAATTCATCTGCAGAAAGGCTCATGCCGAGGTCTCTCATGGTTATTTATTTAGGCCCCACGCGGCCCGCTGGGCTTTAACCACACCGGTGGGCCGGATCGTGAGGTTATATGCACCACTATGCCTTTTTCAAACTGGCTTGAGAGTGAAGTTGGCAGGTAAGTAAGAGGTAATCTCCCAGCCCTGTCATTACTATATATCCCCCTATTTTTCTACTTTGGGCCTCAGGCTCATACTGCTCGGAATTGTGCATTGATACACCGGGCATTAATACAAGCAAAGATGACCCTTTTATCTCTAAATCAATTAATACCCCTTGATCTACGATGTAAAGTCGCTCCAGGCAATGCTACGGAAGCAGATGGAGATGTTGCGACTCTAGCGTTGCTGATATGGAAGAGGCGAACGTCATAGGCTAGGTGCAAGAAGTGCTAGAACAAGCCGGATACTAGCATATTAGCCAAGTTTTATTCAAAATAATGGTTCCGAAAGAAGACAATCCTGAGGATAGCTTCAGTAATGATGGGTTGTAGAAGGCGGCTCGGATACCGGCACGAGGGTATGCAATCTACTGTATGTACGCCCACTCAGTCCCAGAATGAAAGGTCAAGGTTTTGCTACAGTGAAGCGATTGGCGTGCTACATGCGGTATAGTACGTAAGTAAACTCTGTACTCAGAAGTAAAGAAAGACACTGATGGCGATTGATGATCTTGGGTATCGTGCACTTCATTCTAGAGCCAGGAGGCCCTATATGATTTTGATAGATAGTAAACTCTCCGTGGCAGATCGGAGAGTTAACCAGTTGGCGAAGGATGTTCTCTGGTGGGGTTTCATGCTGCAACCAGTGCTAGCTGGCCATGGGGTGTTGGCCTAAGTGATTTTTATGGGACCAAACCGAGAGTTCCTAGGCTCGAGCACTTCAAGACGAGAGCCACCATCGAGCATAGTAGCGCAGTGGCCCAGCGATAACGCTCGGCATCGCTGGTGTATGGCCTTCTGGTCGGATGTAACCGTGTGGTTTCACCATCACCATCATCACATCCCTGGGCAACCTGGATCTGGAGGGGTGCGAAGATTTGGTTAACGAGTATTCGTTATCTGGCCCTTGAATCCCGTTGGACGAGAAGCGGGCTGCATGCCAGAAATCTAGATATGTATTCCAATCACTCCATTAGTTACACTAAAGTCTATTTATTGTAAGGACTAAATATTAGCTCAAAGTTAGCTACATGTTTAACTTTCATCTGGCGAAAGCCGATCACTACCTTATTGATCAAGATAGAATGGTCAGTAATCATCGAAAGGCTTTCTGAACAAACCACTCCAATGGACAAGCTGAGAAAAAAAAATAGGCCTAAAGACATATTCAATGACACAGTAGGTAAAACGTGAAGGATAACTTATCCTGACTGGCAGAACGTATTGGAAGCCCCAAAGTGTTCTAGTAGTGGCTGGTTCGTTAGCGCTTAGCGCTTAATTTAGCTAGAAAAGCCCGGGTACCTTTGAACATACCACCACGACCGGCTCCTGGCCAGTGTCTATAAAGCTTGCGGCCAATCTGTCAGACGTTTCCTTCTGCTTTCACCTGCAGATCAATGATGGCCCAAGTGAAGGAGCAGGTCTGGGTATCAAGGTGGTTGTGGTGAGCCGGTCAACTCCGCCACTCGGGGATCGGGATCTCTAGGCATTCTCATCTCTGGTGGCCGCTCTATGTCAGGGGCAGGGCTGTACGGGCTCTGTCCATCCCAGCTCATGCACCTAGGGTCCTCGCGTTTTGCCACGGGAGCTCCCGAGGCCATGGTCCATCGTCGTGTGCGTTCGCTGGTGCCGTCTTCGGACTCCAGCCACCTACGATAAACGCGATTGCGGCCGAGCACAAAGAATAGTGCGCCAACGATGGCGAGAAAAGCGACACTTCCGACCACGATGCCCGCGATGGCTCCAGGACTTAGCCCCGAATGATGCGGCGTTGGCTGTGGGTTCGGGGATGAGGTGGGAGTTGATGTCGGAGGAGGTGTAGTCGAAGATGTAGAGCTCGCACTGCCATCATTTTCAGCTGGTGGTGCTTGGCCCGGAGTCAGCATATACGGATACTCCTTGGCCTTTGATTGTTGTGCCTCCCAGCTCATAGTCTTGTTCTGTCGAGGACAAAGCAGTTAGTTAACAAATAGACTGAAGCACAGGCTCAGAAACGTCAGGGGTTGTTTACAGGATTGATGGCTCCGACCATGCCATATTTGATGCACGAACCGAGAGCGGTACAATAGAAAAATTGAGGCTAGACACTCTGTATTAGCATGATCTGGTATAGGACATTTGGGGCAGGATACGATACCTCTGAGTCATTCACTGTCAGCTTCCACGACGGCGGCTGCGATGTTTGATAGTTAGCATTCTGAAATAAGGATGGCACGGATTTGAGGAGCCGCTTAATTGCATGAATAACGCACCTCACCAACCAGAACGCCATCATATTCGTTAAAGGAATTGAAGATCCCTGAATAGAAATACCGTTTCTGCGCGGAGGGTACGCATGGTGCTAAGAAGTCCGCCTGGACGACGGAGTGGTTGCGTGGGTAGAACTCGAATTCTATCACATCACCAACATTTGCGTAAACGGCGGTTGGGTAGTAGCCGTGGGGGTTCTCCTTCGAGCCAACCTTCACGGTATGGGTTGGTGTCGGAGTTTCTGAGGTCATGATAGCGTCAGGGTGTTTTTGACCGCAGGACTAGCTCTTAAGGACGATATCTCGCTGCCCTGAGCCTCTGTCATAAGTTCGACTGACAGAGTATGGATCCCTTAGCTAGGGGATAGAGCAGAGGACAGAGTTGATGGGGGGGCACTGAGGCGACTTTATATCTCCATGGCCAGGTCTAAACGGTCCCACGCGAGGTGGATGCCTAGAACGGCGATAGAAGGCAGTTGAAGTATGTCTGGATCAAAGGTATATATCCTGCCGTTGCATTCAGCGTCCAAGAGGCCTCTTGTCCATAACGGACCTAGCTCAAAGTCATGATAACGGGCAAGATTGAGCTGGAGGCGCTCTGGCCATGGTAGACTAGCTTTGCAGTAAACCTTTGAGCCCGTCCGATGCGCTGGAGGCTGATTTAAGACAAAAAGTCGTCGCGGCGGAGAATACGCCTTGCTTCAATCGTGCTGTTTGTTTGGAGCTTGGAGGCTGAAGCTTGAGGGCAGCAGCTGACGATTCCAGCCATAGTAACGCTTGACGAGGCTGTGGCAAATATATATCGATATCATCTTCTTAACGGCTGTAGAGTTTTTCACCGAACAGGATATTCATATTGCCTCCATTCGCAGCGCATGAGCTCAGTTCCAGATACAAGGCCTTGGGATATCTGCTGAAGGTTCGCCCAGCTCTCCTCGTCGACCTTGGAGTCGCTTATCGTGACTCTGCTCGGCATGGTCAAACTGTCAATCGAAGGGCAAAGAAAGAGGCTCGCCTCTTTTACCCTTTGGACTCGCCGGCACTGTTGTAGTGCAAGAAGCCTGACACGGCATGGTTGATGGAACTGTAGCACAAATAACGATGGATCATTGATATAGTTACCCGCCCACCGGGTTGGCTATACATCATGTCTCTTGTGCAGTGAGCTCTCCCACTTGTCCAGGTGCCGATTTGGCGACGTGCACACTGTCAAAATCTTGCCATCTGGCCAAACAGCGAGCCCGCACCAGTTAATGGCGACAGGGACACTGGTTGGTTATCTTTGACACATACTCAGCATGTTTTTGCTCCCTGGTGGATGCTGGCACAGAGATTTCATCTGTATCTCGTGTCGTCAATTTGGATTGACGTCCGGATCTGCGACAACGTGGTCAGGGATGCGGCTGAACGCCCGCTTCGGAGCTAAAGCGAGGATGTTTCAGTGAGCTTAACACGAAAAGCCCCCCGTCTCTTGATGCTAGTCTCGAGCCTCTCTGGCACCTGTAGAAAAGGGTTAGCAAGAAGAGAAAATAACCTATAAACCTCGCTGGATATGTAGTTTTACCTGCTGCAGGTCTTACATGGAAAGCGGCGAATAAAATAGTTACGAGAGATCAAGGGAGCTCGACGGGCAAGTAGTTAAACTGTTGGAACCAAGGCTGTGCATTATAGACACCACATTGAGCGACAGAGCGCTTTGGCCGTTCATTCCATAGGTATATACGGAGTAGGCATGGATAGATGTCGTGTGTCAACTCGTCGCACATGTAAGACCCTGATAAATATCGTTTTTATTTATAGGCCAGAAGTAGATAACTAAGTAATACGTCTTACTTAGGGAAGATAGTTCATACAGCTATATAATCGAACAGTTCTATGGGAGGAAAAGGATAAGAAGGAAAAGACGGAAATCTAGGTAATAGTCCTAACAAAAAAAATAAACAACCTAGCATGCTAAAGTAAAGAGAATAGCTAAAACTAAGTCAGAAGGGATGTAAGGGGTAGGCTGTTGTCTCAATCTAGTCTGTGGTAGATGGGGTTTGGGTTGAATGTGCTTGCTGGATGGCTGCTGCTCGACTGCCATGGTCTAAACTTTTTGCTGATGGAAGGGGGAATGAATGTAATAGGGGAGAAGCAAGAAAAGGTAGATGATGGAAAAGTGTAGGTAGATGGATGATTGTGGGTAAGGGGGTATGCATGATGATATGGGGATATTAGAAAAGGTCGTTAACTCCGGGATATATCAAAGGAAGCAGATGAAGAGCAAAAAAAATCACATAAAATCGTCGTCTCCAAGGTCGCCACCAACATCATCGTATGCATTCAGGTCTGCTCCACGACTGGCAACAAGGCTGGTCTTGGTCTTCGCGGCCTTGGTCTTCTTGCCGCTCTTGTCAGCAGCCTTCTCTTCCTTGAGTTTCTCGTTACTGGCAGCAGTCATGGCACTGGCGATCTTCTTGATTTCCTGGCTGGGGAGATCCTTGACGAGTTGCTTGGTGAAGTCCTGTAGCCAGAGGGTATATGCTGGCTTCTTGGACTGGGCTGTCAACAGCGGTACGAGAGCTGTGGTCAGGGCGGTGAACTGGGGCTTGGTCGTGGGCTTGAAGAGTGGGATTGCCGCTAGATCTATAGATTTGGTGGGATCATTGGCGTCTGATATCACGCTCTTGGTGGGTGCGGTGCGGTTGCGGGTGCGGGCCAGGTCGATGTCTCCAAACAAGTCTTCCGCGTGTTTCAGGTCTGCATCTTGTTCGGTTCGACGTAGCCTCTCACGTTTGGCAGCCAGGCCCTCTTCCGAGTCGCTTTCTTCCTCTGACTCTTCTTCCTCTCGTTTCCGTGCGGCGGCAGCCTGGTGCTCGGCTATCCGCTGGGAACGGCTCTTCTTGTTTGCCTGGGCTTCAGCGTCGGCCTTTGCTTTGGCCGCAGCGGCCTTTTGGGCCTTTTCACGCTCAACCTCGCTGTCCTCGGCAGCCTCCCAGTCATCAAGTACCTATGTTTTGTCACCTGTTAGCCCACTGGCACTTCCAATACAACTAATTCCGTAAGTAGGTCACCCACTTCATCGCTGTCTTCCTCGTCATCGAACTTGCGGCGGGCGGCAGCAGCTACTGGCGGCGGCGACGATGGAGGCGTGCTCTCTTCATCTTCTACAGTAAACAAAGGCAAGGAAAAAGAAACATGTCAGCCCCTGTCAAGTCTATCAAAAAGTCCGTGTCTGTTCCCTTTCCACTCGTGCCTGGTCTCACCGCTCTTCCCGGAGGTTTAACCAAGCAAGGTGTTCGTCGTTCATGTATGATGATGTAGTTGATGCGATTGCCAACGCATCCCACGCAGACAGATCCTGGTAACTAGACCATCTCATCCCACAAACGACGGGCCACGGCGTGGGAACAGGAACAGGACGGACGCTCTCAGGAACAGCTAACGGATAAGAGATGCTTACCCCACTTTGACGGCGGCATGGTTGCTGGGCTTTCGACGCTTGTTGCTTCGTGTTTTCTAGCGATATCGCTTCCGCTCTTGTATTTTCACGGTGGTGGTTCGTTGGCTGTTGTTTCGTCGAAGCCGCTGGTGCTGGTCGACTAGATTGAGTCTTGGTGGTGTGTTCGCGGAGGAGTGGTGGTGGTGGGGGAGTTGGCTGTACGGACTGGCCGGTCTTTTCGCTAAATATCGCAAATCAAGGGCTCTCGTGCACGCGTAGCCGGAAGATATCTGTCAGGTCGACGTCGGTATGCGCTCTCTCGCTCTCTCGCTCTCTGCCTTCTCTGTGCGTTTCGTGTGTTTGTGTGTGTGCGAAGTTCAAGTTTCTTCAACTTTTTCTTCTTTTGCGTCGCTTTTTTTTTCTGCCCAACGAAGCGTCATTGGCTATGCGGAGTCATATCAGATTACTAAATCCTTATGTAAACATACGTATTAGTCATCGCGGCCTCTGGAGATAAGGGAGAAAAAAAGAAGAGACACAACGAGACAAACGGAAGGAAAAATTCAACAAGGAGGTTGCGTATGTTAACTCGTGATTTTTGTTCATTTCTTCTCTAATACATATAGTTATTTTATTGAAGCAGGGTCTGCTTATTTGCTTAACTACGTCCCCAGTTCGTCACGTCGTTGGATGATTACTGCCAGGGCTGGTATATAGCTCTGGCAAAGGGGTCAGGTTTTGTTGAGTTTATCTTGACTACAGCAAGATTGGGGGGCTTAGATGTTGATGGCAGAGCGGAACTTCTCGCCGGCATAGACGGCGTTGTCACCGAGCTCCTCCTCGATTCTGAGGATCTGGTTGAGCTTAGCGAGACGCTCGGAGCGGGCTGGGGCACCAGTCTTGATCTGGCCGGAGCGCAGGCCGACGACGATGTCAGCGATGGTGACGTCCTCAGTCTCGCCAGAACGGTGGGAGACCATGACACCCCAGTCGGCAGCGTAGGAGTCCTTAGCGGCCTGGATGGACTCGGTCAGGGTACCGATCTGGTTGACCTTGAGCAGGAGGGCGTTGCAGGACTTGAGCTCGATGGCCTTCTTGATGCGGAGTGGGTTGGTGACAGTCAAGTCATCACTATCTTCTGTTAGTCTTTGCCTCTTTTGGCGAGTCAGCAGGAGAGAGAGGGGGAATCAAGAGAACATACCCAACGATCTGGAAGTCAGAGGTCTTGAAGAAGTAGCTCCAGGCCTCCCAGTCGTCCTCGGCGAAGGGATCCTCGATGCTGACAATGGGGTACTTGGCAGCGAGTTTCTTGTACAGGTCGGCGAGCTGCTCGTAGGTGAGCCACTTGCTCTCGTCGGAGTTGGGGTTCTTGAAGTCGAGGTCGTATTTCTTGGCATCAGCCTTGTAGAACTCGCTAGAGGCAACGTCAAGAGCGATCTTGATATTGCCGGTGTATCCGGCCTGCTCAATGGCCTCGGTGATGAGGTCGAGAGCTTCCTCGGGGGTCTGAATATCAGGAGCAACACCACCCTCGTCACCGACGTTGCCGGCAGACTGGCCGTACTTGGTCTTGGCAAGAGCCTTGAGCTTGTGGTAGACCTCAGAACCCTGGCGGAGAGCCTCAGAGAAAGTTGGAGCGGCACTACCAAGGTCAGTAAGCATCCTACCTCAGCAAAAAAAAACATAACAATAAAAAAAAGAGCTCAAACTGCTGGTGAGACGTACCTTGGGACGATCATGAACTCCTGGAAAGCAAGACGACCGCCGGCGTGGGAACCGCCGTTGAGGACGTTCTGGAAGGGCACAGGAAGAACGTATGGCTTCTTGGTGCCGGCAAGGTCGGAGACGTGGGCGTACAGTGGGACACCCTTCTCGGCAGCACCGGCCTTAGCAATGGCCAAGCTGACACCGAGAATGGCGTTGGCACCAAGCTTAGACTTGTTGGCACTGCCATCGAGCTTGTTCAAGAACTCGTCGACCTTGGACTGGTCCTTGACGTCGATGTTCTCCTTGATGAGAGCTGGTCCAATGACCGAATTGACGTTCTCGACGGCCTTGGTGACACCTACACCGTGTTAGCCATACATTGCCCAGATAGAAGAGGAGAGAGGGAGAGAGGGGACGCGTCTCATACCCTTTCCAAGCCACTTGGTCTTGTCTCCGTCACGGAGCTCAGTGGCCTCATGCTGACCTGCGGTCCCGTTAGCACGTCAAGCTCGTCAATGGCAACAGAAGAGAGTGTGTACAGCTGGTCATCGGTGATACGAACCGGTGGAAGCTCCAGATGGGACAATGGCGCGGTGGAGGCCAGTGTCAGTGACGACGTCGACCTCGACGGTAGGGTTGCCGCGAGAGTCGTAGACGGAACGAGCGTGGATCTTGGTGATGGCCATGGCTGCGGTGCTTGTAGGTGGTTTGTGTCAGTGGACTGAGTGGTGGTTTGTAGGTAGGTGAAGGTGTCCAGGCGGTTTAGTGGTTTATATATTCTGGTCCTTGCAGGGATGACGGGGAGAAGTTGGATGCGTGGTGGTGGTGGGGGAAGATGGAGGGGCAGGCCTAGCACTTTAGTACGTACATACCTTGGGTGCTCCGTAGTTGGCTGGCTCTCTAGATAGGATGACTTAATACGGCGACCCCTTCGTTTACGATGCGGCTGGGCTCAATTGAGGTATTAAAGAGACAGCAGCGGCTTCTTTGCTTCTTCCTTGACCTCGTCTGCTTCTAACTGCTTCTTTTTCTTTCTTTATACACAGCACTCGGTGGGTTTGGCGTTTAGTACGCAGGCAAAGAGTACGAGATCCACGTTTTGAGAGGGGTCACGTGAAGATACACCTTACCATTTTGGGACGACGGAGGATGGCCCGGATCCTCCCGTTCCTGGCGGGCTTGGCCCGAGATATTCCGTAGTCACGTGTAGAAATCATTCTCACGTGATAAATATGTTACCTAAGATTGTTATAATCACACGAAGTTGATTATGTAAGCAAATTGAAATTAGTCATTACTGAGTCATCCTCACAATTTTCTCTTCCTTTGCTTCTTCCTTCAAAGCGAGTCTTGCATTTGGCTTGTCCAAGTGCACGAGCTGAAGAAGCCAGGTTAGACAGGGAGACCGCCTTGCTGTTCAAACAAAGCTGAAGTTGACATGCAGGAAGATGATGTTGTGACAGAGATTTTGGTCGTCAAGCTGCAGCAGATACAGAACTTGTCCGCAGCTGCTGGCTTGAAGAAATAGAGAGTCACATAGAGCCGGCTGGTCGTAAGGAGTTGGTATCATGTCTTTACGGTTCTCTTTCGTTGACCGTTCTATACTCGCTGTTCCCCTTGTCTTATATAGCTCCTGGGACATTATGTCTCACGGTTATTCATAGTATGGCCATAATTAGTTCTCTATCTACCGTAAAGACCTACTCTACCTTACTCCGTGCCACAACGGAGATGCAGAACTTTCCACTTCTTCTTCACTTGTTCCACTACAGCGAATCTTGCATCATGCGCGAAATGGTCAACTGCAGAGATAGACGGTGGCTGGAATCTGAGATGGACCCCTTCTTTGTTGCGTGCAATTTTACCGTCCAACAGAGGTAGATATTTAGATAGTTCTTACTTTGACCATTTATTTCTCATCAGTGCCGGGGATGGCGGTGAATATCTCGCAGATGGTCGGTCCAAAGGCTGTCGTACTCACCGTTCGGCCAACATTCATTATCTATCAATGCAGACGTCTTCTGCTCGCCTATTCGTGGCGCCCATGACGCACAGTATATGACTTTTACGGCTGAATGGGACCAAAGTTTATGAAGAACATTTGCCGATAATGCTTAATTGTTCTTAAACATTTATACTCGGAGACTAAAAAACTTAGCTTGCAAGTAACGTACCTTCTGTTGGGTTCTTTTTCTTTTCTTTTACTTCTGTTCTTCCTGCTTTCTCGCATCGCACTGATATGCTCCGAACTGCGTCAAAAGAAGCCACCACGCATGGTATGTTGGTTCGGTGCTGGTAACGTCGCATGTCGGGGTAAGAGATAATGCATCATGCAAGTGCCAGCGTAGGCCCTCCATGAATTGTAATACGAGCTGAAGTCGCCGTAATCTCAAGTTGACTCTGACCTCTTCTCCTCTCCCGATTAACTGGAAATGCTAGGGCCAGGGTTTGCGCCGGATGTCATCACCAACATTCCTACTCGTCGGCTTCCAGGGAGGGAGCGTTGCGTTGTGGCTGTGTTTTCCGGCTCGGACTGCCAAAATGGGGACTGGCGCTGGAGGGTGTGTGTTGATATCGACGAGATCCATGCAAACCCATGCAATTTCCACGATCAAGCGCCACGAGAAGATGTTCAAACACTGGGCCGTGCGTGCGGGAAAGCCTTAGCGGGTTCCACATGGCTAGCTTAATCCAGCGAATGGCCACAGGATTTAATATCAATACAATAACAAAAATCATAATCTGGTGATCCGTCAAACTGTCAAAGACGCATGTTGAAAAAGGAAGCTGGGTAGCACGTAGTATGAGGTATTTATCACCCAGGGCTAGTTAGCTGACTAGCCGGTTAGCTAAAGGCTCGGGATATCAAACCTCGTCGGGATTGGGATAAGAAGGATGGGGCGGCTGGATGTTGTGTTGCATCCATACGCACGCACATACACAGCAAGAGGCGTTGCCGTTGCTCGGAATTCATCCATGCTTGCGTGGGCTAGCTTTGCTAACCATAGAGGATGGAGCTCGACTGCTCGTGAATGGGAAATTGGTTTCCTCTCTGCCCGTACTTATCCTCAATTAGGCGACCCGTATGCCGTATATCATTGTCATATGCCTTCCTTTGGCTTAACTGCGAAGCGAGAAGAGAGGGTGCTGGCTTGCCGTCATAACGTAGAATTTTCTTTTCCCCTCCCTTTTCTCTTCGCACAATCGATTTTATTTTTTTCCAGGTTGTCGTCGGCTGTTGGATGTCACGAGCTGGAGGTGTACAGGAATATGTATAAATACGGCCAGTTTTGACCGTGGGAATTGAGCAACTATCTCCCCCATCGCCCATCCCAAGTCGTTTCTCAAATCCTGCCTCGATCATCCCCTATCAAATCAATCAAAAAATTTATCCTTTTGTTATAGTATTGAGGCTTCTTATCTCAACATAATGCCTCCTCAAGGCGATGCACCTGTTGGTGACGACAAGGAACCAGCCGATATAGAAAAGGGGGGTGATTCTGAAGCGAAACCCATCTCTGAAGGCCCCAAGCACATCACCTTCCAGCAGCCAAAGGAAGATGATGAGCGCCCAAATCGTCGTACCTCTGGTGAACGTGAGCGCCGCCGGTCGCGCTCCCGAAGCCGCCACTCCTTCAACAGCGCCCGTGGAGGCGCTGGAGGTAACCCCCTTACCGGTATTCCCATCGAGTTCCGCACGCTGTCCATCCAAATCAGCGAATCTCGTAATGTCACCACCGAGATTGTCAAGGGAGATTCCAGCCGCACAAGCGTCCACAGCGACAAGGAGTACTTCGAGAAGTTTGACTTCCATCTTCTCCCTCGAGACAGATTATGCCAGCAATTTAACGTCTCATCCGAACAGGGCCTCAGCGCCGAGGCCGCCAGCACTCGTCTTCAGCGAGATGGAAAGAACACCATCCCTCGTCGTCGCCCAAACTACCTTCGCAAGATCCTCGGATATGTCTTTGGTGGCTTCTGTTCCGTTCTGTGGGTGGGTGTGATTATCTTCTTCGTCTGCTGGAAGCCCCTTAGCAACCCTCCCTCTCCGGCGAACCTGGGCATGGCCATTCTCGTCCTCATAGTCATCTTCCTCCAAGCTGGCTTCTCGGCCTTCCAGGACTGGTCAACCAGCCGTGTGATGAATTCCATTCTTGACCTTCTACCCTCTGAGGCCCATGTCCTTCGTGATGGAAACATCATTCGAGTTCCGGCTACCGAGCTTGTCGCCGGCGATATCGTTCACATCTCATCTGGTAATAAGGTGCCGGCGGACATGAGGTTGATTTCTAGCTCTGGTGATGTCCGCTTCGACAGATCAGTGCTCACTGGAGAGTCTGACGAGGTTGAAGGTGCCCTTGACGCAACTGAACACAACTTCCTAGAGACACGAAACATTGCATTCATGGGTACCGGTGTCACGAATGGCCGTGCTGTCGGAGTGGTCGTCTTGACTGGTGGTCGCTCGCTTATGGGACGCATTGCCATGGTCACTACCAATGTCAAAGAGAAGCCGACGTTGATCCAAAAGGAAATCAGCCGCTTTGTTCGTATTATTGTTGGCATGACTTGCATACTGGCTTCCCTGCTCTTGTTTAGCTGGGTGGGCTGGATTAGGATTAAACACGCCGGATTCATGGATGTCGTTGCAATGTTGAACAACGTCCTCGGATGCGTCGTAGCCTTTATCCCTGAGGGTATGCCCGTTGGAGTCGCCCTCACCATGATGATGATTGCCCATCGCATGAAATCTGCCAACATTTTGCCCAAAGGCCTTTCAACCGTGGAGACCCTTGGCTGTGTCAACGTTCTCTGCTCCGACAAAACCGGGACGCTGACTCAAAACTTGATGACCGTCAAGTCAATCGGTCTTGTAGACAAGGAATATAACATCGAGGAGTTTAATGACGAAGTCAAAGAAGGTAAGCGCGGTAATGCTCTTGCAGAATTCCATCGCGGTTCTATCCTTTGCAATGATGCCTTCTTCGAGCCCGCTACCATGAGCCAGCCTCTTGATGAGAGAACCATCAATGGCAACGCAACGGACTGCGCCATACTGCGCCTTGCAGAAGCTGCATCTGCATCCAAGCGTGTTGTTTCTGAAAGCGACAGGGTTTTCCAGATCCCCTTCAACTCGCAGAGCAAGTGGATGCTCACAATGCATAAACCACAGGGCACGATTGACCCATCCAGTTATGAGGTTTTTGTGAAAGGTGCACCAGATGTTCTCCTCCCAATGTGCACCTCCTACTGGTCAGCAAAAGAGAACAGAGTTATGCGACTGAACGAGGCAGCAAAACGGCAACTGTCGGCCTTCCAGGAAAAGTTATCTCGGAAGGCTGAGAGAGTCATCCTTCTCTGCCAGCGACAATATGCTCCTCAGGCACCACTTGGCTCAAACTATTTCGGTGATGAGGTCAAGGTGAACTGTACCAAAGACCTGACAGTAATCGGCTTGTACGGCATTATCGACCCTCCACGCCCGGAAGCAAGGTCAACAATTGCTTCCTGTCGTCACGCTGGTATCCGATTCTTCATGGTTACGGGAGACTTTGGCTTGACAGCAACTGCAATTGCACGCGATATTGGTATTTTCTCTGGCACTGCCGACCCTGACCGTGTTTGCGAGTTTGATGGCAAGGCTACTTCTTCCGGTGGAATGAAGAACAATGCCCAGCTAGCTTCCGAATTTTCTTCAAAGAGCCTGTTGGTTGAAGGGCCTGAAATTTCTTCTCTCACTCAGAATGACTGGGACAAGATTTGTCAGTATGAGGAGATTGTCTTTGCTCGAACCACCCCCGAGCAGAAGCTCCGCATTGTCGAAGAGCTCAAGGACCGTGATAATGTCGTGGCTGTCACTGGTGATGGTGTAAATGATGCTCCTGCTCTCCGAGCTGCGGATGTGGGAATTGCCGTGGTCTCCGGGAGTGACGTTGCCATCGAGGCTGCTGATCTCGTCCTGATGGACAAATTCGACTCTATTGTTCAGGCTGTCCGACTAGGTCGTCTTGTTTTCCAGAATCTCCAGAAGTTAATCAGTTACCTCCTCCCAGCTGGAAGTTGGTCAGAGATATGGCCAGTGCTCATGAACCAGTTCATCGGTGTTCCGCTTCCGCTGAGTTCCTTCTTGATGATCATCATTTGCGTGTTCACTGATCTGTTCCTCTCACTCTCCCTAATAATGGAGAAGGAAGAGTTCGACCTCCTGAGCCTCCCACCGCGTAACCACAAGAAGGACCACTTGATTAACTTCAAGATATATGCCCAATCATACCTGTTCATCGGCGTGATGGAAACGATCTGCGCCCACGCGATGTTCTTCTTATACATGTACCGCAAGGCCGGTATTCCGTTCCATGCTCTCGTTTTTGCATATGAAAAGTACACAGATGGTTTCTATGGGTATACGAAAGCCGAGCTCGTGAACTTCAATAATGTTGGGCAGTGTGTCTATTTTGTCACCCTGGTGGTCCTGCAATGGGGGAACATCCTGTCCATCCGAAACAAGCGCCTTTCCATTCTGCAGGCAGACCCAATTCGAAAGCAGCGCCGAAACCCCTGGCTTGCAGGCGCGGTATTAGTTTCGCTGGCCATCGCAGTTTTCGTTACTCAGACGCCTGGTATCAACAAACTATTCAACACCGCTCCAGTGCCTATTGAACACTGGCTGCTACCACTTCCGCTGGCGGTTGGTATCCTCTGCATGGATGAGTTTAGAAAGTTGTTGGTGCGCTTGTTCCCAAAGGGGCCTATTGCTAAGATTGCCTGGTAATTCTCTATCCAGGTTAGCCCACAGGCTAACGGGTGGTAACGCGCATCTTTTGAAAGGGGGGATCGTTGATTTATTGCTCAGAGAGAAGTTGAAACCTTGTTCAGTCTTGGGCTAGATATAGCATGCACATAGATACATCACTATATACATAGCAGGGTGTAGATAGAACAGCCTGGAGCCGCAAATACATTTCATCTTGGACATATCACGCAGACGGGAACAGGAGTAGCCAGTGGTATTTTAAATAATGTTCATAGCAACAGTAAGGTATTTGTAGGAGGTTATGCAGATACCCAGTAGGTATATTTACCGTGATCGCCTTTTTATATAAAAACTGCATCTCGATGTCGAGTTGATGAAGCGTGAGTTTCCCTTTGGGGACTTTTGAAGCCGGGGTTTCTGCCAAGCATTTTCCCTATCACGGGACCACTTTAATCTAATAGCTTTGTTAGTCATGTTTGCAATGTTTGCCATGTAGCTGCATATCATATTACATAATCGGTGATGAAGCTGCTGGCGCCTTTTTGGAGTTGAAGAAGCAACAAGGGAACAAGCAACGAGCCGACACGCAACAGGAGGAGGGTTAAAGCTATCTGGCCGGCACTGTTACTTCGTTCTTTGGTTGAGCTGATACCCGACTAGATTTCCTTCTTTTTCTGACTACATCCTCGACCCTTTACGGCCTCAGCACGATCATTCCCTACCACCCGGACCTGTCAACATGGATGGTTCCAGCGACCCAGAGCGCCGGCAAGCCTTGGAGGATTACAAGAAGAGTCTTCTAGAGTCACGAGAATGGGAGGCAAAATTGAAGAATCTCCGACTGGACATAAAGGGGTTGCAGAAGGAATTCGATGTTACAGAAGATAACATCAAAGCTCTCCAGAGTGTGGGCCAGATCATCGGCGAGGTCTTGAAGCAGCTTGACGAAGAGAGATGTACGTTTTGCTGCTCCTTTCGGAGCCAAGAAGGACTCCTACACAATCCATGTTGCTTCGCTGAGCTTCCTGCTAACATATCCTTTAGTTATCGTCAAAGCCTCTTCCGGCCCTAGATATGTCGTTGGCTGCCGGTCGAAGGTCGACAAGGCAAAGCTAAAGCAAGGAACCCGAGTAGCGCTTGACATGACGACTCTCACTATCATGCGAATGCTCCCGCGCGAGGTCGATCCGCTCGTTTATAACATGTCCTTGGAAGATCCCGGTCAAGTCAGCTTCAGTGGTATTGGAGGTCTAAATGATCAGATTAGAGAGCTAAGAGAGGTCATCGAGCTACCGCTCAAGAACCCGGAGCTCTTCATGCGTGTGGGTATAAAACCACCCAAGGGTGTGTTATTGTATGGGCCTCCAGGAACCGGAAAGACACTGCTCGCGCGAGCCGTTGCCAGCTCGCTAGATACTAATTTCTTGAAGGGTATGCATTCATCACCTTTAATACCTCCACATAGTTTACTAATGTACGAGTGAACAGTTGTATCGTCTGCCATTGTTGACAAGTACATCGGTGAATCTGCCCGTCTTATCCGTGAAATGTTCGGCTATGCCAAAGAACATGAGCCTTGTATCATCTTTATGGACGAAATTGATGCCATCGGTGGCCGACGATTCTCTGAGGGAACTTCTGCCGATCGAGAAATTCAGCGAACCCTTATGGAACTTCTCAACCAGCTAGACGGTTTCGACTATCTCGGCAAGACGAAGATTATCATGGCCACTAATCGACCGGACACCCTTGACCCAGCTCTTCTACGTGCAGGCCGATTAGACAGGAAGATTGAGATTCCATTGCCAAACGAAGTTGGCCGACTGGAGGTCCTCAAAATCCATGCCAGTGGCGTTTCAATGGAGGGCGAGATTGACTTCGAGACGATCGTCAAGATGAGTGATGGTCTTAACGGAGCTGACTTGAGAAACGTAGTCACTGAAGCGTAAGTTTCCTCTTCCTGCATTATAACGAGGCTTTGGCCCTTCTAACACTGGTTTAGCGGTCTATTCGCCATCAAAGACTACCGAGATGCCATCAACCAAGACGACTTTAACAAGGCTGTCCGTAAGGTAGCAGAGTCAAAGAAGCTCGAAGGAAAGTTGGAATATCAAAAGCTATAGAAGTAGATATCCATGTTATGACCATCAAAGCGTTTCATGCCTCTTGAACGATTAATATGGCTGCCCCTTGCCATGTAAACCACCATGTATTCTAATTCTCATACATCCTGTGCTTGCATGTTATTTATGGTATGTCCGCCTCTCTGCTCGCGTGCTCGAAGTAAATAAAGCAGCTTGAAGAGACGTTGCAAACAGTGCAAACAAGCCGAGGTATCCAAGTATGCCACATCTATCAAAAGTTGAGAGCTGATCGCAAGAGCAGAAACAGAGATATACATCCCATTGAATTGCTGGATAGATACACCATTGATTACCCCCTAAGCTTACGGATAGCTAGATAATTGTCAGAGGCCGATACTGATTGCGCGCCTACGAGGGCTACGCCTTGGTTGCGCCTTGGGATCCAATGGCTCGATAGGTCCATCCACTTCGCCTGTACGATATTCAACGGTAGAGTAAAAGGACTCGTCTACATTGCACAGCCAACAGCTCCGCAATTCATCTAATACTGATACCTGTCCATTTCCAGGCCGAAAAGCTTAATCTTCGCTCGTTTCTTCGAGACACACCATCCGAATGCGTTCCGCGTTACGGTCGCCGAGCATATCCAGGGGTTCAAAAACACGGGAGGAAGAAAATAAGAAAGACCAGAAGAACAACTTGGTTAAATGTCTTTCCAAGTCCCCAACCGGGTGCCGGCCTTTAACTCTGCTCAGCGCGAAATAGAAGATGGCTACTGGCGGGCCGCCACAACCAACACCCAGTTCGCTAAGCAATCCGGCATCCAGCTCACAGAGAGGATAGGAAACTTCATAACGCCTTCACGAGAGTTACCAATGTATAAAGACAAACCATATTACAAGTCCCGAGGAGCATACTCTGGCGGGCGGAAACGGAAGAAAGCATTATGGCTTGGTATATGCATTGGGTTTTTAGTTGGCCTATGGTGGTTTTTGGGCGGCAGATCAGGACACACTCGTATTGTCAGGCCCATTGGAATGAAGGGGGGAGACATGTGGAAATGGATGCAGGAATTTGAAAAGGGGGTGGTTGTAGGAAAAGAGAAGGGTAAGGTAATAGATTGGGAAGAGAGGAAGCAGCGAGTTAAGGATGCATTCCTTGTTAGCTGGGAGGGATATGAACAGGACGCATGGGGTGAGTGGCTTTAAAATTTAAACCTTTTTCTGGTATCCCTTAACTAGTAGCTAACGATGCCTATAGGGAAGGATATATATGAGCCACTGGCTAGGAAGGGGAGAAACATGGCTGAAGGTGGCATGGGCTGGATAATTGTTGACGCCCTTGATACCCTGATGCTCATGAATCTCACGACACAGGTTCAAAATGCTCGAAAATGGATACATAACTCCCTCCGGTACGAGCAAGACCAGGATGTGAATACCTTTGAGACTACGATTCGAATGCTTGGTGGCCTCCTGTCTGCCCATTACCTCTCTAAAACATACCCAGACCTTGCTCCGCTCATGGAAGATGATGATGGTGCTTCCGGGGATGACTTGTATATTGAGAAAGCCACGGGGCTCGCGGAACGACTACTAGGCGCATTTGACTCGCCCTCTGGTATTCCATTCGCAAGCTTCAATCTCAATTCATCTCAGGGTATACGGTCACACACGGATGGCGGGGCGTCTTCAACTGCAGAGGCTGGTAGTGTACAGCTCGAATTCAAGTATCTGGCCAAATTGACAGGGGAGACTCATTACTGGGAGAAGGTGGAGAAGGTCATGGAAGTCATTGATGAGAATCAGATGAAGGACGGACTAGTGCCCATCTTCATCATGGCGGATACTGGGAAGTTTACGGGCGAGAACATCCGGCTTGGTAGCCGCGGTGATTCCTACTATGGTGAGAACTTAATTCATTAGATTTCAATCTTTGAGTAGAGAGCTAACCAAAGTTCTAGAGTACCTCATAAAGCAGTATTTACAAACTTCCGGTGAGGAGCCAATATATGAAAACATGTGGAACCAAGCCCTTGCAGGCATCCGCAAACATCTCATCACCTACACAAAACATGCTTCCTTAACACTTGTGGGGGAGCGCCCGAGTGGGCTTACGGACCCTCTTATGCCAAAGATGGATCATTTAGTGTGCTTTTTGCCTGGTACAATAGCTCTTGGGGCGACGGGTGGGTTGCCTCTTTCCAAGGCTCGAAAATCCCCAGGCTGGAGCCGTCGAAAAGAAGATGAAATTGTCCTCGCTAAGGAACTGGTCAAGACATGCTGGGCTACATATCTTGCGACTGAAACCGGCCTTGCGCCTGAAATCGCTTATTTTGAAGTAGATAAACCACCAAGGATGATGGAGGATGTCTTTTCAAAGTCCAAGGGCGAATCAGAGGACGGAAAGGGCACGAAAGAGACGGGAAAGGTCAAGGAAGAAGGTATATACGTTGTCTCTAAACCCCTTGAGCCTCTCGATGACAAGAACAGCGCATGGAGAGAAGATGTTATCATCAAGCCATCGGACCGGCATAACCTCCAGAGACCGGAAACTATCGAGTCGCTCTTCTATTTATACCGCATAACAGAAGACGAGATGTACCGTGAATGGGGCTGGGAAATGTTCAAGAATTTCGTAAAGCACACGGCTGTAATTGAGGAGGAGATACCAGCCAGACCAACCCACGATGGATCGTCAGAAAAATCCAACTCCGATGATAAATACCCAGCGCCAAAGAGCTCATATATCCGAGCATTTACATCCCTATCAAATGCTGACACGATACCCCCAGGAAGGATCGACAACATGGAAAGCTTCTGGCTTGCAGAGACCCTTAAATACTTTTACCTTTTATTTTCAGATAAGGACTTCATCCCACTTACAGAAACGGTGTTCAATACGGAGGCACATATCTTCCCTCGATTCAAGATGGGGAAGCTGTTCAAGACAGGATGGAAGAGGAAAACTGATTGGAAGGCCACAGAGTAAATTATGAAAATTTCCTTCATCTATTGCCCTTTTTTATATTTAGCATGTTTGTGTTATATTATTCTCCGTTGTACTTTGTATACCACAAATAAAATACTACAGTTCATGTCACAAATTTTCAAATATCAGTAAAATCAGGCGATGTGAATAGCTGATATCTCAGGGCTTAACCGTCTTCATGTGCGCTCTCTCTCAGCGGCTTTGGCAACCAGGGTCTTGTATCCTTCCAGACCAGCCTCTAACTCTCCGACAGTCAATGCCTCATCCTTGCCGTGAGCAACGAAGATTGTGCCGGGGCCATAAAGGTATCTCTTTACATTGTCGCCATAGATTTTCCAGTGTGGGACGTCCGTTCCATAATTAACGGTGGTGACGTTGAACCCATCGACATCAGCGTCGATATCAACAACACCGTAGGCCTCCAAACCAAAGATAACCTCGATATCTCCCTTCGGTTGCTCGTGACCGTTAGATATGACTACAGTAGCATCCTTCCTATGCTTGGTAGCCGCATTGCGAATAGCACGGAATATAATGTCCTTTGCATCCTCAGGGTCACCAGCTGCAAGACGTACAGCGACCTTCGCAACCGCCTGCTCTGGAACAACATTCGCTGCTACACCACCAGACATGAAACCAATGTTTAACGTAGTACGGCCATATTTCTCGCTGGAGGGCAATCCGCCCTGCGATACGGGAATGTCACCAAGTCGATCAACCTCTGCTAGAATAGGTAAGATCTCAGATACAGCGCTGCGGCCCAGCCAAGGGTATCCGGAGTGAGCGGGCTTTCCGTGAACGCGGATGCCAAATGAAACCATGCCCTTATGACCAGCTACGAGAGCCCGTTCCGTAGGTTCTCCGAATATGATGGTGTGGTAAGTGCCAGAGTTGAGCCGGGAGTCTGAGAAAGTAGACATGCCTTTACCGCCTACCTCCTCACTGACAACGAACAAGAGACCAATCGGAATGTCTGGATGTTTCTCCAGGTGCTCCATGGCGGCAATGATCTGGCAAGCTACAGAGGCTTTGTCGTCGACAGTTCCACGGCCGGAAATGAGGATGTCATCACGCTTGAAGGAGTCGGATTCCGGGTGACTCAGAGAGTATGGGATGAATGGAGGCACAGTGTCGATATGGCTTGTCAAAATGATACCCGGGGACGCACTGTCTCCAGGGTAGGCGTAGATATTAAACCGGCGATTAGAGCGAATTGGCTTGCCAGTGGGATCGTCATAGTCAACGTATTGTTTCTCGACAGTAAAGTTCTTGGAAGACAGGTAGTCCATGAGGAAGCCTCCCACAGCTTGTTCATTGTCAGAGATAGATTTGATCTCAACGAGGGAGCGATGTAGGGAAAGTAACTCGGAGCTGGCGATGACTTTATCCATTAACTTGTGTGTCAACACATTGCTGTTGTTGGGATCGATGCCATCGATTCCATCGAAGCTCTCATCACTGCCGCCAACATCTAGACGGGTTTGATCGGCTATTGTTGATCTAGCCTCAACAAGCGAGCTCGCCAGTAGCGAAACCAGTGCCAAAAGGTATGTCTTCTGCATCTCTATCCCCTTGTCTTTCAGCGCTTCTCCTTAGGTCCAATTGATGCTGTTGAAGAGTGAATGCGGAGTTGATGAATATCCGGGGAGAGCTCCGTTATATAATTCGTCACTGCGGATCCAGTTATTATTTGAAACCCCCAAAAATGGTAAGCAGACGATAACCAACCAATACGAGCGTGGATTAGAATGCTTGTTATCCGCCAACTAGTTATCTCGGCTCTCCGCATTTTCATTTTGGCCGGCCCGCATTATCTTCGTTCAAGTCTCGAGTCATGAACGTTCGATTTTCATCGAAAGGCCGAAGCTTTTTTCGATATCATGCTGTTGCATTGCTAGAATCCGAACTAGAATGGCTGGGAGGTATCGTCACAGAGCCCAAAAAACACCCAGAATCTTATATATGTTATAGATTAGATTAAAATAGAAAGTAGGTATATATGTAAGCATCACAATCACCCCCGAAACCAAAACCCATAGGCCTAAATAACCAAATAGCAAGAATTCAACCAAAGAATTAAATAAAAACCACCTAGGTGGACGGGGAATAAGATAAGTTTAGATGAAGAACGGATAACAGATAACAAGAAGGGCAAGTCATAAATCGTCATCATGCATCCATATAGGAAGCGGAAATGAGTGTGGATAGTGGACGGCCATCTCCAAAAAGAAGAGGTAAAGAAGTAGTGGAGAAAGGAGGGAAGAAGAAGTATGGGGAGAAGGAAGAATAAGAAAGCAAACGGAAAGAAGAGAGTGGGAAAGGATGGTATGACTCCGTTATATCCTCCATTTGCTCTGTCGCGCGCAAAACTCGACCAATAACCTCTCCAAATCTCGCAATTTATAAGGCTTCGTCATGTATCCTTCCATACCGACCTTAGTAGCTCGCCGTAGTGCTTCGTCAGTAACATCTGCACTGACAGCAAGTACTGTGGGGCCCGGGGGAGGGACATTGGCAGGGTCGTATTTCGCCATTCGTTCGCGGTAGGAGGAGACGAGTGAGAATATTCGTTCCGTGGCCTCGTAGCCGTCCATGTCGGGCATCCAGAGGTCCATGAGTATTACATCAATGAATTTTGATTCAGCAGACGGCGCAGGAGAAGGAGACCGTGAAGGAGAGGCCGAGAATTGACAAGGGGATGGGGATGGGGATGGCGATTGGGAAGGGGACGTGGACTGAGACTGGGACTGGGACTGGGACGGATGCTGATGTTGAGATTGGGTCTGGCATTCGGATGAGGGATGGGATTGGGATTCGGTTTGGTCTTGGGGGATAGCTGGGGGCGGAAGCGAGATAGTTTTTGGCGACGCGTCAGGGGTGCTGCCTTCAACAGCGTACTGGGAGCAGTTCCCCTCCAGCACTTCCTTGACAACTCTTACAGCATCACGGCCGTCGAATGCCTGGTATACATCTGTATAGCCCAGTCGTTCAAGCATTGTGACTAATATTTTTCGGTTGATTAAGTTGTCCTCTGCAACCATAAAAGTGAGTGGGTGACGTTCAGCAAGAGTTTGTCGGCCATTGAGGTAAGGGCTGTGGTGGTCGAATGGACTGATAGTAGACATCGGTGTTGAGATTATAGGAGTAGATAGAGAGATTGGTAGTGGCGGTCGATGTACGGGAGACTGGACAACATCAAATGTGCGGTTTTGTGTTTGTGTTTGCATCTGTATCTGGGGTGTGGTAGGTCGAGAAGACACTGATACAAATGTCTCAGTGGAAGGTACCGCAATATCTTGTGGATTCTCAGGTTCGCATGTATGATTGTCCAGTTGGCTCTCTTTACCACCATTGATCTCACCTACAGCATTCATGCATGTATGGGTACTTGTAGTCGAGTTTCCCGAGGCACAGGTCCTAGGTGTACTTGGCCTACTGAGAACGTCGTTCGGTACAATTGGCAAGCGAATCTCAAATTCCGAGCCCTGGTGCTCGCCGGAGGTTGAGGACCGCACGCATATCAGATCGCCACCGAGCTTCCTTGACAGCCCCTTAGCCACAAGAAGGCCGAGTCCAAGGCCTTCTTTACTACGGGTAGTTGATCCGTCTTCCCTTGCAAAAGCTTTGAATAAGTTGGGTAGAAAAGCTTCTGGAATGCCAGTACCGGTATCTGTGACATTGACAATGACATATCGTGACGTATGATTCAGCCTGGCCGTGATATTGATAGTGCCTGACTCGGTGAATTTGAGAGCGTTCAGGAAGATGCATGAAACGAGTTTGGCAAGATCCTTTTCGTCTACATACAGCGTTTCGGGAACACAGTCGTCGACAGACCAGGAAATCTGCTTCGTTGATGCGGTACCATTTGAGGAACGGGAACGGATTTCAATCCGCTCACCATTATCGGTAGGTATTGTGGTTGTTGAGTCGGGGCGGCCCCCGACATGCAAGGACTCATTAATCACTAAACGAAGTAACTCACGTATTTTGGTATAATGTAGAACCATAGGTGGAAAGACAGGAACAGGACGGGTTACTCTGGACAAAGACCGGGTGTGTTTTCGGGGGCGCGATGCTTTATCTGAATACTCTCCTCTATGATTTTCAGGGCTATGGCCATCATTATCTGGAGGAGCTACAGCGTCCATAAAAGCGTCCTGAATATCTCCCCTAGCCGGCGTTGAATGAACAATCTTGTCACTCTCCTCCACGACGCTCCTGACTTCTGCTGTTCGCGATCGTTCACGGCGGGGAGATTTGACAGACCTGGATTGGCGGGTAGGGGAAGATCCACGAGAGGAGTCGGTACCATAGGGCCGTTTACGGTTGATGGGTATGTCGATTCCTGCACCAAAGATGGGCCGTAGTTCGTTTGACGGGTGGGAAGAAAATTGGCGGGAGATACAAGGGGGGTCATCCGTTACGGAGTTTTCGAGGGTATCGGGGACTTGCATGTTAAGGTCATACGCATAGACAATATTGTCTGCTGCTTCTATGGCGCGGCGAGCAGAGTCTATGGATATTGTTGTTAGTTGATCGAGGCTGTTCGGTGAAAACTATGTAAAGTCTGCTATCATACCTTGAACCATCTCGATATCTCCCCTGAGACTCTCGAAGGTCTTGACCATACCTGCAGTCATATGCTCGTCCCCGTCAGATGCCCTCTGTATGGTTTCTGCAACCGTTCCGTAAATCATGTCGAGCATCCCGACGACTCCATGCATTGGTGTCCGCAGTTCATGGGACATACTACGCGCATACAGTTTGAGGGTTGGTTGGCCAGCACCCGGCCTATAGGGGGCGGGATGGCGATGAGAAGATTGAGAGCGGCATCTGGATCGTTCCATTTCTCGAGTTCTTTCTCTTTCTTTCTCCATCTGGCGCTCATTCTCTTGGGACTGTCGATTCTCCAGTTGACGAATTGTCGCACTCTCCTCCATTCGCTGTAGTATTAGGTCTTCCAACGAGTGTAGTATCATCTCAAGATATGCCCAAGATACATTCCTCTTCTCCAGGCCAACGGTTGTCCACATAAGACCCACGCGAGCGACAGGGACACGAGAGTCGAAGAGCGGGACTGCTAGGCATGCTGCCATGGGGAAGGGAAACTGAGCCATGCCAGACTCTCCGACAATTGAAACGAGGTTATCGGCCACGAGGAAAGATTTGTGCATATCCCTAGCCACGATGTTGTAAGGGAGGTCCCAAGCCCATGGTTTGTAGTTCCGCTGGATGATTTCGTCCGAACCGTTGTTATAGTAGATGATCGGTGCAAGGTGAGAGGTCGAGGACGACGGACTTGTAGCATCCTCGGTGCTGCCAGGCGAGGACAGCTCCTCTACTACAAAACCACACTGGGCATTGCATATACTGGTCAGTTCTTTCATAAGGTCCCTCCAAAATGCATCGTCGCTTGTATCACGCAGGTCTGCTTTTAACGCTACCAGGCGCTCAATGGCATTACTCTGGCCCGTCTCGAATTGTCGATACATAAGGTCGGCAGCAAGCTTCTCCTGGGCACTGACGGTAAACCGTTCGAAGTCAACGGCGTTGTAAGAGCCTGGGGAGCTCTCTTTGCCGTTGGAGGTTGTGGTGGTGGAGGCCATGCCAGAGTTGGACACCTCTGCGACGGTCATAATGAGGTGCTACTAGGACATGGATGGCTCTGTATCTGTATGAGAGTCAGTATTCGTCCAGACACGCTGGATAAAGGGAAGGCGGGAGTATGTTTACCACGCGAGCAGCGAGCGTCAGATGGCGCTGGACAGTGTGGATGTTGGATTGTCGTAGTGTAGGTTGATAAGAGCCAGTAACTATAAGATGTCTTGGCTTGCGGGAGGCACTAAACAAGAGAAGAGCAGCATAAACCCGCAAAACAGGAGAAAAATATTAAAAAAAAAAAAAAAAAGCAGGCACCCTTGCTGATGATACAGGGTGTGCAAACGAAGTCTACAGATGAAGATGGCAAAAAGGTGATAAACGAGACGAGGAGCAGAGAGTATTTCCCCCGTACTCTTGGACGAGAACAAGAAGAAGAAAAGAAAGACGCTAGGCGCATCTAGAGCAAGCCACCGAGCTGCGGGATCGCGATGAATCTTTACTGGTCATATTCCGCATCATTTAGTCATGTCCCCCCTGTTCCAACGGGTACAGGCAGATACCCGACATGCAGTTACTCCGTCCCCTAGTGGCAATGCTGGCGATGCGACAGCTCGTAGACAGCCACCTCACGCCAGGAAAAATACGTTTGCTCCCCCTTCGGATGGTTAATTTGGTGTCTGTGTTGTTGGATGGAGCCGGCTCCCGCGATCCTCTCGCTGGTGTGGAGCACTCCATCCTTTCTTCGAGTCAAAGCATCAGTTTCAACAAGACGCTAATCTTTGCTTCTTGGTGCTGATCTCATCGCTGGGACTGTGTCAAGATGTATACATAAGTACAGGGGTGCGTCGACTTTCCATCTGGAGCAGTTGAACGGCCAGACATCAACGGGCCTAGACGGATCTCTTGTTCCGTTGGTCAGTTTTACCGTCGATTCTGTTCTCTCGCTCCTTTCTTTCTTTTTTCTTTCCTGGTTCTACCCCAAGCTTTTGCTGCCGCGGGGATTTCTCTGATATGAGCTTCAGTGTGATGGCGGTAGATCGGCAGGGATAGGAAAAGATAAAAAAAGGAAGCGGTGATATTAAGCTGGCGATGGCTGCGGGATGGTTCAAGTGCCAGTACAGGTACAAGAGTAAAATTTGGAGCTGTTGTATCTACTCTATTGCCACAAATGGCACTCTTGTTCAGTGGCGTAGGATTTCCTTACGCGAAGCGATTTGAACAAGCTAGATTGAAGATAATGTTCGGTTGATAGGGGAGAAAGTCTCTTGAGAAACACGGTCCTTGATAGGGTTCGATATGCCCCGTCCTAGCTCCTGTTTAAGTACACCGTACGAGAACATGGTAATAAAGCTCTGAGTCTGAAATCTTGCAAACACATGGAGTATGTAAGCAGTTAGGTGTCTCTGATACCAATCCATATCGTATTCGTAATCCAGAAAGTGGACAGATTGACGCGTCTTCTGGATGCAGAAGACATCGCATACATCGCATACATCGCACCGCTCCCAAAGGCCCAGGCAATAACCATTTATTCTGATTCGCCGACTCACCTCAATTGGGCTAGAATACCTTCCTGGGACTTGCTGTTCTGCCTCTGACAAGGCTGAGGCCATTCCCTTCCTGTCCTACGGTCAGTATCTGCCCCGTCGGGTGTCATGGAAATCCAGGCTGGAATGAAAGGCACCAATCCCAGCGGATTAATGCCAACGACAGCCCATACATGGAGTACGTGGTGGATCCAGAGAGAAGTAGGTACCTCATCCGTAGCGACGTCCACCATGTCAGAGGCCCAATAGAGAAAGAGTTGCTGTAGAGGCTTTCTGATTTCAAGGGGTTTGATACTATATGGCGAGTAGTTGTTCGAATAACAACGCCTTCCAAGCAATTATGAGGCGACACTTTGACAACAGCCTAAGCCGAATGGACATGTCATTGGTAGCCGAAAATTCCGAGCACAAGCAAGGTGAAGTTTCGCTGCGAGCGTTGCATCACTAATACAAAATCTTACTATAAGCAAGAGATACCGACTTACTTTTATTCCTCATTGCCTTTACTTCATACCATCGCTCTATCACCTGCTAACCCTCGAGTACTAACGACTTAGGGCGGGGTTAGAGTTAGCTAGGGGATCAGATTAGTGAATTAGAGGGTTAGCCATGAGGAAATGCAGGAATAAAGGGGGGGAAGATGTAGCAAGGAGAAATAGAGGGTAAGGAAGCGAAAAATGCGAATATCTCTTCTTGTAGTAAGATTCCCTGAAAGACATGTATGTATGGTATTAGCCTGATATATCTTGGCTGTGGTGTTCCGAGCCAAATGTATGATACCTGCATGGTGATATGCCTGGTCCTCAGCTCAAACACGGCAAATATCCTGTGCTGGAATGGCGGCGCCTCACTTCAAGAACAGCAGGGACTGATAGTTAGTAATATAGCAGTATTATAGTGTGATCTTCGTCCGGTGTCGTGTCCACAAGTACCCCGGAGCGTTCAAGGCACTTTAACACAGGTTGGCCACCATGTCTCTCCACCGATTTGCACAGAGAGCCCCGACATGGGATGTGTACTTCGGTACTTCTGTAGAATGATGGACGTTGATGGCGTTGATCAAGAGATGTCGTTGGCAACTTCGACGTCGAGAAAAAGGAAGTTGAGAAAAGGTTATGACATAAGAAATGCTTACTAAAGAAGCCCTAAACCCTAAGCCCTTATATTTCTGAAAAAGGCTAGCGTGCGGCAGGCGAACCTCTGCCACCCAAAAAAAAGAAGACGCTCAAAAAAAGGCGTTCGAGTTGAACATCGTCGACATCGAAAATATCGCCAACTTCCTCACCTCCGCAGCAACTGTCGACATCACCGCTCGAGATGGCGAACGAACGCTCCGGAATCGCCACAGGCTTGAACAAGGGCCGCGTACGTTATTTCCCCTGCCGGAAGAGTGAAGGAGTGCAAGCTGGTTGAAAGGAAAAAAAGAAGACCGTGTATGGACTAAGACTTTGTTGCGATATTATAGAAAACTACCGCCATTGAGAGACGCACCCGTATCTCCAGAAGCAAGGGATCTCTCTCTCGCCGCACCGCCTTTGTCCGTGAGATCGTCAAGGAGGTCTCTGGACTCGCGCCATATGAGCGTCGTGTCATTGAATTGTTGAGGAACTCCCAGGATAAGCGTGCCAGAAAGCTCGCTAAGAAGAGAGTAAGGCGCTCCAGCCAGTTTACAAGATTTATGGAATGACCAGAAACATGGAATTGCGGGGTGAAATGGCTTTGATATTGGTAGACGAGTCAAGGCTAACAGTTACTTCTACGATAGCTCGGTACCCTCGGTCGTGCCAAGCGGAAGGTCGACGACATGCAGAAGATCATCGCTGAGTCGAGGAGAGCTGGTCACTAAACAACGAAATCATGTCACATATTTCTCAGTTCCGAATAATACCAACCCGCCCTTCTTGAAACAAATCAGAAAATTTTCAGACAACAAAACCAAAAAGCAACTCAAATCTTCATGGACAACGACAATCCTTGCTATTCATTTGAATATACTCTCTCGCCTTTGTCTTTCGGTCCAAATGATCCATTCTAATTACCCAATGACCGGGTAGTTTGTTTAGTTTACAGATGTGCTTGTTTGCCCGGAATTGTCATACACTTTACGGACTTAGCGAGAGGCAGGATGGGATGGGAATATGATGGCAAGGGACACGGAACATGTCACCTGGAGTTTTCATGGTTACGGCCTGATAAGATTTCAATAAATGAAAACATTCTACCAAACTTTTACCATTGAGTCGTGGCTCCTGGTCTATGCTTCTGACTGTTTAGCCTTCGAACGTTCTATTATCTCATATGCAAAGCGCTTGCTCTTAATTATCAATATGCATACCCCAAACTCCTAAAAGAGATGTGAGAAACCCCCAACAGTAGTCATACGTCATATATCATATCATCTCAACTGCTTCTTAGCTATTTCTTGCCGGGTAGCTTTAGCCATTTTGGCATACCCCCTTTCTTCTTTGATCCTTCAGAAGAGCTCGGCTGTGTCTTATGAACTTGAGATTTGTCTTCGGCTTTCTCGTCCTCAACGTCAGCCGCAACGTCTTTGACCTGTAGCTTCCCAGCTGCTTGCCGCAATTCAGGCCTGAGTACAGACCCGCCAGCACTACGGGCGGAGAGAGCGGCGTTTTGATCCCACAAAAAGTTAACCAGCACTCTCCCACTCATCTTGAGCCCATGGATAAGGGTGATATCTTCACTTGCTGGAATCTGTGCCTGCACCCGAGAAGCACCAGCTGTAACAGTAGGGAAGTAGAAAAGTGAAAATTGTTGGTCTGCCAAGGGAGTATCTAGACAGCTTCTTGCAAACACATAGAGTGACTGTGCTGTATCCTCCTTTGTGAACTTGGAAACTGCCTGACTTTGGTCAGGAAAGCGGATTTTCACTTCAATCTCGTTTATCTTTGCCAGCCTCTCCTGTGCCGCGGTTTCTTGGGCCGCAAGTTCAACATCACCGGCTAAACGGTTGGGGCGGCTCGCTGCATTCAGCCGCTTTTGATGAGATTGAGCGTGTTCAATAGTGGGAAGGTAATCTCTCTCATTATAGGGAGTCTGGGCGGAATGAGGAGTCGAACTGGAGGGTGGTGCAAATACGGTGACCGGTCTAGAAGAGATAGTCACTGGCACAGGGGCTGGCTGATCCTGAATCTCCTGTATCCGTTTTCCCTGTCCTTCACCTCCCTGAGTTGCGCCCTTTTCACTTGAAATTACTGCGTCTTCGCCCGTGTTGGCTTGCAGACCCTCTTCCTCGTTGACGTTTGGGGTATCATCTGCAGGTACCGGTGCTTCTGTTGATGGAGTATCAACCGCCGAAGACGGGCCTTCACTAGATCCAGCCTTGCCCTGGTCTCCATCCACAGATTTAAAGTATGCATCGATTTCCACCATGGCCTCTTCTAGGGGTTGGTCAGTCCTGCGAAAACTTAGCCTTACCAACGCGCTGCCATTATTTAATCCCAGTTGGCTGAGTGTCTTCTGCAAGTCCGTGAAAGAAAACAGCTCTTTGCCCATGATGTTAAGCACTGGAGCTTCGTAAAATACTCTGACAGAGCCTGAATCACCCTCTTGCGCCTGTGGAGCTCCTCTTGCCGTCAAGTTGAATTTTCTGCTACCTCCTGCAACTCCAGCTTCAAACTTCCGTAGCACCAGCCATAGAGTAGTGTTGCTAGGGAATTTATCCATCAGTCGATTATTAGGAACGCCTTGTGATTCCGATTCAGGCAACTGGAGGGCAATAGATACAACTGTTGGAGATTTAGACAGCTGCACTAGCTCTAGCCTGGCTCCGGAGCTCAAGCCAGAGAGCCGGAAGGATAAGGACAGATCAACTGTCTTTTTCTGATGTCTGTAGCCCAGAGCCATCTTGTCAGTCGAATTCCACGCCAGAGGAACACCCACCACCTCTCAAAAGCATATCTCACTCACTTGAGGCCATACTGCGCGGGGTTGATATTGAACTTGGAGCAGGCTTCCCCCAGGACATCACTCATATGTTTTGCAGGTGTCACTTTAATAAGTGCCCTGCGTGCACTCGCATCGAGAATGATGACATGAGCAGCCATGATATCAGGTATTCTTCTGTCTTTATCTAGAGGAGAGCGGCGTATCTAGATATCCATAACCTTAGCTGTGAACGACGAAGTAGCTAACTCAAGCCTCGCTTACCAGTCCTTTATGTACCTAGCTCGTATGCGTAGAGAAAGGCCATTCAGGCTATTCAGCGATATCAACTCTTCTTCTTTTTGTTGCTGCCTGTCCGTCCGTCTTGTCTCTTGGATATCCTGTCGCGGTGTTGGTGTCCCTCCGAGCAGCCAAAGGCGCAGGCAGCGGCGAATCGTCATCCCGATGGTCCAAGCTCCTCCGCTCTCCCCTTCAACTTGTTTGGATCCAACGAGAAGCTCGCCAGCAAACCAAACGACGACGACATACACGGCCACAACCACAACCATTGCACTCCTGCAGCTGCGAAAGAGATCCTAGATATTTTCTGTTTTGCCTGGTTTCTAGACGTTCAACGAACAGCTCCGCAGTTTCCATCATGGTGAGTTTTCTCTGTTGCTGATAAGCCGTGGTGTAAAAGCTAACTGTTTCCCCAGAGTTCACCATTCGACATCAGTACGATAGCCCCTCTCTACGATGATAAAGACGAATGACTGTTTGCCTCCATACTAATGAATATGTGCTATCAGATGGCGGTGCCTGTGTGGCTATGGTTGGCAAAGACTGCGTCGCGATAGCCTGTGACCTACGACTTGGTCTGCAAGCTCTCACTGTCTCCAACGAGTTTCCCAAGATCTTCAACTACGCTCCATCCACATACCTGGGCCTCACAGGCCTTGCCACAGATGTCAACACCGTATCCCAGCTGCTCCGCTACAAAGTCAACCTTTACCGTCTTCGAGAGGAACGAAACATCTCCCCCCAGACGCTCGCTAACCTGGTCTCTTCAAGCCTGTACGAGAAGCGATTCGGCCCATTCTTTGTCAGCCCGGTACTGGCAGGAATAAATCACACAACCGGGAAACCCTTTATATGTGGATTTGACAGTATTGGGTGCATCGATTTTGCAAAGAACTTCATCGTCAGCGGCACAGCGTCTGACCAGCTGTACGGTACCTGTGAATCGCTATGGGAGCCTGATCTTGTACGTTATGGCAGCCGCGCCAGTTTATCTCAAATTTATGAACCTGTTAGTGTCTAACTATTCTGAACAGGAGCCCGAGGACCTCTTTGAGACTATTTCACAAGCGCTATTGAACGCGGTTGACCGCGATGCCCTTTCCGGCTGGGGTGCATACGTGTACATTATCGAGAAGGACAAGGTTACCAAACGAAAGCTGAAAGGACGACAAGATTAGAGAGAACATGCTGGCCGAGGAATTTACGTTTCATCGAGACTTATTCCATTCTACCAAGTAAATGGCGTTGTGGACTTGATAAAGCAGATGTTTTTATTTTAGTCTTTAAATGCTTAGGAGCTGGTCGTTAAACGAAACATGCAATACATCAAATGCTAGATGACATGAGGGCCTGATGTAAAAAATGATTCCATATATGAAATGACATCCAACACCAGCCTGCGGTATTTTTTAAGAAGGGAGAAGCTTTTTATCATCGGAGTGTAGAACAAATGGAGATAACGCCGTCAAGAGCATTTTCCCAGCTCTCCATCAATGAGCCACAGAATAACTCCAGGGATGCAGAGTCCATGAGCCCTTCGATCTCAGTATCAAGCATTCGACCACCTTCGGAAGTTTCTGTCTCTGTCCGGCCTCGTGGTCTCATATGCACAATATCAACAAGATGGCCAAGCATCCCAGAGCTCGAAATTCGTGTCTTCAGTCCATGACATTGGACTTTCACTTCATTCGTAACCGCCTTCACGCGATCCTTGAGCGCAGTAAGCTTAATTTTGCCGTCTCCTGAAGTGTAGGGCTTGTTCTTGCCTATAAATGAGATGAATAGCATTATAGCCATTAACGTCTCAAGTAATAGGATGGCCTCGTGTAAGAAAACCCATGATGGAGCAGGGGATGCAGTGGTAGAGTTAGGAGTCAAGTCTATTGTCCCATTTGTTTTAAAGTCCGGAGTAATCAGGTCTTTCAGCCTTTCCTCAAGGTAGCTATCCACCTTTGATAGGGTATTATCGACTGTGCCGGAGTCCGCTGGAGACTCCCCTGTAAGTATTGCTAGACATTTCAATAGAAGAAGATGAATGTGTACGTTCGTCTTTTCTGCTGATGTGAGTTGATTTTTTGCGCAATCAATGTCGAAATCGAGGTGTTTTGAACCAAGCTTTGATTTCGATGCTTTTGACGAAACCATAGTTAAGAAGCTAAACAAGGCGTCTGTGACAGCCATTGCGTTGATTGCTTGAGTCTACGATTAAGATCAGTAAAAATTGAAAGGTATTATAGTACATATATATTGGACTTACCTTTTGCAATGGTCCTAGCCTAACGTACTCTTCAAAGGCTGGCTTTCCGCGAGGCTCACAGTTCATGAAACCCTCAAAGCTACGCTTGTCTGAAAGAGGGCTTTCATTGAGTACTACCATCCAGAGAGTCAGTATATTTTTGTATAATATCTTTCGGAAAATGCTTATCCTACCAATCTTCTCATACTGGCTTACCGATGGCCCACCAACGAGTCGCTGAAGGCGTCTTGCTTCCAAAGCCCACATTTTCCTGCACAAGCTATTTTTTAAGTCATTCCGGAGTTCGATGCTCCCTTCCACATTGATGTAGCTGCCATTGTCTAAGCCCGTTGTCTGAGAATACGTGGTCGCGCTCTCTGCGTTTCGGTAAAAGGATAACGCCTGTCTGAGACCCGCTTGCGGGTCGTAGTCCTTTCTGTCGAGGTCTAACGATGGGGGTGCACTTTGGGGGTGAATCGTTGCAAGACGTGTAAATAAGTTATGCGCAACTGTCTCGTACTGTATTTGCTTGACAGAGAGTTTGGAAAATTTCCTCAGGGCAAGGGATCCAGCACCGAGTAGCAGGTATATCCGGACAAGCAATAACAGGGCTTCGTAGTTGTGTGGCGATTTGAGCAATAGATGTTCAAGTATTCCAGCCGATTGGACTAAAACATAGTTGGTTGGCAAACCAGATACAGTCTCATGTAAGCGTATCAAGGCCATCGCAGCCAGCAGGCAAAGATCGTCTGTTGGCTCTGCTTCAATGGTTGAAGGCGTATCGCCAGCATCAGCTCTCCCGGCCTCCTTGAAGTCGTGTAAGCAGCGACAGACGAAATTCTCCACATTTGTGATTGCAGCCTTGGTGTTCTCGAATCCAAGTCTGAAACAATACTCCAGTTTGTATGCATTGATTTTAGGAATTGCACTGGACTTCAGGAGAAGTTAGCAAAACCTACTTATTCAAACTTTCAATGAAATATCATTACCTTAGTAGCCTCCTCTACAATCTTGGACACTTCACTCTCAAATTTCGAATAGAGGCCTGTATCCAAATCAGTGAGATACCTTTGCAGGTCATTGAAGCAGTATATTTTCCGTTGGTTACGCCTGAAATATTCGATGCAACCAGAGAGCACTTCATCAGGAGTGGATTTCCCTATTTCAGTTCCTTGCAGCTTCAATTCAAGGTTAGCTAGCTGGGCGTTCCTTGAAGCCGGGCGTTTCTTTATATAGTTTGAAATGATCTCTGTGGTGTCTTGGAAGGCACTTTGAGGCGTTAGCGAGCACCCACCAAGGAAAGAAATAAAATCGGAACTTACTCTTGCTTCTCTACTTTCCTTGTGGCAAGGAGGAGGAGATTCCACACTTTCCAATCATCTCTCTCTTCATATCTGGCATCCGGCTTCGATTCTGCTGTTACACTGTCGTCAAGCGTTAGCAATTCTTTTGTGAACGCTAAAGCTTGTTCCCATAAACCGCTCTTCTCAATTACTGATAGCTTGTTTGTAAAAAACAGCCATTCATTCTGGGCAATGCGAGAGGTAACTCCTAGGTGTTCACTGTTGAGTATTTCAACAAGCTCCTTGTGGCGAGATTGGCTGTCGTATATTTTAATTAACAAGTATAACTCTTCCGCAGTCTGAATTGCTCGCGGTATGCTTAACAGCTCCTTCTGTAGGAAACAAAAAATGCTTTGATGAGTCGTGAGAGTCGATTCGTATCTTAAAGGGCAATAAATCACATACCGGGTCTGTTGGTACGCTGCCTGCTGCTTTGGATATCATGCGATACGCCAGAGTACCAAATAGCTTTCGCTCATTATCCGAGCTTGTCGTGTCTCGTTCAATTAAGTAACACATAAAGATGGCCCAGAAGTAGTATTTTCTAGCCTTTGGAAAGTTGTTTTGTAGACTCATGGCCGCCTAAACAAAGAGCAAATCAGTAACTTATAATTTTCTTCTGATATGGAAAGCGAGTGTCCATATCTAACATCTCCGCTTCAGTAGGCGCACCTTTTGAGCTGTCTTCCAATCTCCGCCATCTGATGCAACCTTGAACCACCTTAATTGGACCTCCAGATCTTGGGGTTTCGCTTTGGCAGCATTCTGCCACAAGGCTCGAGCCATTTCTTCATGTTCTCCTATCTCATTCAGCGTGCTGTGCAGTATATTCAGGGCCTCGAGGTCGGAGACAGGCGGGGAAGCGCTACACAGCTGTAGAGTTTCCGCGACACCGCGCTGGCGATGCGCCTCGTCGGCATGACTAAAGAGGATATTTGCTTTCCATGCCTGTAAAAGTAACGAGTAGTTAGCGATCGCTCCTAATTGTTATAAAGAGAATACATATTGGAGCCAAAAGGCAGGCTGTGGCGGGGAGTGGTGTGTATTTACCTACCTTCAAAAAGGACGAGTCCTCGCCTTTTTTCAGCCGCTTTTCACACAACTGTAATGCCTGCTTCAGGTTCTGTCCGTCTATAGCATCCTGTATCTGTTTGTTTCTTCGCTCAATTACAGCGTTGGATGCCATCGTGAAGATCGTTGAAGGCACTTTGTAGTAAAATTATTTCGCATGGCTTTGCGCCTAAACATTGTTTAATTTTAGGTGGACTCGGTGGAGCTAGTTAAATAGCCAACGGATTAACTGCGATGGAGTGCATACCTAGGTCTTTATTTATAGATGCCCCGTCAATGCTACACTCGACAACCAGGATATACATAAAAAACGCCTATATCGTCATTGACACGTTTGTTTATTCCATGTAGAGCTCTCGGGTGTTTGTATGGTCCAATACATTGGTGAATCTCTGACACAAGTAATTACGGTGTTCAATTCATGATAGCCATAACCTAGGTACCTAGGTAGGTAGTTACTATGGAGTACTAGATGTGAGTTTAGATTAATTTTGACAAAGTCTATAGGTAAGTACTATAATATGTGATATAAAAGTCCAGCTGCGCCTTCAAACAACTTAGAATAACCCATGCTCAGATACTATAATCCTCACCACTGACAAACACTTGAGATATCGTACAAAGAAGGATGACTACGCTTCACTTCCGGTGGGCGTATACATCTGTCATTACTGACGGTGTACCAAAACAAATGGAGTTCTGATCGCAAAGGGATACCACATTATGAATTCTAGCTCCCTTAGCTAGTGGTGCCTTTTGTTTTCTTCTGATTTAACTATTCGAAGTTAGTAAAATGAACAATGGCAGCTTGTTAAACTTGACATTCTGGTCTGGAGCGTATCATTGTGGTGGGGCGGATAATGGCAGGGCAAGTATAGATGAATAGCATTATATAGCAGGTAAGTAACATGGGGCCGTATAGAACTTACCCAAGCTTTCTTGCAGTCACGGTATGCTCTGCATACGGCTGGTCTTAGCTAAGGTCTTTGCGATAAAGATGAGTGTGATAAATATTACGTACTGGAAGTAATCTGTACACATGTCTCTATCGCCGTTGTTTCGCCGCATACACTTGATACTTCGGTCTGCAAAGTCCTGGCACGGGTCCATGTATTCACTGGCTGATTTACTATGGTCCAAGATTAAATCAGTATATCAGGCTACCGTAGAGATTTCATTGCAATCCCTCCTGCATATAAGCAGGATCCAGGCATCTCTGTAGCGCTAGACAGATGGCTTGGCCTTTCTCTAGGGTATCTTGGTCGATTGAAATCGGCAGGAAAGGGATATATCGAAAGTACATACTTTCTGAACCTGGGCTCGCTTTTGTCAAACATTTTCTGCGAGTCGGCCTGCTTGTCTGTGGAACTCATGGTGGGCGAAATGATGAAGCTCAGAAGCAAGATGTCACTCTTATAACATTCTATCCTTATCTCATTTGGGTGGTTGTTGATGTTGGTTCATCAACGGATGATGATAAAAGTAAAAGTTGAGATGAAAAAGTCGAAAGTCTTGGCGCTGAAGCTGCTCAAACACAGTGAAGTAAGTCTAGGAGATAGGTAACAACTTAGCTATTTTCGAGAGCCTTCGTCGAACAGTTCAATTACCGAGATCTGATATGGTCATTAAACCATTTAGGAATCTCTGCCATTAGAAATATATTCCTTTAAATTGTTTTAAATAAAAGAATCGCATGGTAGTCAAGTTTTCAAGTATTTCGACATCTTGATAAAAATATTACCCAATCGGGAGATAAGCCCGGCTTCTTTTATGCCGAAATAGGGCGATTTTTTCCTCTCGAAACATTAACCTAGTTCTCCGCATACCTTTATAAATCTACTACTAACTTTGAATGTGAAGCTAAATTTTTTTAACTATTACGTCCGCAGAGAGAGAGAGAGAGGGCCCTTACTCGTTACCATAGATGTAAGAAGAAATGTTAGCACAGACTGCCATAGAACATCGGCCATACAACGCAGTGTGATAGCTGCATGGGCCGGAGAGATTTTGTTAGCGTTTTGCGACGGCTAGTCCTCGACACTCGAGTAGCAGGGAGCTATTCACTATTGGCGCCTTAAAAAAAGGAAAAGCAAGGTGCAAAGTTAGTCAGTTTAGTTACCTCACGGAGGTTCTAGATGGATGCACTGGTCCCTTTGTCTGACATAACATCTATGGTGTGCCACACAACCGAATGTCTTGGTTGGATAAACGCATCATAAGTGGTCGCTGGGTCTAGTAAGAACCCTTGCCCGCTGCCGAGTACTATGTGGAAAATGCGGAAGGGCATAAATTCTAATCTCCCAAGAATCAAACAATGTTGCGGTAAATATATAGATGTAGGACATTCGGACAGGCCTTTGACCCGACAATTACGCAGTACTTAATGGCAAAATGGGTGGCTCGGGCAAACGGGCGTATGACGCTGGGTAACAACGAGTTGCAATGATCCATGCGTGCATAGAGGAGCATTGACTAATGGCACTGCCTTCTTGAATGAAGCTATGCCATGGCGCTGCCAGACCATTAATATTTGCTTGGCTGGGTAAAATGGGAGGGGGTATCTGATACATGGCATACGCCGAGTATTCCTTAGCTAGCTTGACCCCGGGTCATATGACATCGGTGACAACAACGGCGCGGTCGAGCGAAGTATTTTTATCCGCCCGGTACGTACATAGCCGTAAGTCGTGACGGGTTTTCCAGCGAGAAACCAACGGCACAAGATCCGATATTGTAGTTAGGTGTTCCAACAAGGATTCCCATGAATTCACGAGCCCGAATATCGGCCTCTTTGGCGAAGAGAAGAAGAAAAGAAAAATAAGCATGAAGCTAGCGATCTCGTTTTGTCGCAGAATGGCTAGACCGACGGAAAGTTCAGCCAATGTTGTTAAAAAAAGTAGTCATTGAACCGAGTGTGTACGGCCCCGACAACGGAAAGTACCGAGTGATTTTCCTAATCAAGTCAAAAAGTCCATACCTTTGCATCTGCAGAACAACAGGTATGCCAACCCCACTTGGACGAAGGAGCATGGTAGTAGCGAGAGCAGCTGTGCGTTGTGCTTCGAAAGCTCCCCTTTCTGCAGCACGGGTATGGCCAATAGCCAGTTGGTGGCTATATTCCCGTTAATCATATGCTCCACACCAAAAATAAGATTGTGGTAGCTATAGTTGGAAACTTCAACGGATACCACGCTAATAGCCGCCATTTGTGTGGCTCCGAGCTCCCTTCTGACACGTCGCATTCTTTGTCGCTCCATGGCAAATGAGGAGACAGTGTAGACCAGTTGACCTGTGGAGCTAGTGTGCCGTCGACATCACTACGACCAAGGCAGTTATGTAGAACATGGACTCAAAAGGGGTGATAAAGGGCGGCACCATGCGTTTCAAGAAGAGTCGCAAAAGGAAAGAACCTTCTAATCACGAGGTCAGTTAAGGGGCTTCTGGTCTCAAGCCTGAACACTGCTTCAGCCCGTGTTCTGCCTGTGAAGGAATCCCGGCCATGTCTGCTGATCGTAGTCTAGACTATTCGGCAGTATAATGGGTACATCTAGCTTTCCGGAAAGCAGACAAAGCATAGTGATGTCTGACCCATGATCCCCGCAAAAAAACGAGTCCAGCTGGCAGATAGGAATTGAAATTGCATATGTCCCTGTATTTCACTTCGGCAGCTTCGGTACGAGAAAAATATTCTGAAGTCCGGACTCCATACAGGTACCAGGTGGGAGTGATAATCGGGTATCAAAATACATAGGCTCTTCTCCACATGGAACCAGTGGGAGTGCCATAAGATGGGAGGACTGATGTGCGTATGCCAGGCCAAGGTTGTGCTCATGCGCTCCACACTCTTTCTTTCGTTATGGTGGTAGACCAGCCAGTCCTGGTAGCTCCGTGGCAGAGATGCATACGCCGCTCTAGTTGAGAACACGTCAACAGACCAGGAGGATATCCAAGGACAAGGGGCATTGATCAACCTGATTGTCTAGAACCAGACAGTAAGCGCAACCGGCTACCAGACGGTTGTATAGGTGATAGTAACGTTAAAATCTTCAACTTTTGGGTATAAATATCACCTTCATGTCCCACTGAATATCCGCGTTCTTTTCTGTCCCCAATTCATTGAACTCATTAATCCATTCCTCGGTTTGCGGAACTACTGTCCATTTTGTGCTCCTACCTCCCACAACCTAGGTTTCCATTAAAAGTTCCCTTCGGTGTTGTGCTTTTTGTTTGGATATCTTGCTGCCGTCCTCATTCTTGCTGCGATTACCACCGTTATTGTATAGGGTGAGTGGTTTCATCCAGGAGGTCACAGTAGTGGCGAAAAAAATGTGTAAAACACCGTTGTTCTCAAGAAGCCATATGATCCTTTCCCACTGAGAATGTTTCAATTTCCATGTGTTATATCCGCCGCCGGATTGAGCCACTGCTGTCCAACTGGAAAAGATAGAGATGCAGATGTTCTCCCAAGGCCTGGAATGAGTGGACGTACTCACAATAGCAGTTATAATGGCAGTTCCAGATACCATTGTTCCCCCCGGCCTCCCCGATACCTCCTTTATGTCCCCGTCTTATTTCCCAGGAAAGCGTGGCAAGGTGAAACCCCTCATAAGCAATGCTGAGGCATCGGAACAGTGTGGAAAAGTTCAGTTTGATCCAAAAACGCATCTTCAGTATAACCCCCCTTCAAATATCCATTCTATGAAGGACTTGGGTTATGATGATGATGCTGGGATATCTCCAATTGGGGTATCTGAACCGTTCTCGCTATTCTCGGCCGAGGCTATTCGCTGCATGAGGGCAGAAGTGTTGAGCAAAGAGGTATGGAGTGAGTACCAGTTTTCGAGCAACCTTGCTATGTGCCAGCTTCGAGGATTTGCCCCAAAGTAAGCCTTGACAGTTACCCCCCCTCCTTTATACTCCAAAGAAGGCTGCTAATGTTTTGAAGATATGCACCATTCGTGTATGATGCATGGAAGAACCCCGAGACGCTGGCTATTGTGTCAAAAATTGCGGGGATAGATCTGGTTACTGCCATGGACTGGGAAATTGGCCATGTCAATATATCCGTCCAGACAGAGGAGGAGAAAAACAACGCTCTGGCTGAGGCTGTGGATGGAGTAGCAGGTACATATGATGATGATATTGCCCCTATTGTTGACTGGCACACGGACAGTTATCCGTTTGTTTGCGTGACTATGTTGAGTGATTGCACCGAGATGATAGGTGGAGAGACAGCACTTCGCACAGGTGACGGCAGTGTTGTGAAAGTGAGAGGGCCACAGATGGTATGTCAAAAATATCCGATATATAGGCAGACAGGCCACTAACTAGTTCACGTTTTCAGGGATGTGCCGTAGTGCTTCAGGGCAGGTACATCGAGCATCGGGCTTTACGAGCACTAGGAACGACTGAGCGCATCACGATGGTCACTTCATTCCGGCCTCGTAGCCCGACGCTTAAGGATGACACCGTGTTGACAACGGTGCGGCCGATCTCTGATCTCTCCGAATTGTACTTCCAGTTCAGCGAGTATCGGCTAGAGATGCTGGAGGAAAGAATCCGGAGTCAGCTAAAAGAAGCTCGCGATGCAAGATACGCTGGCAGGCCTTTCAATACACAGAAACTGAAGAAATTCCTTGCAGTCCAGATTGAGTTCTTAACTCATATGAACAACGAGATTGTTGACAACGATAAGGTGCAAAAGGGCGTCGCCGATGACAGCCATCTGCGATCAGCGGATCTGAAGGAGCGCTCAAGAAAACGGGCTCTCGCTACAGTTGCATAGGGATCAGGTCGATGGTTACTTCAAGGGCTTTTTTGGTGCATAGGACTTTGGACTTTCTAGCCTGTCTCTCGGAGGGACGACAATTCGATAATCTCCTCTCATCTAGCTGCTTATGGGAATTTTATTATTATTATTTTCGTTTTAAATCGGTTTTTGTGTTTTCTGTGATTGAATCCGGGGTTTGTTGCTTTGGTAATGATTTTTTGATAGTCTGTCTTCGATGGGGTATGTGGAAGATAATGAGTGATAGCCGTCTCATTCTTTAATACCAGGTAGTTGCTGCTTTTGGGTGTCGATTTACTGCTGCTTCTGGGCTCTTGCTGTGTTTCCGGTTTTAGGTCCAGGTAGATATATATGGATGTGAAAATAGCCCAGGCCAAGCGGCTGCTGGACCTGTATTCTCACCGAAGTGTTAAGGGCGAGCTTTTGAGGAGATAGAAACTGGAGAAGAGCACTGAGGAAAAAATTCAATGACTGGCAAATCGTATTTGGTATTGGTTTGGCCATCTGCTGGGATGTGCCTGTATTGTCCTCCCGCGGGGTAAACCGGGGCAAAGGCAGTCATCCACCGACAGTCAAACATGATTATCCAGCTATAGAGACGAGAACCACCTGTTCCAGTGGCAGTGTGCAGTTGATACACTTTCCTGTCAAGTGTCAGTATGCCTTTCTTTCATGAGGATGAGGTCGACTGAGTAAGGACGCCCTTGAGCCTGACAGCCCACCATCGATATCTGCCTTCACCGGCTCGATGACGGACTGAGAGCATAGTGAGGCCACTGTGAAGGAGCGCATCACGCATCTCCTCCTCCTCCCGCCCTCATCTCCATCTCCATATGCATCACCAGCCGCCTATCTGCGGACACCCTGCTACTTCTCTCGCCGCCATCCTCGCCACCGTTGTCCGTCCGACGCTGCTGCTGTCGTTGATGCTGTCGTTTGACCTTTGACGTTGTTGTCTGGAGTTCACTTCGGCCTTTCGTCTGTCGTCATCTTTGCTGTCGGCGCCAGCACATCATCACGTGACACAGCCTAAGCCCTCCCTGGAAGGTGAAGCTCGCTCGCTCGCTCCAACTCACGCAGCGACAAGAGGCTCAACATCCCAAGACTCCAGAAAAAATAAAATAGGTGAAGACGCGCCTGTCTGACTTTCCACTTCACGCGACTGTTTCTTATCGCGAGCCTCGCCGTCGTCTGCTTCACTTTGCCCTCCTGCTGGTGGCCTTTTAGCTGTCACTGCTTACCACACAGCCTGCCACAGACTGCTTTTGCTGCCGGCGAAACCAACCGCCAGACCTTGTTCCGCCGACCCGCCCAGCTCTCGAATCCCGGCCTGGATTATTTAGTGGCCATGGCTGCCAACAACGCAAAGAGAAGACGTTCAGATGACGTGGATTTCAGCAGTAACCATCCCACTGCGTCTCCTGCGCCGTCTCTCCCTCTCCCGGCAATCAGTGAGAAGAAGAATACGGACCCTTCCGGGGTGAGTTGGTGGCTGACCGGAACCCCGCCTATTCGACCGTCGTTTCCAATACTGACAGTCCTATAGTTGCTAGCAACCCTCCAACGCCATATTGACGATATACGCAGTCATATTTACTGCGGAGTGTGCATCAAGCCGCTCTATGAGCCGTATACATTGCCGTGTGGGCACACGTTTTGCTACAGCGTACGTCGTTTAAATGTTTATGCTCCATTCCTTCTTGACCTGCGTGCATGAGCTCATTGCTGAATCTTTCACAGTGTCTAGTGCAATGGTTCAAGAGCCAGGGCCACTCGAAAACATGTCCAGACTGCCGGGCACCCGTCAAATCGACCCCTGCTCCAGCATATTTGGTACGTCCAACGCAAACAAACCCAAGAAGATGATATTTACGAATGCAAGGTCAATGCTAACTATAGGTGCTCCTCTTCTAGGTCCGCAACATCGTTCATATGTTTATTGGCCGCTCCGAGTTGACAGATTCAAATGAAACCACACAAGAACATTTGGCCAACCAGGTAGCAGAGACTGAGAAGGTCGAAAGGGATAAAAAGAACACTGACCCTAAGACCGGTGGTCTGTTCCAGGGGTGTTTCAACAGAACTACAATTCCACTTTATGACAATCTAGAAGGAGTCTCGCGGTGTCCAGGGTGTTTTTGGGAACTGGAGGATGGCGAATGCACGCACTGCGGCTATACTGTGTCCGACTCGGACCCAGACAATGACGATGATCTCGACTCTATCGAACAACTCCAGATAATGGACGCTTTATATGAAGGGCACGCGGCCGATTTTCACCTCCATAACCCCTATCCCCGGCTCGGGTATAGTTTTATGGGTGGCTTTGACCACGACGAGTCTCTGGGCGTAGAATCTGGGGAAGGTGAGGAAGACGACGAAGATGAGGATGACGAGGATGGCGAGTCGGATTTATCAGAAGACGAATCAATTGAATCTGATGAGGACTCCGAAATTTCAAACTCGACAGCGCGCCGTGCTTCAAGTGATCATGGTAGCCAGACCATTGACGTTGAGTCAACGCCATCGGTTCAGGAGATACCATCGACTGCCCAGTCTGAAGCAGATTCAGAGGCAGATTCAGACGAGGAACCAATTAGACAGCCGGTACGCAGAAGAGCCGCTCGTCTGCATCAGTCTCGCCGACGCACAAGCTTCGATCAAACGGCCAGGATGACGTTGCCCATGTTCCTACTTCAAGCAAGCAGGAGGGGGAATAACCCTGAGAATGCTGTCGTTATCGATGATTCCTCCCCTCCTCGCCCGGCTCCAAGGCACCGTCGCCACTAACAGGCCCCAATCACTTAATATCTTATTTTGGCCTGCCGGCTACTTCCTCGACAACTTTACTCCCATTTATATACCCCTGTCTTGGCATACCAAAGGCCCGATAACCAAGATTGGAGTCTGATATTTTGGCCCCCAACCCGAAATTCTGGTTTATACCCACTCTTAATATTTTCCTTTTGGACTCTTATGGATTTTCTGATTTCCATCCCCCCCTTTTTTTACATTATGTTTTGCATCTCATCATTGCTTCTATCATATAATGCTCGGCTGTGCTCTTAAAACAAATATCTAGCATGGCGTTTGGGCATAGGATCCCCAATATACTCTTCCCCTTTTTTGCTATTCTCATTTGGATGGGCTTTTTTTACTTAGAAGGTATGGATTGTAACATTAGGTAGTTTGCTATCACTCAGTATCAAATGAGAAAACTGTTAATTTTGTCTCTTGTTGCTTCTACTCATTCTGACTGTAGTAGGGGAGTACTATAAAGAATTAAAACTCAATCGTATTGGTATATGCAGCCATCTACGCAACTCCAATACTCCCCAATCATTTCTTTTTTTTATACCGTGATATAGTTTTATTTTCTTTCAGCTTGCAAAAGGCACTTCAAATACAACAGCACCATTTCTGCCCCCTACCTCGCCACAGCCAACATTCTTCGAATCGTTAGCATCAAACACCTTCCAACGTCCGAGTCGATGTTCCTTGCCTAGCGCAGCTACTATACAAAGCCCCTTCACGTCAGTCTCATGCGATTTTGCCGTAGACCCCTTTTTCTTCTTCTTTAATGTAGAGCTAGAAAGAGGGCGGCCAGGTTTGGCGGAATCAACACCTCGGCGTTCATAGACAGATATTCCATTCACGATACCCCGGAGCGGGGGTGCGGTATTGCCTTGGCCGTCTTCATCGGTGTCTATTGGCATAGAATCTGAAAGGGTATGAGATGAGCCGTTTGTGAGGGATAGATCCTTTGGTGCCTCTTTCCCACCAATACAGCCTAGAGGTCGAAGCCGGCGCTTATCTTCAGAGACTTCCCAGGCGCGAATCCAACCGTCCCAGCTACCGCTTAGCACAATGTCCGTGCCAGGTACTGTGGCCAATGCTGTTATCCAGCGTGGGGTTTGGCGAACATTTGCCGTTTTTGCAGCCTGTGCCTCAACGTCGGTTTCAGACGACAGCTTTTCGGGAGGAGGTAGGGGATCCAGACCGTGAGCTTCATAAATGGTGTGAAGGGGTTTCTTCTTGTGGACAGACCATAGTGATATGGCACCGGAGTCTGAACCAGTCACGAAGTGTGTTGGTGGCAAGGCGGCCACACAGTCCGTTGAATTTAAAGAGTATTGACAGTGCTTAGACATGCCTCCAGCTCTAAATACCAGTTGCGTTTCATCAATGACCTTCCAAAGCCTTGCTGTGCGGTCCCTAGAGCCAACGCTAACACACTGATCTGTTATCATTGAAGTCACCCCTAACACATGATCTTGGTGACCAAAAAGTGTTTCCACATAGGCATGCGCATCAGGGCTTAAGGACCAGGTTTTGATAGTTCGGTCATATGAGGCGGAAAACAACTGTTCGCCAGAACTTGATGAGGATATCCGCTGAGTAAATGCTAAACTGCAGACAGAGTCGCGATGTTGTGTGAATGTTTTCAATGGAGTAAGGGTGTCGGCATCCCAAATGATTAACCGGTTATCGGCACCACCCGTAGCAACGAATTGACCAGACGGTGAAACTGCGACAGTCAGAACCTCGCTGACATGTCCTTGCTTCTCTTCACTATCTCTAGATGGTCGTAATCCTTTCGCCCATTTCAATTTTTTGGGCTTTTTCCGCAATGGTCGGTTCGACGGGGCGCTGTTCCCATCTTGTGTAGAAGATGTTGAAGGAGGTGTCGACAGTTCCCATTTTATCAGAGTCCTGTCCTTTGATGTAGTGTAGACAAATGGGTAGTGTAAAGCGATGGCGGTGGTGGTATTTGTGTCTGCACGAAAATATGAATGCGAGGCAGCTGAGAGTGATAGTGTCGAGGCCACTAGTCTATATGCTCGGCCTTTGGATTCGTCCTATCAGTTTGATTAGTCTGTGCATCATACCAAAGGCCCGCATGGCCAGGAAACTGCACCACATACCACATCCTCTTTCAATCTCTCCGCAATCAAATCCCGATCTATATCTGCAGCATCAAACCCAATTTCGTCCACTTCTTCTCTGACATTGTGCAAATATTGCTCTGCCAACCTCAATCTTCGCTCGGCCGCAGTCTCGTCTTCGTCGGACCCAGAGAGCGATTCATCGTCCGAACCGGCCGATACCCCCGAGCCCTCATCTCCTTCGGAATCACTCCCTGATATCGATTCATCTCTGTCTGTTTGCCTCCGGGATTTATCGCCGCTCTGTGGTGCGCCTTTGCCAGTAACGCCTCGCTTCTTAGCTACCGGAGCTCCAACTCGGTCTTCCCTCTTGCGCTTCCGCTGAGACGCAGGAAGTGTGAAAAACGAGGACATGATCGTAGCGGTACCGGGTATTTCCACACTCTATCCCAACACGTATCCCCGAATTTATCGCCCTGCCATCGTCGATCGCAACCCGTGCCTCTCTTTATCAACGCTCACGCTACCACAATATTTTATTTTTTTTATCTTTGAAGGTTTTTTTTTTTTGAGTTGCCGGAGCTTCGGAGAAAGGTTAAGCCTAAAGGATGACTAATCAGATAGGCCGCAAGCTCCAACGCGGCTTTCGAAAGGGCAGCTTCACCAACAAAACACAGGGAAGAACAAGCAGCAGCATTTAACTGAGAGAACCGGGATAACTGATATTAGAGCTGGATTTGAGTGCTTGTTGTTTGTTTACAAGAAGCTAGACTGTCATCATGTAAGCTTGTCGTGCTTGAGCTTTCCTCGATATGTGTTGATCTAACGTCGTTGTAGGGAGGTACTACTTGGGATTACCGGGAAAGACTTCACCCTCATTGCTGCGTCAAAGGCTGCTATGAGGGGTGCTACGATTTTGAAGGCGGCAGATGACAAGACGAGGCAACTAAACAAGCACACTCTCATGGCATTTTCCGGTGAAGCTGGAGATACAGGTACGGGACCGTCAGTACTTGATAGGTATAGGCAAAGCACTAACACTCTCAACTTGTATAGTCCAATTCGCCGAGTTTATACAAGCAAACACTCAGTTATACTCTATGCGCAACCAAACCGAACTCGGCCCTTCTGCCGTTGCTCACTTCGTCCGTGGAGAGCTAGCTAGAAGTCTTCGGTCAAGAAGCCCGTACACAGTCAACCTCCTTCTCGGCGGCGTGGACCCCATCACAGAGAAGCCCAGTCTGTACTGGCTCGACTACCTAGCGTCATTAGCACAGGTTCCATATGCCGCCCATGGTTATGCTCAGTAGGTCACGCCATATCACAACATATACAGGACCAAGATACGGCAACTAACTGGGTCCGTTTTCGCTAGGTACTACTGTCTGTCCATCCTCGATAAACATCACCACCCAGATATCTCATACGAACAAGGCTTGAAACTCCTTGAGATGTGCTCAGACGAGCTCAAGCGACGATTACCCATTGACTTCAAAGGAGTATGTTTCAAACCCATTCCAAATGTCCAAACGGATACTGATTTTACATTTTCTCCTAGGTTTTGGTAAAGGTCGTCACGAAAGATGGCATCAGGGATGTCAATTTTGACGAAGCAAATAGCAGAATGGTTCAGAGTGCTTAGAGACCCGGGTGGGCGTTCTATCGTTTTCATGCATGACTAGGCCGGTTAATGAATTGGCGTCTTATGATCCTCGTACTTGCTATTGCTGTTATATTATCTCAAGTCAGTCGATATGCAAGTACTACGTCTCGAGGTTATTTCGATATAATGCATCCATTTCATGCCTAAACTTTATGCCTACTTACATCCTCAACACGGTTCAATCAATACCCGCTCCGGTTTTGGTTTATATCGTATTGAACATAACTTGAACGTTGTTCGACTCGACTACCCTTCACTTAATGGTAAGCCTAATTGCCAAATGCCGCCACTTCAAAATCTCTACCCTTAAAGTAATATACTCTACGATATATATATTCCTAGACATGTTAGATGTGCTTATCTCTCTTTAATCTATCATATTCTAGCCCCTATCCCCCTCAACTCTTACTTTCAGTGGAAATAGATATAAAATACGTATAATAATTCAGTAAGCCAGATATATAAACAAACAGAGTATCCCTGCTCTAAGAACAGAGAGAGCGTTAATCAATATATTTAGATATATTTAGATAAGGAGAAATGGTAATATTCAGACAATAGATTTGGAAAAAAAAATGGCATTACAACCATGTCGAATAAGAGAGAGTCCATAATAGAGCAATATATAGAGGTACCAAAAAAAGCAAGTTAAATCTATCAAAAGCCTAAAGCAAGCGGTTGGCGACATCTAAATGGAATACAAGCACTTCAAGTGTATAAAGAAATAAAACAGAGGAGAATATAGGTAGCAGAAGTGACAGCCATCTGACTGTTGCTAGCTATAGAAAGGAGCAGTTCCCATCGTATAAGCAAATGACCTTCTTACAACTCGCTCAACATCGTCTGGACAAAGGTGTTGCAGTTGTTGTCATCGACGCTGTAGACTGGGTGATCCTTCTCGTAGTCCTTGGCTATTAAAGGTAGTATGATTAGTATTCACTTATTGAAATGTTAAGTGTCTATGTTCTGCCAGATAGACTCACCCTTGTGGTTAAGAGCATCGGCCTTCTTCTTAGTTGTCATCTTGACAAACTCGATATCTCTTCTCTTGCTGGTGTCCCAGTTGGTCTTGCGGAACTTGATATCCTTGTTCTCCTTCTTAATGGTATCGTAGACCTGGCCGTCAAAGTCGCGCTTGGTCTTTCTGTGCTTCTTGGGGCCAGATTCCTTGATGCTAACTTTGCCAACGATTACTCCGATATGGAAGAAGCCGAGCTCTCTCTGCAGTTCCTGGAGTTCTTCCGGGGTCTCGTTGTCAATCTCGTCTCTCAGGGGCCACTTTGCAGTGAGCACATAGTACTTGTCGTCTTCGAGCTCTCCGCCGTAGGCCCTGGCTAGAGCCGCGAATGTGTCACTGTCCTCGGTTTCCCTTTTAACAATGTCGTTGGAGAAAGGAGTAGAAACTAAGCCGGTCTCGCGAGCGGAGATGAGGCTAGCATCAACCTCGTTCTTCGCAATAGGGGATGCATTGACTGCGACAGAGGCAGCAGCAAGAAGAGTTGAGAAGATAGTAGAGAACTTCATGTTGGCTTGTTGAATGAAGATGAGTGAACTGGTGATTGTAATTGTAATTGTAATTGTGATTGTGATTGTGCTTGTGGGTTGAGCTGGATGATGGTGTAGACAGATGCGGTCCTGGAGCCAACTTATATACCTTTCGGACAGCAGCACTTGCGTTGAGATATCATCCTTCTAGCCATCTGGTGATAGACCGATCATCGCAACAATCTGTCTCATGTTTGCATCCTACAAATATGAGGTAGATAGTTGACGGAACAATAATTGCGGAAGGGTATCTGGGGAAGAGCACGCGAGGGATCGACGTCGTCGGTGCATCAAGCTATGGCTGGATTGCGTCATAGACAGTAGCGGAGAGATGCACCGCGTAGAATATCATAGATCGAAGCTGTGGAGGAGCCAGAACAGTGAAACGAAATAGGAGATATAGAAACGGAGGATTAGCCACAAGGCTTGGTATACCTTGGTAAATGGAATCAAAATAAAGGGTCAAGAGAACGGAACATTATTAAATGCGAAACGTAGTCAACTAGAGACGGGACATTATCACAGCTCTGCTAAGCAAGGCTGTCAGTGATCTTCGCTGGAGGATTCATAACCAGGCTGCAACGCTTCTTTGTCAACTAGTTAACTAATGCTTAATTATCCAGACTATCAGCGTAGCCATAACTATTCATCTCTGTTACCCAAGCTACCATATCATACCATCATCGATAACCAGCAAAAATGTGCCCCAAGAGCGATGCTGAACAGCTGGATCTATGGATCACTGGCGGCCATATGACCCCTGAACGCATTTTGACCAGGCTTACCGAAAACCACGATCATTGCGGCCTGAGAGAGAGTGAATATGCCAGGCTCAAGGAGTTGTTCGATTCCCATGGCACTCAAGAAGGTGGGATATCATACATCGATAGAGATGTCCTTGTTTCCCTCCTCAAGAGCTCTAGCTCTGTTCCCTCTCTATTCGACGAAGCCGGTGACATATTATATTCCAGTGTGCTATATCTATCGAAATATCCCTTTCAATTGGGCATGTCTTCGAAGATGACGCTCGAAGAGCTTGCGAGAGCACTTGTGTGGGCCTTGATAGACGCTCCTTTTAATGAACTACGAGCCTCTACTCTTTATGAAGAGGGGAATCTTTGTCGGGGGAGGACACGAGCAGACCATAGAAGGGCTATTTTCCAGAGTCTTGCAACCTCCCGGGACGGAGTGACACTGCCATACAACCGCCAGGAGTGGACGGACAAGGCCAGAGAGAGAGCCTACCAATTTGACAAATCTTGCAGGTTCCGGCTAGAGTACGCTGCCGTGAACTGCGATGAGGACGGTGATGAGATGTACCATGACATCCTTGATATCCTTTTCTCCTCCCAGATTGAAACCCACCCTAGTTTTGCGCCCGTTGCTCGCGATAGCTTCCGCCCGTTGGCAAAAGAGCTACATGGGGATCATACTTATCTTCATCATCTCACTATTCCGCAAAAGAGCTTCCATGCTTTCGTCAAATTGCTTCTCGCGTATCAGTTCGGTTGCAATGACCAGATAAGAGACGATAAAACCACAGATCTAAATCACGTGTCCGATTGCATTGTAAAGGCCTTTGCCCGGAATCCAGATGTTGGAATTACCTGGCCCATGTTCGACGATGCTTGCAAAGTAACGGTAAGTCTTCTCTCACCAGTTACTTTTATCTTTTTATCTATCTGGAATTTTGCCTTCTTTCAAACGATGTAAGAAATGCTGAATCCATATTAGCCCTGGCTCCTAGATGGGTACTACCGTATCCTTAGCAGCCTTTTCGGTAAACCAAAGAACGGAGAACGCCTTGGTTTCGACATGGAAGACATTTCAACTAGCCTACCCAGCCCGACAAAAACACTCACATTTCCTGTCATGGCGCAGCTTGGTATAATGTTTTCTAGGTCTTCATATAGCTTCCATGACCTCCGCCTTCACCAACGTTATAGCCCGCGCCTTAGCAAGGTAGACTTACCATCAATTGCCAAAGATATCAGTGCATCTCCAGGAACTGCGTTCTTCCTAATCTCTGGCAAAAACAGGGAGACAGGTGATGCTTGTTTGTTCGGGTCCTACATTGCAATTCCGTGCAAAGATGGCGGCGCAATCCAGTCAACAGAGGAAGAAAAAGTGATAAACTGGCAGGATACCTGTTTATTCGAGCTAAGCCCTGTGCATGATATCTATCCTGGGAAGGTCGGATCACCCGGCTGGACAGGCACAGAACAGAACCTGTGTTTTGGGAACAGGGCGAATGGTGTGGCGTTGGAGCTGGAGAATGGTCTTTGCAGCGCAGCCGTCTTCCATACGGTAGAAGGAAATCAAGAGCCTGTCTATAGCGCATCTTCGTGGAGAGGGAATTGGCAGCTCAAATTTGATATTGAAGAGGTTGAACTCTGGGTTGACGAAGAGTAACCTCCGAATTTAACTTGCTAGATAGCTAGATGAATAGGATTTCCGGAACTTTTCCTTTTTTAAAAGAATAATTATGTAGTCGATTCTTTAATCAGTTAGTTATTGATAACAATTTGCCAACTATGATTCTTTTTGTGTTCGAGGCCTGGAAAATGATAAATCTTCATGTTAGCATGGTAAGAACCAGTTAAGAAACCGGCCAGGTATCTTATACCCATTTCACAGATATACTGAGCTAGTATCCGCGATATTCCAGTGACCTGTAAGTGTTAGGTGTTGAGGCCAGGACGACGTTACCCAGTAGATCGGCAACCGCGTGTAACTAGGTAGTTTGACCTATCAAATAAAAGATGAAACTTAGTCATCATGTCTTGGCACAAATTGGTATGCGATCAGAGCTTCAACTGCAAGACAAGAAACAAAGCAAGGAGCAAAGACGAGAGTGACAATTACTATATCTCTGGCCGGCACCGACAAAATTTCTTCACGATGACGAAGAGGCCAGCTGAAGATTCACTTGATGAACCCGTCGAGATAGACTCGCCCGCTTCGAAGCGGCCCAAGATCTATTCTTCGGAAGAACCAATAGACACGACCACCCTCACAGACCGAACAGAACAGAGATGGAATGGCAATGGACACGATTTAAATGATGATACACCAACTACAGATAATCGAGGAGAAAATGAAGCTGGAGAAATAGCTGCAGAGGAATCAGACTTGGAGGAGGACGATACTCGCCATCGAACCGTTCGGCAAAACGCACCTCTGGAAGGATACGATGACTTATACCTGGATACAATACAAAGAGGTGCACTAGACTTTGATTTCGAGAAGCTATGTTCCGTCTCATTATCGAATATCAATGTCTATGCGTGCTTAGTATGCGGCAAATACTATCAAGGACGCGGACCCAAATCGCATGCCTACTTTCACGCCCTCGAGGTCGAACACCATGTGTTTATTAACATGGAGACGAAGAAGGTTTATGTGTTGCCGGAAGGATATGAAGTCAAGAACAAGAGCTTAGATGATATTAAATACGTTGTTGATCCTCACTTCTCTAAGGAGGAAGTGGCAAAGCTGGACAAGACGGTTATAGATGCCTTTGATCTATTGGGCAAACGTTACAGGCCAGGTGAGTATTTCAACATCAAACCTAGCTCATCAGTGCTGTCGCTAACATTTTGGTGTGCTAGGGTTTGTTGGAATGAATAATATCAAGTCCAATGACTATCTAAACGTTATAGTTCAACTGCTTGCACATGTCCGCCCCATCAGGAACTTCTTTTTACTACATGACTTTCCGGCTCTAAGCACCCCCCAGCTTCCTCTGAGATTCGGAATGCTAGTGCGCAAACTGTGGAATCCCCGAGCATTCAAAGCACATGTCTCGCCGCACGAATTACTCCAGGAGGTTGCCATACGGTCGTCTAAACGGTTTACCTTAACGAAGCAGTCAGACCCGATCGAGTTTCTCTCGTGGTTTTTAAATAACCTCCATCTGACTTTGGGGGGCTCTAAGAAGCCATCATCAAAGCCAACTAGTGTGATTCAATCAGCTTTCCACGGTAAACTTCGAATTGAAAGCCAGGCTATCACGGCCAGGTCTGACAGCGCGAATGCCCGTCTTGTATTCTCTGAATCAAGCACCACCACATCACAGGTTAACCCATTTCTAATGCTCACATTGGATCTTCCTCCTACTCCTCTATTTCAATCCTCAAACAAGGACTCCATTATACCCCAAGTTCCTCTTACCACCCTCCTAAACAAATACAACGGTATAACTGCATCTGAGAAACTCGCCCATCGCGTACGACATCGGTTGTTACACCCTCTTCCGCCTTACCTTCTATTCCACATCAAGCGGTTCAGCAAAAATAAATTTGTCGCTGAGCGAAACCCCACTATCGTTACTTTCCCATCGCCCCATGGGCTTGACATGTCACCATATGTTGAACCGGACCCATCTATATGGCCCCCAGGCGAACCCATTATTTATGATCTGGTAGCAAATGTCATTCTTGATGCTGCAGTGAATGTTCCAGGCGGTCCCGAAAACGCTGCAAACAGCGCGGAGACGGCCAAAGATTTGACTGAGACTGGCCCATCTGCCTCCAGTACGTCAACCACACCGGGCGCAGCCGCGGGTAATCAAAAGGTGTCATGGCTTATCCAACTACATGATAAGGCCATGGCTACGGAGAATTCCCAGCAGCAGCAACAGAAGGGCCCAGAGTGGTTGGAGGCCCAGGATCTATGGGTCAAGCGTACAGAAAGTGAGACTCTATTTACGCGGGAAGGGTATCTGATGGTCTGGGAAAGGAGGAAGACAAAACCTCCAGGAAGTAAGTGATCGCAGTTTCAATATACGTAAACCTTTTTTCTTCTCTTGTTTTAGCCTCGTCTTCTACATTGATATGAGGGCTATGTAAAATACGAGAAAGTTTGGGAATACACTTCTTCATGTCATAGTTAATTCTATAGCTGGCCCCATTGAAACTTGATTTTCCCAAGTGCAACAGCAGCACTAGCTCCCAGTCCCCAGATCCCAGCACTAATGGCTGTCTCATACCCCACAGTCAGTACCATTTTTCCGACGTAGGAGAGCATATCTGGCGCATTTCCACCTCCAAACCATGCACTCAATGGCCGCACATTAGAATGAAGTCCAACCAAGGATGCTGTGGCACCAAGCGGGAGGATTATCGCTGCGGACTGGGTAGATAAATACGTAAAAGCAAGACTTCGAAGATATAAGGATTCAAAAGGATAAAACAAAACAGAGGTAATGATGGAAGATAAGTGAGAGGAAAATGCATCCACGGGATGTGATGAGAGAATGGTAACATGATGGTCCCATTCTTCGGCAGCCTGTGGTCCGGGGCGATCGAGAAGGGGTTGTCTTTGAGGACCGGTACCATTGGGCATATGTTCACTAGAACTACTACTTATGTTATCCTGGGGATTTGGCGCGCTGTGATTCATCCCAGGGGTTTGCCATACTGCGTCCAGCTCTTCCTCGGGAGGTTGTGCAGTAGGATCTATGCCGTTTTGCACTGGAATATTAGGAGTAGAATGGCCCCTTTCTCGATTGGAAGTAGGGACGTTAACAACCGAGTGCTGGCTTGGGTTGGATAGCAGTGCATCTAATAGTTCAGATGCAGCGCGATCAATGGCACTTGTCTGTGACTCGGTTCTATGAACAACACCATTCGGTAAAGACACGCTTGCATTGAGACCCTGGTTATCAACCTCGGCCTCTGTATGACTTTGCAAGAGTTCTAGGTGCATTGTAATCACATCAGAATTCTGGTGGATAAGTGAAGCCCTAACGCGGGGGGATGATGGAGGCGATGACTCTGGAGACGGAGATGGAGAGAATAGAGTGTTTGTCCGTGAAGCAGGAACATGGGAAGGAGGAGTTGCGGAACCCCCAGGATGAAGTGGTATATCATGCTGACTAGGGGTTGAGAGGGCGGTATCGTTACCACTGGGTTGTATAGAAGCTCGCATGTCAGAGAAATAACCCTCTGGCAATTGTATTGGCGATTGCGCGAATCGGTTCTCCTCGTCTACTAGGATTTGGGCAACTGGGTCGACATCATTTATTTGGGAGGAATGGGACTCTTGACCGGCTCCGGGTAATGGGGTGTCATGATTATCTTGCGAGTTTGAGGTACCGAGACCGAGATCCTGCTGCAGCTGTTCAACACGTCTTTGAACGGATTCATATCTCTCTAGCCAAGGAGCTTCTTCAGGAGCTGGCTTCGGTTTCGCGGTTGGATGAAAGCCCACAGAGCGACATAACCAATTTTTTAATGTAACCAACTCATACTTTATCTCCTGAGCCAAAGTGAGATTGCTTCGTTTAATCTCTTCTTCTGATCTCTTCCCCAGTGACGGAACTGTCCACTCGATAAGCTCATTCTCCACAGCAACCCTTAACGAAAGCTTATCAGGGCGATCGGGTTTGGGCAGGCGACGTCGAAGGATCCTGTAAACTCTAGCCTCAACGACGGGGCGTACGTTGATATATACGTTAAATAGAATGAAGGGTGAAGTTGCCAGAGAGAGACCATAGAGGCCAACTGTCCTAACAGAAAATTCTGAGGGAAGGGGCGGTAATTGTATGAGAGAATTTGCTGTAAACGGAATAAAGGAATATACTGATGGTATTGAGAATGGAGGCAAAAGATGTAGTGACTGTAAAAGGGAAAACATGTACCCCTGCCCAAGGATAAGGATTACTGCAGAGTTGGCTCTAAATCGCGATTAGCATTCAAATACATTAACGCCGGAACGAGTAGGGACAGTACCCAAATGATATACATTCATTAGGCCATGGACAATTTTTGTACCATTTGCATCCAGAAGAGAGAGGTCGAATGAGGGAGTCTAGCGACTCAGAAATGTGATCGGCAAACAGATAGCAGAAAAGATATAGTCCAAACCGGAAGCCCGGCAAAATAAAAACCAGCAAAGCAATTCTCTGCCGCTCCCGGAGAATGGTATCTGTTAAGGAGCTAAGGTTGTAACTTTTGAAGGTCTATGATAATGTTAGCGGTTAAGAAATAGACGAAACTGAACGCAAGGGAGAAGAGAATTGATTACCTGAATCCGGCAAGCTAGAGATTTCGTCCACCAAGAGGACCCAAACATGCCAAGTTGGTCAATAGCTGCGAGAGCTAATCCATAATCGTTCTCCTCCGCAAGTAAGGCTATCTTTTCTTGTTCTCTCATACTGGCCGAATTTAACTCTTCACCACTAACGATAATGCCCATAGTAGATAGAACATCATTCTTCGCCTTTCTAAGCTGCCTGGCCTCAGCCTTTGAGCGACGGTTGATCGGGTGACCGCGAGCATCATACTCTTGGGTATACCCGTCAGCATTTGAATTTGATAGGTGTCGGTTTGGCTGGGGTATAGCCGACCCGTTTACAATGAGCTCTGGAGCCTCGTAAGGAGACCGCCCCTATCATCTTATCAGCATCTTGGCAGTTCACGCTATATATAAACCTGGGTATTCATTTAAAGGTTTGATTTGCTTATGCTCTCCCGACCTACCAAAGCAAGTGAGTTCAAGTATGGACGCCTTCCCATCCTAGCCACTTAGCTATTAAGAGCTCCTAGAAGGGCAAAGTATTTCAGAATACTAGTTATCATCTAGTTAAGGAACTGATGTCATGGATATGTTCCTGTCGAGCATGACTCAGATAGATGAAGTTCCTCTGGGCAGCCCTTGTTGATATTTAAGGAAGTTGACGTTATGAAAAGTTGGCGCTTATAGCGGCTAATTCCAGGACCCACTTTTCTCGCTGCCCTTCATTAAAATTTTAAGCGCGTGGCAGCTTTTTGATTTATTTTATTTTATGTTTTTTTAACGAATTCATGTAATCAAACTGCTTTGATCTTTGCTAGGATTGGTGTTGCTCACTTGGTGTGAAATATTCAGTATTGGGCTTATGGCGCCTTAGCTTACGAATTGCCGGCTATCCTTTTTTCCTATCTTTGCGCAACGTCCCTTCGTTATCGAACCATGTCTAAAGTCGCTGTGAAGACCACTTTTGAGGTGCACAAGACGATACAGCCAATTTACACAGGCGGGAGCGTTTCACTTGATGCCACTGGTCGATTTCTAGCAACGTGTATAGGCGAGGATGCCTTGGTCATTGATTTAGAGACCGGGGAGAGGCTGGCGCAAATTGAAGGTGTAAGTTGATTATCGGATTGTTCCATTGAAACTGGCACTAATCAATATCTTTATGAAGGATGGGGAATTGATTACCAGTATATCGCGTATGTATCTTGCTTATTTTCCTGTGGACCAAGCTGACTTTCTGTTCAGTATCACCCGATGGGTCCCACCTTGCGCTTTGCTCAAGATCTCTTTCGATGCGAATATTCTCTCTCAAGCCTTCCGAAGACGAAGATAACACAATTGAAGTAGATCTTCTTCGATCCCTCAAGCCTCACACAACGCCCGTTGTGACAACCGCAATAGATCCTACAAGCTCTCTTCTTGCAACTGGAAGCGCGGAGAAT